GCTTCATGGACTGCCTCAGACGATTGTGTCTGATAGGGATTCTCTGTTCACCAGCACTTTCTGGTCTACCTTGTTCCAGTTGCAGGGTACTCCCTTTGAAGCCTTATATGGCTATGCTCCTTCCCAGTTCTCTCTCACCAATCCTCTTTCCACTGCTGTAGCAGCTGTGTCTGACAGGCTTCAGCTGCAGCACAGGCTTATTGGGGTCTTAAGGGCTAACTTGGCTAAGGCTCAGAATCGCCAGAAGCAGATGGCTGATGCTCATCGCACTGAACGTTCATTTCAAGAGGGGGAGAGGGTGTATTTGAAGCTCAGACCTTACAGACAGTCTTCTGTGGTGACCAGGTTGAATCAGAAGCTTTCTCCAAAGTTTTATGGGCCTTTTGAGATTGAAAAGAAGGTTGGAAGTGTGGCTTATCGTTTGAAACTTCCACAAGGGTCTGCTATACACCCTGTATTTCATGTGTCTCTCCTGAAGCGTGCTCGTGGCCACCAGTATCACACACAGGCTGTTTTGCCTGAGCTGGATGATCATGGCAGTTTGAAGGTGGAACCAGCCTTGATCCTTGCTCGAAGAGTTGTGGCTAGGAACAATGCAGCAGCTACACAATTACTGGTACAGTGGACGCATCAAGCAGAGGAAGATGCGACCTGGGAATATCTGGATGAGATCAAGCAGAAATTCCCTGAGTTCCAGACTTGAGGCCAAGTCAGTTCTGAAGGAGGAGGGAGTTGTAACACGCGGGACTTAGAATAGATAAATAGAAAATAGAGGGATCAGAAGAGACATTTGCCAAATGTATATAAATGTGACCTGTAACAACCTAACGGTCACTTGGACAATAATAATAACAACTTTTCCCTCTCACTTCTTTCTCTCTCTTCTTCCTACCTACCTTCCCTTTCTTCTTCTCCGACGCATTCCTCCGCCGAGAGCCTACGCCGGTCCAGAGCGTGACAATAGTCTTGTGCATGACGACAACAACAACCAAAACTGAAACCGAAGTCTGAACGCATATTCACATCAGAGAGATGCTTCATTATTACAGTTATTGTTCTTGCTGACCATCCATGCAATGTCATCATTAGTTTTCAGTGCGGCGGCAGTATATAATAATAATTAGGGTTTATCTAGTGAGTTTATCTCTATCTAGCTCCACATTGCAATTGATATAATCAAACCCTAATTAAGACGCTAGTTTAGTGGGGAAAGGAGCATCCAAACGTGTTAACTTCACTTTATTATCATGTGGGGGACGAGTTTATTCGTATCAATATAGGGTCGTACTTGAAGAATTGGAGTATCAACATTTGTTCAAAAGCTCCAATACCTCAACTTTCAAACTGTACTAGTAAAACGAGAATTTGAATATGTTGTTGGCATAGAATCATATCCTATAATTAAGAATATGGGTTAACGATAATAAAAGAAGAATTTGTAAAGCTCAGAATTCAGTTTATATCATATCTGAGTACCGACCAGCTTGTTATCCTTGTCAACTATATTGGGTTGGGCAGATTCTATAGTACCGACTACCGAGGCTCGCCCAAATGTTCTAATACCATGTCGCGAGTATTTGGTTCAACAGGCACTGATAGATAGAGAACGTGATAAGCTTCGATTAGTTAAAGAAATTTAGTACATGTACTATATATATTTATGTAGTAACTAAAATGCTAGGCCACATACTCAAGAGATACCTTTGGTCCCGTTGTTTTCTCCTCAGACACATAGTACAGACACAATCTTGAAAAGAGATCGCCAATTAGGGCTCACAAGAGTGGAACTCACACACCCAACTATTATTGGAAAGGGAAATTAAAGAAGGTAAAAGGGATCTCAATACATGGTAATAAAAAAAGTTAATAGGCACACAGATCTCCACAGTATCTTTAGACTGACATGAATCATCATTGTCAATCATCATTAAAGATGAATGAATGGATGAATTGATGAAAGAATTAATTGAAGCATCATATCGAGATGTTATTCAAGTCGATTCGATTCAATTTTGTGTAGAAGTTCACCTCTTCCGAGTCCAAGCTCGCTTAGCCAAGCCTCTGGCAAAAGGCTTCCATCCTCGCCTTTTGGCCGACTCGACACCCAAACCTACATACGAACATTTCTCACCTCCAAACCCTAAAATATGCAGCCACATTAGAGATACACACAATTAGTTCAACATTCACAAATTCTCGTATACATTCTTCACATTCCCCATATTTCATGCTCTCCCCGTCTATGTATAGTGCGGACTAGGAGTCATCTCTATATATATGGCCTTCACTTGGTAACATTTCATCTCAACGAAGAATAACGTGGAGTCGAAATCAGAACCCTACATACAATCTCTTTCTTCGCTCTCAGCGACGATCGACTACATCTCATGAGCATATTAGGTAAGGCAAAACAAGTTTAAACATGTGAGCATCCCTAATGTTGTTAAAACTCTCATTTGGCAAGTTTTTATAATAAGTAGACTTCATCAACCTAGGTATAATTATTAGTGACCAAGTTCCAATAGCTAGTACCATTATTGAAATAGGTGAGATACAGATATATATAGGGTGGACCAAATGAGCCAACAAAAGAAACAGAGAAACAGACAGACTGAGAGATGGCTACTGGAAGAAAGATGGTTCTGAGGGAGGAAGAGATCATCAGTAGTGTTTTGAAATACACAGAAAGATGAACTTATTGGTCCACCAAAATTCACAACAGAGGTTGAGCCAATTACCTAGCTAGCTAGCTCATCATAACATCAAAAAAATAACCAACCCATATATAATAAGCTTAATTCAGATTATATTATTACTCAATAGGTTTTGCTGAAATTGTAGTAATTAATCAAGTGAGATTCTTGTCTGTTTGAAGAACTTAGAAGTGAAGAGTGGTTATACATTTGTATAATGCCAATTGTTTTGCCATATAACTACTTGATTAGTGGGCTTGATTGCAACCACCACTTTCCAAGTTTCAATGATATATTCCTACTAGGACAAAAGGGAAGAAACCCCACTTGAGAGAAAGAATCAATGTGGATTTTGAAACTTCTTCTTATGTATGCCTGTCCATATGAGAATCAATTGAGCATTTCAGTTTTTTTAGAATGACTTGTAATGAAACCAGAAGAGAAAAAGAAGAAATTTCGAATATCAGCTCATTTTTTCGAACCCGATAGAATATAAGATACAAGCAATTTGATATTCTTAATTCTAAATTTAAAAGAACAAATATGTATGTAGAAAATTGAACTCAAAACCGATCCAAGATGAAGCTACGAATACTTAAATCAATAAATGATGATAACTACATATTTTAAACTAGTATACAATATTATGTCCTTGACACAATGTTCATATCACTAAAAACTCTGAGAAAAATTATTCCAATTTGTTTGAAAGATGCCAAGATTGAGACAAATGAAACGTTACATGTTTGACATGGGGATAATTAGTTAACTAACACAAAATTAAGGTGGGTTTTTTTTAGGTTGAATGAAAATGGAAGTCGATGTCATTTGCTCATGGTGGGATATAATGAGAATCCAGAAACTCCAACCAATAGCACGTAAATCTCTCTTATAGCTTAGATCACTACTCATCAACAAACTCACGACTCTTCCAAACTCCTTGTTAATGGAGGGAAAGAAAACCCATCTGCATCCTCATCCCAGTAATTACTCGAGTAGAGATTCAATTATGGATTTTATATATATATAGGTGGCTACTTCGGTGCACTCACTTTTTTGGGTGCACTCAGTGCACCCAACTCTAAAAGCGCCCATAATACATCAAATTTGAACTTTAATTAGTACTCTCAATATAATATGATGATATAACATAGAATCATAACAAATCAATCCATTACCCTAACCCCTTAACCTTCAATTTTGAATCCCAACCCAAAATCCCAAATTGTAAACCTAAACCCTAACCCTAAATCCCCAAATTCTAAATCAATCAAATTAAAGTAAATTTTGAATGAATTTTTTTAAAATTCATGTGCTTCTTGTTCATAATATCATAAGCAACAATTGATATCGTTTTGACATGAATCGCATGGTCAGAATGACAATTATGAGGCGGGTGCACTGAGTACACCCGAAAAAGTGGGTGCACCGAATACGCCACCATATATATATATACTATTTACTAATATATCCCTCAAACGAAAATCGCCATGCGTATTAGCTTGGAATTCACACAAATTTGAACACCATGTGCTTAGTAGAACATATGGGGTTATTGGAATTCAAACGCAGAAAGATCTCTCCGTCACAGAAGACCATATGATACAATGTCATCAAGAACTAATTAATCCCAATAACTCGACTTGTCGGCCCTGATCATGATAATCATAGTTAATTTACCCGACAAAACGAAACCCTAGCTAGCTAGAAAAGATGCTATCACCTGTGGAGGAAGGAGCTGTGCTGGGATAATTGATTGAGATATCTCCATCGACTTAGCTTGTAAATAAATATAAACATACATACATATATAGCCGTCTATGGCAGATGCAGCATCATCAAGATTCTCATGGTATCGGCGGCAAACTCACAGCCGCAAATCGGATTTGCATGTGAATCTCGATGATGCTGCACCAGCAAACGACGGCTCCTCTCTAGCTAGCTACCACGCGCCGCCGCCGCCGCCGCCGGAAAACGGCCATAGACTCGACGCCGCAAATAATAATAGAGTTGTTGAAGAAGATATTGAAGAAGAAGAAGAAGAGAGAGAGTGGATTAGTGATATATAGGCTGGGAGACAGGGGCAGGGGTATTTATACAACTACTGATTGCATGCCTTACCTTCCCACAATTTTTATATATATTTGTTTTTTTTTTAAATTATTTATGTTGTTATTTATTTTTCATTCTTTGGTGGGCTGGGTTGACAATGATTTTTTTTTGTCTTTTTATTATTTATTCTGTGGAAGGAAAAAATTTATTATTAGAGTGGTGGGTGCGACCCAAATTCTTAATAGTTGCATCATTTTTTTTTTTTTTTGTGTTGATGGAGGATCCAAACCTTTTTTCCTTATAAAATATTGTTGGGTTTGAATTTAGAAACTCACGAATTTTGACTTGAATGTATATTAAGATGACTTATCATAAGGTTATCAATCTTTACAGTGATTTATAGTACAATTACTACTTCATTTATCCTCAAAATGCGCATTTTATCAGTTAAAATCGATATTTTATTTATGAACCATGAATATCTCTCGTGCTTTGTATGATTTGATGTTGCGGAAGATTGTTACATTTTAATTATGTTTTTCGTGGGTTCAATCCTTCTTAGTGAATAGTGAGAATAGAGCTAATGTTGTGGTTGTTACAATGAACATATGGATAATAAAAAAAGCAATATGTTTTTTTTTATATTTCAGAATTTGGAATTTTATTGGTTGGTGCTTAGCTGTATAGTACTTTTTGCATATACATAAATCCCCCATATTATTTGATTGGTTGTTTTAGTATTATCAAACAACAAAAGTTGTTTCAGTTTCAAGGAACTCAGTTGGACGCTACTGTGGTGTTTGGTAATTTTTATATCACATATAAAATTTATGTATTTGAAGAATTCAAAGGTAGGTTTGTTGGACTTCCTGTATTAAGATATCAAATTCAAAGGTAGGGTTGTTGCACTTCAATGTAATAGAGTTCTTGTATTTGAAGGATTGACGTACTTTATAGAGTTCATATAAAATTCATGTATTTGAGGAATTTTCAAATTGTATATAATACAACAATATTAAGAAATATGTTTCAAAAAAAAAAAAACATGATTCGGGGTCGTTTGGATGAGTTAATTGTCAATGTGATATCTATAGAGTCCACTAATTCATTAATCGTTCATGTGATATTTCAGTGTTATTTCAGTGATACTTGAAATAAAGTATCTCGTTTGGTTGAACCATGCAAATGTGGTGTTTGACATGTGTTATTTGGTAAAAGCAGAGTGATAAAAACAAGTTATTTCGAAATAACACATGGGTATGAGTTATTTCAAAATAACGCATTTTGAGTTATTTGTAAATAACTCACTGTCCAAATAACTCATTTCGGTAATAACGCTGTCAAACAAGTTATTTGTGTCCAATTAATTCATACAAATACTCCATCCAAACGACCCGAAATCGAAATATAATATATTCCGAAACTCGAAGGTAGATTATCTAGTTGACAACCTCATAAAGGGTGGGAATATGTGATTTAAGTAAGTTAATTATCTAGAGATTATAACCCCAAACCATTAGAGTCCAACAAGACAGAGGATCTTAATAAGATTAGGAGTTAACAAGTAATCATTCACCTTGATTAGTGGATATTGGATGGGGGTGAAAATTATTATTATAATAATTAAAGGGGGGAATGAAAGCTAAACACGTTGTCTTTCCCTTTAATTAGTTGGGCCTATCATTGACAAGAGAGTTGTGATTTAGGTAGGAGAGCAAGAAGGGTTTCCAATTCTCTCTATGTATATGATGTGACCATCTTTTTTTTTTTTGTTTCGAGTGAGTTGTTGTGTTCTGGATGAACGCATTGTTCTTAGAGAAAAAAGGGTCAAGTCTTTTATATTCTTAACCTTGACTGTTTAGTAAGACAGGAAAAATACTAAAATAGTCATATATGACAAGAAAGTTTGAAATTATCAATGAGAATAACAAAAATATAAAAACTCAAAACTTTTGACCATTTGGATACCCTTTAGACGTCTCCTTTTTTAGGGATGGGATTAGGTGCTAATCCTTATAGGGGGTTAGCACCGTAATAACTAGCAAAAAAACGTTACTAAAAACAACGAAATCACTATGGATTATTATAAAATCAATACAACATCTAAACTAAATCACTACTAACCCTTGGTTAGAACGGTGCTAACTCTTGTACAATTAGCACCGTAACCAGTCCCTTTTTTACAGTCCATCTCGAGGTTTGTTGTGTTCATCAGCAGCAGTATCTATCAGTCTCTGCTTGCTAATGCTTGGCTGTCCACTTGGTTCTCATTTTATCTCAACGTCGTCGTTTTCTTTCAGTCTGTGAAGTCTGAATAACTCTGCATCAGCATGCCATGCCACCTGTATTTCACTTGTGGAAGATGCATGTCTTTTTCCCTGAAATATCTGTTTGCCTTTGCCATTTTCTCCTGCCTTCACCTTTCCCTCTTTTCCTCTTCTTGACCTAAACAAAATGAAAAACACGATGTTTTTTTTTATATAATGATGATAATAGTATTAACAGAAAAGAAAAAGTAGTCCAGCAGAGCAAATCAGCTGGGTTTTTTTTACATAGTATCAAAGCCTCTAATGTTTGAGAGGTGTCGTCTTCGAATCCTGACGATCCCCTCATTTGTTAAAACTTAATTAAAACATATCCTGTTTGTCTGTATGAGCTGGTTTTGATTTGAGATATGTGTTAGGAAATTTTATAAAATACATACTTATACAACGGAAAAGTACACCTCATTCCGTGGAACTTATGTTTGGATACAATGATATGAAATATTATCGTTTAAAAAGTACGCATAGCGAGTAACCAACGAAGTATGCAGTTGAACAAAAGAAAATGCACTTGAACAAATTAAGAGATAGGATTGCATATTTACATCCATGAACAGTAGAATAAACATTATGAAAATTAACAGAAGAAGCATGTAGCGAACAAACCCTAATCAAGTCGTCCTTGATTGTAGTAAACTACTATTATGAGGAGGGGGACAATGTTAAAGAAATTACCATTTCCTCCCTCAGAGCATGGACTTGTACAATCGACTCCATAAATATGTGGGGTAGGGTCGTCTAAAAATATCTCTTATTAATAAAACAATGCGTGATGAAATTATGAGAAAGGCAAAAGGTGACGTAAGAGAAAGGGAAAGGGCGTGGGCTCACGTGGGAGGCCTGATTCGCCCAAACTGGGCCCCATTGGCGCGCTGTGGACTTGTACGGACTGCTCCCCCCCCATGCCCACGTGACAGTGGGCTTCCCCGTCGGCCTTTTGTCTTTCGCTTTGATTTTGGGCCCCAGGTGACTCTGGGTCTGGTAGGTCTCAAACTCTCAAGTTTCGAGTTTCGACATACTCCAACAACCAAATGCAAGGCAAGTAGGCAAACCATTAACTAAACCATGGTAAAATCGTTGGGGTCGAATCGAACTACACATCGTCTGTGACAGCTTCTCATGATTGAACCATAAATCTAATAGATATAATCATGTGTCACCTACTAAATGTTTATTCAACATATCTGTACGCGCACACCGTTACTTCAAACCAAATTTAAACGAGAGGGGCGGGTTTTAGCCCTTGTGGACCACATGTTGGGGGTCCATCACAATGATCCTTGGTTCGAATATCATTGCATTATGGACGATATCATTTATAAAGGATCGTGTGTTTTGAATCGCCTATCGCGATGGTTAAGCACGGTTACCACAATATCTACAGATTGTTACTCAAACCAACATCTTCAAGAACCGGATACAAAAACCAGTAGCTCGATTTGTATACATGCTTAGTTATGTACCGCAAATGTGAACCTGGATTTACACACATATCCATCACAAAGATGACAGAAGGAACGAACACTAGTAGCTCAATTTGCCACGCCCTTCGCAGGTGGTGCAGGATCGGGAAGAAGAGCACTTGGTACAGTAGCTCCATTTCTTGGGAAGCCTGAAGAAAATTTTCATTTCATTCGGGATTAAAACTTTGAATCGTCAAGGAAAGGCATTTGTCCAGATACCTATTTATCATATGATGATATGCTGCAAAATTTTCACATGAGAAAGAAGCTTAAGGATGTACGTAAGTACCCTGCAGTGTAGCGAGTGGCCATGTTCTTGGCGCTCTTTCTTGCTTTATCGGCATTCTCATCCGACAGTCTCTTCAGCACAAAGCCTTCACCTTTGCATTCAGGACATATCCCAGAACCACCACATGCTTCGCATGTTATCAATGGAATCTGCAGCTCCATAAAACTACACCATTTAGAGCATTCCAAAACCCTTTGTGGAAAAAACTTGGAGCATTCGATGAGATGTTCATGTTCAGCTTACCTCATTTGCTTCAGCAGCGGCTTTGTTTCTATTGACGAGCAGGGTCGCTGCTGCACCTACAACAGTAGCCGCAATTGCCACGGAAGCAGCTGTTTCCACAAGAGCACAGGGTACTGTGGATAGTTTTCTTCTCCTCTGATTTTGAAAAGTCATGTCGATTGAGAAGCAGCCAGCAGAGGAATCTTGTGCATTCCAAACTCTGGACATGGAATCCCTACTTGCTTCACAAATGTAAAAGTAAGAAGTTTGACCAGTGCATAGCATAATGCATAGTAGAGAAAATAACTTAATAGGCTTCATTTCATGACCAAGACAACACAACAGTAGCAAATTACTCAATCCAAACTATCATTACAATAGAAACCAGAAGAGTGCTACACGTGATGCTATTCGCTGGAAGTAAAACAACTATACTTACACAATGGCGACAACTGTACTTACTAGCATCAAAGTTGGACATATCAATACAGATTGTTTAAACTACTTCGAATCAGTTTCAGTCCTAAAGGTGTAAGTGGCAAGAATGAAAACCCCAAAACAGACCTTCAACAAAAATGATAAGTTCAGAGTTCCACCTCTTCACCAAAACCTTGACGAAACGAAACCATAGCAACAACCCAACCCCAACTGATGAAAAAGAAGTTGAGGATTTATGGGAAATATACACCATCACTCAAACAAGAATAAAATGGAAAACCCACTTCAATGCTGGTTTGGTATTCCATGAGAGTAGAACCCAACTCATGTTACAGAGCAATACGCCCAGAGCTTTCAAGGGAAACAGTTCATGAGATTAATGTAGATAACCCCACAGCAGCGAAGTGACAACAGTCATAAAATGTTCTGCCAAGCATTATGTCAAACACCTTCCCTGCGTGAGACATTAAACCAAAGCCCCAAGGTGGATTCAACAAACGGAAGTAAACCCACATCTAAACTACCGGCAGAGGAAAAAAAACAACCTACTGCAAGCAATAAAAGCCGAGAGCTTTTTCCCCGATTTCCATCAATGGGGCAGCTCATCAATTAGCTGAAATCTCACTCCATTACTTAGTTGCGAACCACTCTAATACAGGAAGAAAGACGAGGTTAGTTCTTTTGTAGGACTTACTTCTGCTGAAGGCAGGAAATGATGAAAATTTTGAAAGGGTAAGCTCCATTGAAGAGTAGAGCTTTAAAGCAGCTGCGCGGTACCAGTAACAGAAACAACCACCTTACTACCTCTTCCTCTTTCTCTTTGAGACTTAGCAATCCGTGGCTTATCTTGTTTTGCTTTCTCATGTGTCCAATCTTCCATGCGAGCCCTTCATAGTCTCGTAGAATTGCAGTTTTGCCACATCGAAACGCTGCGTTTTATTCTGCAGAGATTTTGGGCAGCTGAGGCTACTGGCTAGTTGGGGTAGAATTGCAGTGGACGTATTGCTCAGTTGCAAGAATAAAATGGAAAACCCACTTCAATACTCACTCCAACAGATTCAATTCCAAAGCAGAAGCCAACAAACCAGAATACCAAACACAGATATTTAATGGCAGGCAGCTAAGTTAACACAAATATAATGCAATATACCCGTAGCTGGTTCCTGATCAATCTCCACCACCTGTGTTCATTTTCATTCATGTCTCTCCTCAGTCCTCTCTGTGTTGCTTGATGTCACGAGGATCCTATTTATAGGAAACCCTATTGCTCCCGCCCACCTGGCATCCACATACTCAGCATCGATCGGTCATCATCATCTTCTTCATCACCACCATCAATCATACTCCTCAAAACCATCCAAGGTTTCTAGCACTCTCCACCAAAGATATGAAGAAGTGTAGTTGTTAGCTGTAGCAGGGTTTTGGGGTTTGAACCAGCAACATTGCTGTGATCATGTTCATAGTGGTGATGGGAATGAGCGAGGGCAGGCGTGACATCAAGCAGCGGCCATCAAGTGTTCCAGCACCACGTTGAACGATGTTTGATGACTCGATATTTGCACATGTTTTCCCCTGTGTTTCTTGATCGTTTGAGCTTTAATTATCACATCTTTGGCCTATTTTACGCTAGGTTGTGTTCCTTTGTCATATTTCAGGTCCTAGCACATAAAGTGAAGCATAGGCGCAAAGTTCAAGTCAATCAGAGATCAATTGACGATTCGGGAGAAGAAACTCGGGTATGACCTGAAGAAGAATGGATTTCTACCTCACTTCATGAACAAAGAATCATGCAAGCTTGTTATGAAATGAAAGAGGACGAGACTACGAGCGTCTGGGATCAAACGGCGACTGATTCGGAGTTCGGACGAGGGAGAAACGAAGCATTGAACAGGCTCGCCAGTGAAAACACGGGCAGTAGGCCTTCAGAACACGGCCGTGTTCTGTGACCGTGTTTTTACTGCCGAGAGCTGATTTGAGTTTGGCCAACTCGAGCTGAAAACACGGGCGGGCTGAGGCAAAGCACGGCCGTGCCCTCGACCGTGTTTTGCCCAGAATCGGGTTTTTTAACCCAAATTCGAGCCAAAGGAGAGGGGGAGCTGGGTTTTGGATCCCAAACACCCAAGGGACGAACCAAAGAGAGAGGGGGCGATTTGAGGGCATTCTTGGAGTGAAATTGGAGGATTTCTTTGCCTTGGAAGCTCGAGGAACAAGCCCGGACTTGAAGACTGATCATCTGAAGATTCTTACTGCAGTCTCTCTCTTCTCTATGGAGTAACTTCCCTTCACTTAGGTTTTGAGGAACCCTAGCTATGTTTGTTTGATTGTATGATTGTATGAGTACTCTTACTTGATAATCTTGAGTTCATATTCAATCTATGCATGTTTTCATGATTCAATTCTGCTTTAGTCGAGATTATTGATTCTGCTTTGATCCTATGAGAGCGAATACCTGATTAGGTCAATAGAGCACCATAGATTGATAGTATTGGATCGATTGCTTTAGTCGAGGGTTGATTCAATGCTTTGTATCGTTTGAGAACCTCATTCGATAGAGGGAATCTAGTTCAGAACGCCTTGATCGGTTGTTCTAGAGAAGGATACGTCCCTCTAGGCAATTGATTCAAGAGGGCCTTGTTCCTTTAGTCGAGACTCAAGGTCTAGTTAAGGATTCTCCGCATTGTGAATGAAAGTGAAACATGTTAGAGATCATCAATCGTTAATCTGGCTAGTGGCTAGGGGGAATCATACCTAAGTGAGTTCCCAACCTGTAATTATATTAACTTTAACTGTAGTTTGCTAGAGTAATTTTAGTTCTTTCATCTTAATCTGTTTTGCTAGATAATGAACTGAAGCTGAGTAATAGTAACTCTAGAGACCCGTGGATTCGATATTTATTACTTGAGCCACTATACTGCAGTCCCTTTCATTGGTTACACTTGGCCATTGTTAGGAGTTGTGTTTTAGCGAGTCAATGTTCCTCCTTATCATGATCCATTAGCGAAAGGGAAGGGGTACATGGAGCTGAGGAGGAATCATGGTGGCAGCAGAAATCAGCTCGATAACTATCCGACCATTTTTGGAATAAAGCTCAGGATCAAATCCTCAACAGAATTTCTTCAACTATTATTCAGATCAATCAACCAGAGGGGCAAAGGTCGAAAGATCCAGCCATACACACAGAAAAGCAGTGAAAATAAGTAGTTTATAACTTGAGCTTAAATAAAAAAACAGTACAGAACATCAATAAAGCAAGCAGATGTTCAAAGTTGGTGCCCGCCCACTTCCAGAATAGTACACAACAAACCCCCACCATCAAACAAACCATAGAAAAGATGGCCAAAACCAAAAGGGAACCATTAATTTGTTTCTCCACCAGAGAGAGCATTACCACTGCTACAATCTCTTGGGGCTGGTGGTTGGATTCTTTCTGTTCCTTTTCGCCTAACTATACAAATCATCGTCATCAGCTCCACCCGCTGGGGTCGAGAACGGATCAGATGCTGCTGCGCCACCCCCGGCAGAGGTTTCTGAGAACTTAAACTCCGATCCAAAGCCCCTCGACTGCTGCAATGTCTGAGCAAACGCCTGGTACTTCCTGATATCTGCATCGCTCACACTGCGACGAGCATACTTCATTGACTCCTCAAAGTGTGCCGCCTTAATCTCTGCCACCTCATCATCCACATCCTCGTCCATTGCCTCAGGATTGTCCTTGTTTCTCCTCTCCTTCTCAATGTCCTGTAACATCCACAAACACCACGCACAAAATTCAGAATGTTAAGAATGCGCTTAATTGCTGACCTTTTTAGGCAGGTGAAAATACAAAAAATGTAAAATACCTTCTCAATGTTCTCCCGGATGGCATACTTGCAAGCTCGCTGGCATATCTCAGTGATGTCAGCACCACTGAAGCCTTGAGTGTACTTGGCCAATGCCCTCAAGTCAACATCCTTCGAGATTGGTGATTTCCTCAAGCATGCTTTGAAGATCTGATGACGTGAGTCCTCATCAGGAAGAGGGATGTAGATCAACTGGTCAAGACGTCCAGGCCTGAGGAGTGCTGAATCGATGATATCGGGCCTGTTTGTTGCGCCAATTATGAAGACAGTCTTCTTTGCTGACATACCATCCATTTCAGTGAGAAGTTGATTCAGAACACGATCAGCAGCACCGCCTGCATCACCAACACTGCCTCCTCTCTGCAATTATATAATATTGCAAATGAGATTTAGAACCAACAAAAGACACAATTAGCGTCGAACAGAAAATTCAGGCCAAGGGACAACGAAAATATACCTGAGTTGCAATGGAGTCGAGCTCATCAAAGAAAAGGACACATGGTGCAGACTGTCTAGCCTTGTCAAAGATTTCCCTGACATTAGCTTCACTCTCTCCAAACCACATCGTCAAGAGCTCAGGACCCTTGACACTAATGAAGTTTGCTTGGCACTCATTGGCAATTGCCTTAGCCAACAGGGTCTTTCCACAACCTGGAGGGCCATAGAACAAAACTCCCTTCGAAGGGGACATGCCAAATTTCTCAAACTTCTCGGGATGCTCCACAGGATATTGAACAGTCTGTCAAACAAAAGCATATATATCAGCAGCAAGCATGCAGTGTCATAAATTAGCAATTAGTATGGAAAGGGGGTGGGGGTAGAACTGAAAGGAAAGAATAATACCTCTTGAAGTTCACGCTTAACATTCTCAAGCCCACCAATGTCCTCCCAGCTACAGTTTGGTACTTCAACCACCTAATACCGGGAAAGAAAAGTCAGCAATTAAGTATAGTTGGATAAAAATCAATCCACAAACTAGGTCGATCTGAGAAAACAACTCACAGTTTCTCGCAGAGCAGAGGGATTACTGGTTCCAAGAGCAGTTTGAAAGTGCTCATTGGAAACGGCCATTGAATTCAATATCTCTGCGTCAATGGTGTCATCCTCCAGATCTATGACATCCATCTTCTCTCTGATGCACTGAAGTGCGGCTTCAGTGCACAAAGCAGCAAGGTCAGCACCAACATATCCATGGGTATCTTTTCCAATCTTTTCCAGATCGACCTAAAAAAAGAAGCCATTCCAGTGTATTAGGAAATCATCAACATAATCAATAACTCATACTGAAGTTTAGCATTCAGCACAACAAAAACAGGGAACAAAGAGGGCAGTCAGATAAGCAGTTACTCAACCAACAAAAGAAAAAAGGGGCCAGTAACATACATCATCAGATAGCTTCATATTTTTGGTATGGATGCGAAGGACCTCAAGACGTCCAACCTCGTCCGGAACACCAATATCTATCTCCCGATCAAACCTTCCAAACCTTCTCAGAGCTGGGTCAATGCTGTTTGGACGATTGGTAGCGCCCATCACAATAACATGGGCACGGGATTTAAGACCATCCATGAGAGTCAGGAGTTGCGAGACAATACGCCTTTCAACTTCCCCATTTGTCTTCTCCCTCTTAGGGGCAATGGAGTCGATCTCATCTATGAAGATGATAGAAGGGGCATTCTTCTCAGCCTCTTCAAAAGCTTTCCTCAGATTACTTTCACTCTCTCCGGCCAACTTCGACATGATTTCAGGCCCATTGATGCAGAAGAAGAATGCACCAGTTTCATTAGCCACGGCTCTGGCTATCAATGTCTTTCCAGAACCAGGAGGACCATAGAGCAGAATACCCTTTGGTGGCTTCACACCAATTGATTTGAAGAGCTGAGGATGCCTTAGTGGCAGCTCAACCAACTCACGGATCTGGGCCATCTGCTTTCTGACCCCACCAACATCATCATAACCAACCTCATCTAACCTATCCTCATCCTCCCTTCTCACCGGCTCCCCCTCACAGAAGATCTCAGTATCCGGGGCAACCACACAGTACTCCCCTGGGTCAGTTTCAATGACCTTGAACTCTACACTTCTCATGCCACCTCTAACAAGAAAGAAATCTCCTTTCCTCACAGGGCGATAAGCCTCTAGGAAATAAGCTGCGGGGGAAAATGCAATGTCAGAATCCAACTGTCAATGGATAGGAAAAAGAGATTGAACACGAAAACTGCAAGAAACTCACGCTTCAGATATGCATCAAAAAGGTTTCCAGTAACCCCTTCAATAGTGTCATCAATTGGAAGTATGTGAACACGCTTTCCGTACTTAACATCAGGGCATTGGTGCACAGAAACAACATCTCCAAGTCGCACCCTCAAGTTAGACCTAACAACCTTGTTCATTCTAATCTTTGGCTGCTCACAAGTCTCATCAGCGAGAGCAATGCAGATAGTATCCTTCCTTTTCTTTCCCTGTACACCAAATATTACAGTCAGAACAAACAACAACACACCCACCCAGCACAAGCGCAAGGAAGGAATAATGAAGAAAACAACAATCGACCAAGATATCTTAAAAGGGAAGGCTTGAATCAAAAAACTTGTTATCAAGTCCCCCCCTTAGCCGACAAAACTGACTACGATAAGCAATTTGATAATACAGTTCAATCCCAAGCTCATCACACAGCATGTGCTTGCCACAGGAGCAACTACCATACACTAAACCAGGAAAAAGCAAGTCCATTAAACAAACTCTACAACAAACCCTAGAATCAAAAACTCCTACACCAATCGCCACCGCAATAAACAAAAAGGGACAAACCCTCCACCCTCTGAGCATCAACACAATACAAACCCCAGAAAGGAAACAAAAAAAAGGACAAACCTTGATGAGAATGGTATCACCGCGGAAGAGCTGGAGCTTCTCCATGGTATCGGGGTGCATCGCGACGACGGAATTATCATCGTTGGCGGCCTCGTCAACAACCAATCGATTGGGCGACTTCTTCCGCTCCAGAATCGCGGTGGAGAAGTCCTTCTTCCCCGATTTCCTGGCAAAACCCAAAAGTCACACAAATCAGCGATTGAATCAAGCCGCCACCAGAACCCGGCGGGGTAAGAGAGCGAGCGATCGTCAAAAGTTACACAATAGAGCGGCGAGTAAAGAGGACTTACGCATCGGACGATTCAGGCTTGTCGGCCATTGTTATCTCGCGGGGAGAGCTCGTTAGTAAACAGGCTGGATGAAGGAAGGAATAATAATGGATGGAGTGATAGAATGAGTTTCTCTGAATTGAGGTCGCTGATGGTAGGTCGTTAAATAGGGAGAGGCGAGGAGAGAGAGAGTCTGGCTTGTTTACCAAGAGATGTAGGGGTCTGTTTGGTTACGCTGCTTAGGAGAGCTATTCCGATACGGATTATGAAATTCCTCCCTTGGAGGAATGCCGGATTTCGATCAGAGTAGGGATTTTCTCCTTGTTATGTGGGCTGGGTATTTCATTTATCTTGAAATTGGGCCTTTTCGGTGCTTGGGTTCTCGACCCAGTTGCAAGGGTGTTTGGTCGTTTGTGAAATCCACTGTTGGGCTTGATGCCCTTTCTATGTACTTGGCGGGCTTTGGCTGGGATGGCAATTTGGAGTGTGGATTTTCCGATTCAACCCGGATTTCCGCCCGAGGAAGCGGGGGTTGCGGTAGTTGCTGAATCTTCTACCGGTATGTGGACAACTGTGTTGGATTGATGAGCTTGCCAGGTTTGATAGTTATAAAGGATGATGCTACCATATTGAACCCGTTTCTGAAATGGATATTCAATTCAATTCAATCAAGGTGAGTAGAATTCACTGTTAACATGTTTAGGGTCAGCTGCGAGTGTTATCTGATTTTAAGATTCGATCAAAGTCATATTTTTTACCACCAACAATGCTTTGCTTTCCTTTTCTCTTAGCCCCCGAATAGTCCATATACCCCTTGCTTTTTTTTGGGGTAAAAAGAAGGATGCAAATTGCATCCCCAACTTAGATTAGAATGTTTCGCTCTTGGGAAATTTCCCGAGCGTCATACGGAAGCCAAAAGTAAAGGCCAGGGTCGCAGACATTGAATAGACGTGTGCCAAAATTAACATCGTGACCCTTAGAGGCCAAGAAGTCATCGGTAAGACGGTAAAATTCGAGTCTTTATAAATACGATTGACTTTAACAACTCATTCCCTCCCTAGAAGCTCTCCCAACTGGTGTGCGATGAGGTCGTGGCTTTGATCCGTATTGGTATAGTTCTTGATGATATCAATAGTTGTTGAGGAGTCCAAGTTCAACGGACCTTTTCTGTGTCCTTTATACAATGCAATTTTCAGATCTTCCGATGCTTCCTTCAACTGTGCCCTTGTAATAGAGCATGTGCCCAGATTTGAAGTGAAAGCAGTACATCTCCCCATGTGATCTCTTAGTAATCATCTTGCTGCTGCATTTCCGTTCGAGGCATTCCAAATTCTTTCGCCTTGCACTTGAATCCAACCTTCGCCCGGTGGCTTCCAAGACATGAATATCGTTTCGCTTTCGGGTGACCTCATGTTGCTAATCTTCAACATACTTTGGACACATATATATTGATGTTCTCGCACACCTCAATCCGTTGAATGAGGTCCGCCTCAAAGAAGATGCACCCATCCATGGCTTATTCGTTTCTCTCATTCCAAATATTATAGGGAATGATCCCAAACATGATTCCAGTGTTAGTATCTTTAAGGTTGCTTAGTAACCGATCCTTGAAATTTGCATCCTCCCTCGCATTGGATGAGACGTAGGCAAAGTGAGTCAAAACTCATCTTGTTTTCCCTGCAGCTTCGAATAATATGCTATGTAGTCTCCTTCAGTGTTTTGCAGAAGGGGCAATTGTAGTTGGTTGTTAATCCTCGCTTAAATCTTTCCTTGTTGGTTAGGAGGCGGTTGTGGGATGCAAAACACAAGAAATGTTTAATCCTGCTAGGCCATTTCCATCTATATTTATCATCACCAGGGTCTTCCGATGTACCTTAGGCATAGGCAGACTTAAAATGAAATCCGCCATCTTTCTTCAATCTCCAAAGCAGTGTCCATGAAACCGTACCGTACCGGCGGTTCAACCACGAAATACCAGTATTGGAGGCTAAACCGGTAGGCGGTATTTACCGGCATAACGGTTGAACTACGGTTAAACCACGGTTTTACCATAAAATACCCTACCGCTAACTTTCCCGGTACGATGTCCGGTACGGTTTCATGGACCATGCTCCAAAGTGATTTGTCTTCTCCAAATCTCGCAATTGTGGTTCGACTCCTGCAATCACTGTAAGGAATTCCTCTGGTAAGAGCTCTCCAAGTGGGCTCCAGTCTCACTCCCTTAAATTAGTCACTCAACAGGCAAATGCAGGTGAGCTTTCTTCCTCGGTAATCTCCTTCAAGAGGAAGTCGCCAAGAATCAGCTCGTAGTCAAGCCAAGAATGAATCCATAATCCTGTTGTACTGTCATCTCTTATGCTCCAAATGGTCACTAACTTGATAAGGGGCATGACTTTCAAGCTAGCTCCAAAATCTTAATTCGACAATGTACATCTCGCTATTGTCCTAAACGCACTTTACTAGTAGATAATAATTCATGTAATAGTAATTATAACCTAAAGGCCATTAGTCAAAACTTAGAATTATTCATTGAAGTTGAGAATTAACAATTAAGCGATGATATTATAGATCAATCAAATTCATTTGAATGGATCGAGTGTGATAGGAGGGGGTTGGACATCTTTAATTAGGGAAAGAATAAGGTCAAATTGGAACTTCAAGAAGAATTGAGAACTTTGTAAAGGAACCTTATTCAATGTCTCAATGACATAAGCTAAGTATGTCAAAAAATACCATAATTTAGTATCTTAACCAAGAAATCAATCTTAATTTTTTAAAAAGTGGACTTAAAATGAGAGGCTGGTGAAACCTCCTTAGCAATTCTCTTTGCTGCTCTCCTTCCTTATTCATTTCTTTAGGGCGAGCTTCCTTCACTCCTCTCACAAAGTTCGAGTATATTCGTTCCTCTCCCTTCGCCCTTCGGTTGAACATATGATAAACCTTCGGTCGAGTGACTTCGTTCTTTCGGTTGAGTGACTTCGTTCCTTCGATCGAGCGGCTTTCGCTCCTTTCTTATAAAGGGTGAGCCTTCGCTTTTTGGATCATCTTCTGCCCAATGCGGTACCCTCCCGTTTTTTGGTTCCCATTGGGTTTACCTTGTTTACAGGTCGACCCCATGGCAGCAAGTTGTTTTATTCTTGGGTTGCCTTTTGGATTTTTCATAAGCATAAAATTTTTAGTTAGATAAAAAATCTTTGCCAATGGGTCGGGTTCAAAACTAGTAATGTTAAGAACGTTTTTGTACAAATATATTTTGTAATTATATAGAGAAATTACATATAAAGAAAATTTGTACAGAGACATTTTGCACGCTAAGTTTTTGTGGCGGAGAAGAATCAGTCTGCCATAGTCCCAATTGTGCCCGTGGGCGGTTTGTACAATCTAGTGCTTCTGCATTAGATCATTTAATATATTTGTGGGGTTCTCCAGAGGGCCTAACAACACAAGAAGGAAGCGAGGAATGTTATGGAGTTTATGGACTGAGATCCTGAACTGTAAAGGATTTTATTGAACCATTTTTTCTCTGTCTATAGGTTTTTGGAATGGTTTATTTATGATATATCCCTGATTTCCTTATGATTGGAGTGGATGGCAAGGTTAACCGCAACGATAACTTCATGGACGACGACACACTAAGATAAATAATATTAGCATGTGTATTGTGATAGATGATCATTGTTGTAAACTTTCTGCAAATTATATTTCATATAGGCTATGTTACTGTTTGCTTCCTTTAGGGTGGGGGTTGGGAGTTATTCTATTATTCTTTTTCTGGGTGAGATGCTATGTTTTTGCTTGGTCTATAGTGATATACAAAACATAGGGCTTTTGAATAGAAGAGAGACAGTCTCCAGATAAAAAGTTATGCTCTAAATAAACAAAACTTCATCTCTTCCCACCTTTACCTTAATGATTCTCATTAGTGAAGCCCTCAGTTTGTTGATCAAATATTATATCACATTCAACATAATTCGTACCAAGTTGCAAAGCATCGGCTAGGGAAATAGTGCATCGAAGAGAGGTATGAAGAACATCGATCAGGGCAATAGTGCATCGAAGAGATGTATGAAGAACATCGACCAGAGCAATAGTGCGTTTAAGAGAGTTATGAAGAACATTGACCAGGGGTATGCATAACATCGTTGGAGTTGTTAAAGATTCTTTGGTTGTATTTTCGATGAACAAAGCATTACTCACCAAGAATCTTGGCTTCATCTCTTCCCATTACCTTCATGATCCCCATTAGTGAAGCCTTTGGTTTGCTGATCAAATACTATATCTCATTCAACATATTTTGTAGCAAATTGCAGAGCATCAGCCAAAGCAATGGTGCATATGAGAGATGTACGAAGAACATCATTAGAGTAGTTAAAGATTGTTTAGTTGTATTTTTTTATGAACATAACATTACTCAATAAGAATCTTGGCTTCATTTGCAGATTGTGTGACTTTTTTTATGAATATTGTCGTCGCAATACGTACGCTGGAAGCAACCTATAAACAACCAGCGAATGTTGCTGTCGTTGAAAACATGATCGTGAGACTCACTGAAAGCGCAATATGTATTATTATATTAGCATTGATTAAATATCATATTCTCTAGCTGCTGATAAAAAAAAGGTTTTCATAATGTTAAAAAATTGGAGGTGCGGGGAATCGAACCCCGTGCCTCTCGCATGCGAAGCGAGCGCTCTACCATATGAGCTACACCCCCTTGTTGTTTGCTAAATAATATTGCCCCATTTTTATTCCTTGATTTTGTATCACACATGCATTAACTTCTCTAATAGGTTACCTTTGTGTTTGTTTATTTTACACTCTGATTCGGTTTTGGCTGGCTGCTCCTTCAGGAAGGTCCACTGCTCAAAACCAAGGGAAGAGCTGGCTTTGAGACGAGAATTGTCGTGACTTGGAGATCATTGCTCATTATGTCAAGAGAATGAAAAATACTACTGGCTTCGCCTTATTCTCTACATGACACTCACACTCTGCATTGACACTTTATCTTGCAGACAATAGTTGTTGTTGTATTTGTGTTTGCCTCATTCAATTCACTTCGCTTCTAAGCATTGCTGCATGTACATGGTTTTAGTGTTCATCGTGCTCCATTTTCGCACGGAAAAAACAATTCGGTCCTGAAGTTTTGCAGGCTTCAACATGATAATGAGAGTAGCAGTTCCAGATGGGAAGAACTGATCTTTCTCGTTAATTGTTGGTAGTTTTTGTTGCTTCAACATTCAAATGAAAGTAATAGCATAAAATTTGTCTTCCCCAGCCTTGTGTCTTTGGTCCTTGTTTCTCTAAGTTCTCTTAGTAAGTTCATTACGTACGGTGGAGGGTTTAATCAGCTCCAGAACTGTAAATCGCGACGAACCGAATTTTGCCATTTTTAAGTTCTGGCAAACTTTCCCATTTAACATAGTTATTCAACCTAATCGGACCTAATTCATCATGTAGCTAATTAATGCTTTTCTCATGTGCCAGTAAGTAATCTGGGAGGAATAACTTGAGCAATTTTTGTTACAATCGGGATTTTATGTGCCACTAATGAATTGTCACATTTATGTCATAATTGTCATGTGAAAAGTACATGAAAGGTGGTGACAAATAGTATTATGTATCATGAAAATGTCGTTACAAAATGTCTTACAGAGTTATCATACCATCTCAAAAAGAATTCGCAGTATGTACATCCTCCTACTTTGGAAGTCTCTCTATACAAAAATCTTACTGCTTGATCTATATTTTATCAAACTTCTCACGAGAGCACAATTGACAATTGTTATCAGCAAAATAAAATATCCAAGATTCATTTTGGATACATCACAAATAGAATCCGATCCTACGATCATTATAACTTCTCCCTTCTCCAATAGTGTGGATTTTGTTCTTGGTAACTCATACATGATTAATTAAATTAATAGATTAGGATAATATTTTAAGTTTTTTTCTTTCTTGAACCCTTCTTAAACATTAAGATATATGCAGATTTATAATGTTAAATGTGTTATGTGTAGAGTTTTGGATTTTAAACTTTAAAAGAAGAAATTTACATATTCTGGTGGTTCATGTGTGATTTTTAGTACTCATGTGTGAGCTTTAGAATTTTTAGTACTCATGTTTTAAATATATTCAAAATTAATGTATTCGTGATTTAATAATTATGTAGTACTTATAATATTCTTATTTATTAGAAACTCTTATAAAAAAAAAAAAACATCAAACACTTGCCTGTTCAATTTTTTTTTATTACAGGTGAGTCATTATATGTAAACATACGAAGTTTCATAGTATTACGGGCATGATTTCAAAAACTGGGTACCAAAATATAATAGTGCTCCGCTCCAGCTGACGTGTCAGCTTATTATTGCTCACAACACGTGTGAATGCACGGTCCCGCCAAACTGGCCACCTAATCTAACGACCTGAAACCGTGTGCCCTCAGCCCACCGGCGGCAGAAAAGTCCAATCCCCGTGCCAAATCCTTCCTCCTCCATCTTCCCGCTAAAACACTCTTTTACCTGATCGTATACCTCAACGATTCCAGTCTCCAGATTTCCCATTCCATGTAAGTAACGACCGATCAGCGTCTCCCGCGATCTTCCATGACGTCCGTCTCTGCCCCGCCGCTGCTTACCGGCGAGAGGGCCGTGGTGGTGCTGTTCATCGCCTGCATCATGTTCTCTCTCCCTCCGTCTCTTCTCCTCCCCGGTGGGTTTCTGTCGTTTCTTTCCTTCTTCGCGCTATGCGTCGAGATCCGCGGCGAGAGCTCCGGTTCCCTCTCTCAGCTCAAGACTAGGTAGGTGGCTGGCTGGTTTCACTTCCCCCCCCCCCCCCAATTCGCTAGGGTTTTCGATGTCTTATTCGGGTTCTGATGCATTTCCTTGCCTAATTGAGCTTTTCTTCTCGAGAATTTGCGTTGATTTGATCTCAATTTGGAATCCGTCTAGCATGAATCTTGTTGATTTTATTTCTCTGAGCTCCAATTCGGAGCAAATGGATGAATGGGTTAGGCTGGTAGACAATTGATTAGTGGTTGCTAATTTGCCATTGCAGACCTGGGGCTTCATCAGGGATATTGCTTGGTGCAGTTACATTGCCTGCACTTATGCTCTCGAAGCTGATACAGCTTTCACGAGCCTTGTCATTGGACGAGATTCATCTTGGAGGTAACTTTCCTCGTCATTCAGAGTAAAAAAAATTTCATTTGGTATGCACTTATCAGTGGTTTTCACTGGGTGTGTTTGATGTTGAGCTCAACTTACTGTGCAGAAGTTGATTATCTACAGATGCAATACTGGGCCGCTTCAATTAGCTGCTTTGCTGTGCTGATCTTCCTCTCTTTAGTCATATTGGCTGCACAAAGTTCGCGGTCCGCTTCCTGCAGAGTACAATGTGCTAAGTTCATCTTTGGATGCATTGTTTTGGTTGCAGCATTGTACAATATCTCCACAACAGGTTAGTTGTGCTCTTCTCCCTGTATGTGCATTATCTGTATTTTCAATCCCACAGGTAAATTATGATAGATGCTAGTTTTTATTGTTGCAGTCTAGTTTGAACCTTTGTGTATTCTGGAAACTATCCCTTGTGTTTATCATATTTTTTCTGATTGCTATACTGTCTTTATCCTTATTACCCTTACAGGCATGCAAACGGCTACCAACTTGCTGTGGGTGCTGTTCCATGGACTTGCCACTGTGAAACTAATGCAGCATTTACTCGAGACATTTCCATCATGTGCATCCATTGGTAAGTATACTAATATAGTAATACTTCTTACTTCCTCTTTTTGATAACTCAAGGTGATTCATTGGTTCTGCTCATGTAGTGAATACATTCTTGTGTCAGATAGCCTTCATTACCTCTATGCATCTGTTCATATTTCATGATCCTCTGAGGCATCCTTTGTTTGTTATATTTCAGGGGAGACTCTTTTGGTGACAGCAGGACTTGTTCTCTACTTTGGCGATATATCGGCATGCACTATTGCAAAGGCTAGTGCTTTTCTGAACTAGAATGTTTTTCCGGTCTTCCTAGAGTAAACCAACTTCTATCTCATATTGGCAATGGTATTATTTGAACAGATTCATGGATACTGGAGCTCTTCCGAGTTGGCATTTGTGCAATATGGAACTCGAAAAAATGAGATTAGTACTGTCATTCAGGTAAGATTCACGTGAAAATAACTGATTGAATGGGTTCATCTTCCAATGGCAATCTGTTGGACGCTTGTCAGTTTATTTCTTATATCCGGAGACATCTTTCAATGCAGGGACTGCTTCTTGGTCTTCTTCTGTTTCCTGTTGCCTTTAAATTTCTGCTTCACACACTAGATTCCTTACCAAGTGTGACAAGCTCAGGCACAAGGATGCAAAATGAGAGGAGAAGATCTCTCATTTTCTTTGTTTCATTTGGGTTAGTCATGATTGTGGTCATGCCATTGTGGATGCAATTTGTACAGGACTTTCAGACTCACCCACTTTTATGGTACTGCTCCCTCAACATCTTATGTCATTGTGATATTTCCTTTTGACGGTCCAATTGTTTGTGGTTTCTTTCCATTAATGTGTAAATGGATCATCTAACTAACTCAGATCTCTCGTGCTTCTGAATAGGGTGGCCGCTTTTGTTTTCTCTGAACCTGCTAAAAGACTATCCCTATGTACCTATTGGGTGTGCTTGATATATGTCTCAGTGAGGCGCTTCTACTACATATCAAAGAATAGTAAGACTGAACGAATTCTTCTTCGGAAGTACTACCATCTGATGGCGGTTTCTATGTTTGTTCCAGCAGTTATCTTCCAGGTAGTTCAACAAGAAACAAAAGCTTTTTATCCTTTGGTTGGCGTTTTTTCAGTCACGCTTGATCCTACATATCTATCAGTTCTTGCTTACATGCTCGGGTTACTTTATCAATTTTGTTCAGCCAAAGTTCCTTGATTTAGCTTTTGGGGCAGCCCTGGCAGTCTTCTTGACATTGGAGATTATTCGAGTGAGTTGATGGAATCTGCTATCCCTTTCCTACAGATAATATTGGTGTTGCTTTTGGGGTGACATCTTTCGTGTCAAAGGCCCTAGCTTAGTTCAATTCGCAGACCCAGCTTGACATGATTCTGACTTGAATGCTGAGATCTTAGTAATGATGTTTTTACTTGGCTGGTTTTGTTTGTGGTTGCCAGATATGGAGAATTTGGCCACTGGGGCAACTTGTTCACCAGTTTATGAATGCTTTCACTGACCATCGTGATTCTGAGCTCCTCATTGTCAGGCAAGGCCTCTTCTTTTGGGTCAATTATTATTATAACAGTATGATCGCTAATTAATTGCATCCTTTTCTATTGCCTTCAAATTCTTCAGCCACTTCTCGCTCTTACTGGGATGTGCACTTCCAATTTGGCTGTCCTCTGGGTATAATGATCGGCCCCTTGCTCCTTTTGCTGGAATTTTGAGCCTTGGCATTGGAGATACAATGGTGAGTGTATAATACCTGTTACTTGTTTCTACCATGTATGAGTTACCAAAGGAGAGAATTGAGTTTGAATCACTGTGAAGGCTGCTGCTTATTTATTGTCAACCAGCTTTGATACTGTTGCTACTCCTTCCGAGTTAAATACAATGTTGGCCATTTTATTGTGTTTCAGGCATCCATGGTTGGGCACAAATATGGTGTTCTGAGGTGGAGTAAAACTGGAAGTAAGTGTACTATATTTCTTCACAACTAGAAGAAAGGCCATTGGGACTTATAATGCCCTTAGGCTGCCTGCTTTCCGAGGAATAAACTCGAAAGTTACCTTGCTAACTTGGACGTACTTTTTGCTAGAGAAAACTATTGAAGGCACTGCAGCTGGCATAACTTCTGTTTTGGCTGCTTGCTCGGTCTTGCTGCCTGTTCTAGCATCCGCTGGATATATCTTTACTCAGGTTTCTCCTCTTTTGTCTCTCCCATCTTCAGGCGCGAGGTTCAGAATTATCACTTGGGTTCCTCCATATGGTTAGCTTTAGGCAACTCCATAGATAATCTACTGATGTTTTCTTCTATTCCTCGTGTTCTGCAGCACTGGCTCTATCTTTTTCTGGCGGTCACAGTGAGTGGGTTGCTGGAGGCCTACACAGCACAGCTTGACAATGCTTTCATACCTCTGGTTTTCTACAGCCTCCTCTGCTTGTAAAACTGCCACGCATTGAATTCGAATCTCCAGGCTCCCTTCCCACTGCTAATGATAGCCGAGCTTCGTGGTAGAGATGTTCGATGTGGTGCGACGTACTTTATGCTCCAATACTTCTGACCAAGCCATAGATTAACGACGACTTAGCTAATACAACTAACCCATTTGATTAATCGGTTTGATCAACTGAACCAGAGGGAAAGATGACTCTGCACTGCCTCATACTGAGTGTATAGGGAAAATATAGAAGAACCCAGGAAGCTATATTGATCTTGTACTAGAGGGTATTTGGCTTCTTTTTTTCTTTCTCGTCCATCTCTTTCGTCCTGTAAATCCAGTTCCAATATACGAATACCATTTTGATACATATCCATCTACATTTACATTTTACAGCTGCAAATGAATGAATTGCTGATGGTGCATCGGCCACCTCCATGCACTCAACCCTACTGTGTTCTTGGTTGATATTCGACGCTGTCGTGGGACCTTCTTCTTGTTCTTCCTAGGTCACATCAATTCAAGCTTCCTCAAACATCAGACACAGAAACTTATGCGCCAAGGTTGAGCATAAAGAAGACAGCATATTCAACGAAGCCGATGCCAATGTACTGCACAAAGTGATTTTTGCTGTGGAGTAGGGACGACTGCCGACTGGTAGAGAGAGGCCACATGTATAGAGATATTTTCGCCGGGGAGCCAGCCAAACACCATTCATCGTAGTCGCTAACGCTGTACATCAAATTCAACACATAAAATAAAAACATGAATTGTTTGGCAGATACTACAAAGAAGAAGACCAGTCTCCTTCTCCCTCCCATCTTTCGTTTGAGGTTCATATTGTTAAGACTGTAGTAGTATAACTGTGCAAGTGAGAAGAGAAGAGAAGAGAAGAGAAGAGAAGAGAAGAGGGGGCTAAAACGTTTATCATATTTTGCAGGAAATTAAGAAGCAGAACCACGTGCAGGATCTTGCTATTTTGGTTGGGATACTCACGATTTTAGCCTCTTGAATTTGTTAATAATATGGTCAGGTAGCAAGGGTACAAATGGTGTATGGGTTTTTGGTCGATCTGTTCTTTTTGGTTTTGTTTTGATGATGACCTGGTTTGTCAATCTGCCAGTCGTCAAATTGCTTATACTCTCTCTGACCGAACCAACTCGAACCTGTCTTGAGTCGAGATTCACTCTATATAGTGGTCACAAACCCTCAACAAATCGCGAATCCATACAAACGGGCATAAGCAGTTCTCTTTTTCATAACTAAATCCTGACTTTTGGATCAATCTCGTGGTTGCTGATGAAAGAACATATTTTAAGTTTTCTAGCTTTTTTAGTCGGTTTATATCGTCTTTCATTTAACTCAGATTTTAAATTATTTTTTTTGCACAAATAAAATCTCAAAATATATCAAAATGTATATCATTGTGTTGTAGGACTGTTATATGTGTAACAATGCACCTCATGCAGCCCACGTAACACATATTTTATGTGGGATTTAGGATGTTTATCGTGCCGCGTAGGATTATTATATATCAAGGTTGTCAACTCGGTTTAGCATGTTGGCTTGGTTGAGCAAGTGAGTTGAGGGTTAATGGTCCAATTACTTTAATCCGGATATATGAAAAAGTCATTATTATAATATTATTCATACATTTATTATCAAATCTCGTATAATATATGAGTAATAACATATATAACATTACACCAAAATAACAGATCGTACTTGGATCCAACATATGATACAATTCAGTAATTTACACACACTTATATAACATCAACATTCAAATGTTTAACTTAGAATTCCAAAGATATGTAGGGTTAGTCGTACAGAAAAACCGGAAAAGAGACGCATATCGCATATCCGTTAACGAACATTACCTAGTCATCATCTTTGTGCAATAGATGACAATTACTTCATCGATGTATAAAATCATTTTCTGAGGGAACAGTTCCTAGTGAAAAATGAATGGTAATTTCATCCGTACCGGACCCAACATCGGGCATTAAGAAGTAAACACAGAGGAAGAAGTGTTTCTTAAAATAACACCGGCCGCCAGCCTGCCCTTGTTTATTCCGGCACCTCGCCTAGGCCCAGCTATTTCCTCCTTTTCGGCTGCTCTGATCCTTTAATTTCATCACTTTTCAGACTCTGATTCTTTTATCCCTTAATTTCCAGCATGTAATAATTCGTCCACAGCGATAATCCTAAACTCGTAGTTAAGCCTAGCTAATTAAATAACGCAACACAGACTAAGCAGACAACTATATACAACTTAATTAATTACCTTTCCATACATTTAAATGCACATTATATGCGTTAATTAAGAACCCAAATCGGAATATTCGATTTGGTTTTTGATGTGGAGGCTCAAGTCGTGCAGAGCGATGCTTAGTATCAAGAAGCTGCTGCGGCGGCGGCGTAGGGGGTCGAGGTTCCGGCGGCTGAAGAGGGGCGGCGGCGTGCCGGGGGACGTGAAGAAGGGACATTTCGCGGTGGAGGTGAAGAATAGTAACGGCGGCGACGAAGTGACGATGACGACGACGGCGAGGAGAGTTGTGGTTCCGCTGCGGTGTCTGAAGAATCCCCATTTTGTGAGGCTGTTGGATCAAGCCGCCGACGAGTACGGGTTCCGGTGTCAAGGTACCGTCACGGTTTGCTGCCGGCCGGCCGATTTGGAAACGGTTTTGGCTTTCTGCTAACGTAGATGATGATCCTATATCTCAAGGTGGCTTTATCTAATTTTCATATTTTTCTTGTCCTCATTGAGGAATTCGTTTTTTGGATACGTACATCTAATGGTTTGATGATCAGTAGAATAAAACCACCAGAATTTGAATGTTCTTTCTTAATTATAAATGATCATAATTAGTGATCGTTTCATTGTATTTGATCTTATTGAATGTTATCCTACTATATATCCTGTTTTCATCCCCCTGTTATCTAAATCCAATTCACAGCTAACTTAGCTTTGTGCCAAAAAGGAGTTTGACATTTTGAAAACGAAAGTTGGTTGGGGGTGCATCTGTGTGTGCTGGGTCGTGCTAGCGTCGACGACATATGACGACACAGTCATGTTTCAGACTCGTTTATCTCGTATTGTGCTTAGCACGACTCATTTTTTTTAGTTTCATGTTGTATCGTACTAGTTCAATTTAATAAATTTGATAGATTTGGTTCCGCACACAATTTTGATTGTGATGCTCGTGTTTGGTGCGTAACCAAGGAAGGAAAGAAAAGTGAAAAGGAAAAAAAAGGAGAAAAATTCAACAGAAAACGAAAGTATCAATTGACATGATTGAGAAAAAGGTAACAAATAAGATGTATAAGATAATTGGAATTATAGTAGAAGTAGTAATTTGGTCGTCACATGTGTGTAATTTTTTCGAGTATTTTTTATTTATGATCGTAATTGGATTTAATATTTTTATGAGCACGTCTGAAAAAATATTTTGAGTATAGTTATATTTTGTATTTCTTGAACTCATAATTCTATTTTTACATTTAGAGCTAATACCACTGGAAATACCATCCTTTAGCGAAAGTGTCATCTATATTACGTATTTTCAATAAACACAAAAATATTCCAACGTATTAGGGGTTTGTGTCATCTGTGTTACACGAAATTCTGTTGACCGTTAGATCTAACTGTTGACCTAACGGTGGTCAACATTTATCTGACCATTGATGAAGTGGCGCCTGTGTGTTGTCCACGTAGGCGACACATAGATGCCATGTTGAAAATTAATAAAAAATTAATTATTTAACATTTAAATTAATTAATTAATAATTAATAATTAATAATTGAATAGAAAATTAACTTTTCTTTGACACACCCACCCTTTCCTTGACCACACCCACCTAGGGGAGAGCCCGTTGCCGCCGCCGGCGAGGAAGAAGAAGCGAGCTTTATTATGTTGGGGAAGAAGATGCCGTCAGGTGCCAAGGAAGGTTAATTGAACCCTCCCAAACCCAACTTTCTCCAAAATCCAGCTTTCTTCTGCTTCAATATCTCATACCCAGCTTTCTCCGGCGGGTCGAGCTTCTCCTTTGGTGATGGTGGATCGATGGCAACGACTAGGATAGCGAGATGGCTCAATCGGGTAGGGGAGTGGCCTGAGACGTCGGCGGCGTCAATCACATCTCTCTACCTCTGCCTCTCTCGATCTTCAGTCGTCGATCGACCTTATCTCTCTCACTCAATCCCATAAACAAAACATAAAAAATCATTGCCCAATCTCAATTCATATCCCGCGATAGCTTTTGAAACAGAAGCTTCCTCGTCCGAAATCAAGGAATTAGGAGGGTCACCTCCAATTGAAACAGATAGGAGCTTCCTCTGTCTCCGTCTCCTTGTCTCCTCTTCAACGCCCCGCGAAACAGAGTAGCATCGATGACGCTTATCACCACCACAGATTCCCTTTTGTGGTGTTCTGGATCTGCGCTTGAGGGAAGGCGAGAATCAAGGTGAAGGGAGTGAAGGACGGAGAGACGGTGGGAGTCGCTGTGAGGATTAGACTATTATAATGACCCACCCTTTCTTTTTTCCGCTGCTGTAAGAAGGACGCCTCTCCCTGCCTCTGAATTTCTTCCTCTTCAATCTCCCAAAACCAGCCTTCTCGGTGAGTCGAGCTTCTCATTCGGCGATGGTGGATCGATGACAATGGCGTGGCTGGTGGGATGGCTCAATTGGGTGGCTTGAGAACGAGGAAGAGGAAGAAGAAATAGCCTGCGATTCCGATTAACTACCACCGGTGGATTAAAGATTGGGAAGAAGGTGGCTAGGTCAGGATTTGGGAGAACTGAAACGGAAAGGATTTAGGGTTCGTGTCGGATTTGGAGGACAAGGGGAGGCGGTGTCTATTCTCGACAGTGGGAGGATTAATCGATTTAGGGTTGTCCTAACACAAATCTCATAAACAAAAAAAAAATCATTCCCCCAATCTGCAGCCGAAAACAGAGCCTGGAAGAAGAGGTTGGCGAAGGGGAGAGATTGAGAGAGATAGGAAGATGAAGAAGACATTTTCCTTCTTTGCTTTTGATTTTGTTTTTTTAATTTTTTTGGGTTGTTTTTTACATTTATTTTTTATTACAATTTTCCACATCAGCTGCCACGTCATTGCTGACTGTATTTTCTGTTAACAACTAACGAAAAACTTAACGGCTGGTATACAATTGTCATATCGAAAATTACGTAATATAAATGGAACTTTCGCTAAAGGTTGGTATTTCCAGTGGTATTAAGCCTTTCTATAAAAGAAATATCTTTCTTCTGTCATGTTGTGCCTATAAATGGTTCTCAAAAATATTAGGCAGGATCTGTGTTGATACAGTTTAGATCTGACACGACCCATAGTTTCTGGCTATGTACCCTATGATCGATTTTATGGATTGGATAGGCATGAGAACGCAAGGATATGAAGACTGAAGTTATCTATGTATATACATATAGGTGGTCAATTATTGCTGCATCATAAATGTACTAGCTAGCTTTTCCTACTTCATCTTCGAAGGTGGTTAGTTATTTCATTACACGAAATGTTATATCAATTTGTGCATTGAAAATCGGTAGTAACAAATTCAATATATTTTCATAAGCAAATATATTGAATTTGTTACTGCCGGTTTTTGTTCCTGCATAAGCAAATATATTGATCAAACCACTGGCTGAAAGCTAAAAAGCCTCTCTCTTACTTTACCTTTCGGCTTTCACTCTCCTTTCTCTCTAAAGCGAGCCTCTAGTCTCCAGCCTTCCATGGTTGCCGCCGGCTCCCTCTGGTGACCGCCGGCAGCCCAAGTGCTCTCATTTCCTTTATTTTTCTTGCTTTTCATGCTCTTTACGTTTTTGTCTCTCAGTTTTCTTGCTTTTCTCCAGCCGTTTGGCATTCCAGCCGTTGTGGCTTTCCAGATCTAGGATTTTCCAGTATCAAGGCTTGCTCTTTTGGGGATCTGGAGTTTGCAGCTAGGGAGGTTTTCTGGCAGCGTGTGATGGTTGTTCTTCCATGCTGGTGGTCTCATCTCCTAGGTGAAGCCATTCTCATATTTCCCCTTCCGGCCTCCCCAGGTTGATGTTGGTGCTTGGAGCGTCGTTGGATCGTGGAGGGTTGAGTCTTCTCCGGTTGTTGCGGTGGGAATAAGTTCTTTTGTGGCGGTTTGTGGCTTTTCCAGGAAGCTCGGCTCCCATTTGAACATGACCCTGCTGTCTGGGCCCCTCTGCCTTCTCAGCTTGGAGCAATCAGTTTCACAGCCTCGCGTTGAGATTCACTATGATGGATGTCTTGAACAATCCCCAGGAGACGGCTTATGGCATTGCTTGTCCAATCGCCATGGATCTCGCTGTGATCGGACAAGCTGTTTTGATCTTTTTGCCCTTGGTTTGGTAGGAAGAGAGAGGGTTTATGAAAGTTCTGTGTTTGTTTCAAGAGCTAGGCTGATTGTTGTGTGATGTCAATATATGCCTTGTTTTTCTCTATTGTATTTTCCTAGGCATAGTTTGATATCAACTTGTGTTCCCTAGTTGTCTTGATCTTGGTTTGAATCTGGGTTTTTGTTCCCTCTCTGTAACCTTTCATTCAAAGAGCAATAAAGATCCCTTTGTCAAAAAAAATAAAATATTGATGGATACTAATTTTCTCTTCTGAATATAGTCATGATAGAATTTTTAACGATTCGTCAAATAATCACCTCATATTCATTTGGATAGTGAGTTGAATGTTAATGGTCTGGCCGCTCTAGTCCAGATATATGAAAAATGTCATTATATTGTTCATATATGTATAAATTGTATCAAATCTCATCTAACATATGAGTTATAGCATATAACAATACACCAAAATAATATATACTTGGATCCAACATATAGTGAAAATTCACACACACACACACACACACTTATATAACATCAATATTCGAGTGTTCAACTTAGAATTCCAAAAATAGGCTCATGATGAGCGAAACCCAAAATAAGAGACGCACAATTTGCAAAGCAAAGGGAAAAAACGACGCCGTGTGACCTCCAACCCCCGGATAACCTCTAAAACGGGTCGACCCTCGGGACATGTGCCCCGTTTTTCTCGCCGAATCATAGCTAAAACGATCAATCGGCGAGTCTAGCTGTAGGTTATGCTGGATCTTATAGCACTCTCTAACACGCCTCCTCAAACGAAAGCCAACCCATGGGTTTGAAGTTTGCACAGGCCCACCATACCATGTGCTTTAATCAACTGTTAATATTGGGGGTCGTGGAGATTCGAACACACGACTACTTGGCCAAACCAGCTCTGATACCATGTCATGAACCAGTTGGTCCCAATAACTCGAGTTGTTTGGAGAAGGTTATGCTGGATCATGGTAACTAGCCCTAGATTTTGACTTAACTTTTCTTTTATCTGATCGAATATCCGGCATTAGGGATGACAACAAAACCCGAACCCATGGGTACCCACCCGACCCAACACGGTCAACGCGGGTAAAATCCGTGTTGACGGGTTTTGGGCCGGGTTACGTTTGGGTTTAAATCCATTCACTATTCACAAGGTTGGATTGGGTTTGAGTTTAGGTAAACCCACCCCATGGGTACCCGGCCATACCCATATAATTAATTTTCTCGGTATATTTAATATTCTAAACAACTAATCTTATTTATGTTTGTGGAGACATGTCTAATTTTTTCTTTCTAATTGTGTAGAATGAAGTTGATATTATCGAGTGGAGAGTGAACAAACTTAATTGAAAGGAAGAAGCTTTCAATTAGTCATGTTATTTATGGATAATTTGTGATTTGCTTCAATTTTCTTGAGTTTTCTGGATTGGTGTTGAACAATTTGTATATTTAATTTGTAATTTGCTTGAATTTTCTAGAATGGTGTTTTATATATCGATAATTTGTATTGAGAGATTGATATTTGACTTTAATTTTGATAGGAACTTGTTATTGTAAATTTTTTACGACAAAAACCCGTGAGTACCCATGAACCCGCGGATACCCAGCGGATTGGGTTGGGTTTGAGTTTTTCAAACCCAGTAGATTTTATCCCGAGTTTTTTTCACGGATAAACCCATGAGTTTGGGTTTGAGTTTGGCAAAATCCGACCCAACCCGATGCGATCATGTTTATAGATGACACAGGAATTAAGGGTTTCTAATTAAGAACACCGGCCGGCCTGCCCTTGTTTTTTTCTGGCACCTCGCCTAGCTATTAATTACCTCCTTCGGCGGCTACTCTGATTCTTTAATTTCACTTTCGGACGGTGATTCTTTGATCCCTTTCCAGCATGTAATAATTCGTCCACAACGATAAGCCAAATTAGCTCTTAATTAAAGCCTAATTAAAATAACGTAACAATTATATATATATATATATATAACTAATTAATTACCTTCCTACCTATATGTGCATAAGAAGCTACTAACTAGAATTTAATTTAATGTTGTTCCACTACACCTAAAATAAATGTGGAGGCTCAAGTTGTGGAGGGCGTTGCTTAACATTAAGAAGCTGCGGCGGCGGCGGCGGTTGAGTGGCGGCGTGCCGGGGGACGTGAAGAAGGGACATTTCGCGTTGGAGGTGAAGAATAGTAACGGCGGCGACGAAGTGACGACGACGAGAGTTGTGGTTCCGCTGCGGTGTTTGAAGAATCCCCAGTTCGTGAGGCTGTTGGATCAAGCCGCCGACGAGTACGGGTTCCGGTGTCAAGGTACCGTCACCGTCTGCTGCCGGCCGGCCGACCTGGAAAGGGTCTTGGCTTTGTGCTAACGTTGATGACGATCGCTTTATCTAATTTCCCCCCCCCCCCCCCCTTGTCACCATTTGAGGAATTCGTTTTGGATAACACCACCAGAAATTGAATGTTCTTATCGGAAAGGATTTTAGTTGTAGTTCTTAAGAAGCTATGCGCAATAATTTTTTTTTTATGACTTTCGGATTGATGAGTATAAAGTTATGGCCTTCCGAAGTTTGACAAAATTAAAAAATTTGGTCGTTTGGGTAGTAAACAACATTTTGTTGGGATGAAGAACTGTTGCAGATTGAAAGATCTTGAAAAGTTATGCGGAATCAAAACAAAATTCGCTATGATCGGATAACCGAGCGCACAGTTACGTTAGTTTGAAGTTTCAGCCTTGGGTCAGACTTTCACCGCGGCCGACAAACGTGGTGAAGCCTTCACCGCAGCCGTCAACCGCGATGATGCATTCATCCCTTTAGTGTGTAGCGGTGAATGCATTCACCGCGATTGACTGCCGTGCTGATGCTCAAACATGTGTAAATTGAATTTTTTTTTCTTCATAAAACGTGTGTATTGAGATTCCCCCCTATTTGATAACCTTATTACTTCTCTCTCTTTGAACACTTTGGTCTATATGCATGCCAATGATTCCCCAGGCAGGCACCATGTTAGCCAGGCAAGATTGTTCCACTACAAGAAAAAGGACCAATACCGAGGGTTTAGTAGGAAGGGTTACCCAACCCCTGCTAGTTTTTTCGGAATTCGTCGTAGCAAAGGTTTGTTTCAGGGTTTCGAAAACCCTCGCTAGCTTTATACTACAGAAAACAGCTTTCTCTTTCCTTTCTAACATTGCTTTTGGAATCCCTCTTCATTGATTCCCATTTTGGTTCTTTCCCAAACGAACCCAAAATTGACAGTTAAAATTGCAAGCAAACAATTCTAATTTTCTTGTTCTTTTTGGTCCTGTTCGTTGAGGGATTCCGTCGGAGTGAAAGAAATTGGAAATCGCTCCAGACTCCCTCACTTCGGCCTCTGGTCTTCCTCCTCAATCGCTCCGGCTAAAGTTGATTGTTGTCTCCTTCACTCACTTCGACACGATTCTCTGATCCTCCGGCGGAAAGGTCTGATTTCCTTGTCTCTCTCTCTCTCCATCTTGCTCTCTCTCTCTCTCTATTTCGGGAGTGAACTCCAATTAGGTTATCGTGTCGTCGTCGCTCGCTCGCTCACTCTCTCTTTTCTAGGATTGTAGTGCTCGCCGCCACTGCTGCATGCATTCCAGGACTGAGAGATCTTCACCTCGTGCTTTTGCTTCTTGTTCGCCGCCGCTGGCTGCATGCATTCCAGCACTGCCGTTCTTGCATACAATCGTACTCTGTCTCTCACTCTCTTAGTCTATTGCAATACTCTGCTCTTGCAATTATATCTTCTTATGTCTGGAGTTTAGTAGTTTCAATCGTATTATGTATGATTTTTAGACTCCTGAAATCTTAAGTTTGAGTGGCTCATTTGAACGAATCTGTTGCTTTTTATGCCTCTCTTTCTAGGGTTTCTGAAGATGTATCAATCACGTCTTAGATAGAATTAGATCAAATCGACAAGTGAGCCCGATTGAATCTATGTGTAACCTGATTCAATTTGGACGAACAAGCTCATTAACATTTTGGATTCCTTCATTTCCCAAGATGGCTCATAAATTCGCTCTGAAATTGTAGCTAATGGTGTTGAGGTTATGATGGGAAAGTTGGCTTTCATGGTTCATAAATTCATATGAATTGGTTGTATTTTGCAGGTTATTGAAATGACAGGGATTTGTGCAGCTTCAGACATTTGGAGTGTTGGGTGTACTGTGATTGAACATCTTATTTGTGTACCTCCCTGCTATGATTTGCCGCATATGCCAGATCTATTTCGTATTGTGCAGGTATGGATTGTTCTTGATATGAGATTTTTTCTTCACCTACTTGTGCGGGAAAGTGAGTCAGCTTCGGTTGAATAAGCTGTTTTATGTCTGTGCTATATATGTTAACCAGCAGGAGGGTTAGCACCATGCTTCCTCCATTAGTAGTAGCAGTAGTATGCAGATCCGAGTTGTAGTAGGTGGGAGTAACAGTAGTAGTACGTAGATTTAAGTTGTAGTAGTTTGTGTCGGACCTGTAGTCATTACGAGGCAAAGTTGTAGTCATTGTTTTCTACTGTTATAGGTTTACCCTATCTCTCACCCTAGTTAGCATAGGGCTATCACAATATCCGCTCCCTTGCCCCTGTAACCAATTAACTTGAAACAACTCAACCTCTAGAACCTAGCAATTGGTTCCCTCTGTAATCAATTAACTTGTACTCTACATTCTCTACTAACATTGGCGGAAATCCAATGAACAGAGAAATATGGCTGAATGTGAAACCCATTAATTGGAGCTTGAAAGATCATCAAACAAGCTGTTACTCAGTCAAGTCACTTACTAGTGAGTTCCATTCTATCACATTCTTTTCCTTCCACATCAAGTATATACCACTTTCAGAAAAGAGTCCTTTCCTACCAACACGCAGCCTTGTACATAGAGATACTGCAGATTTGCCAGCGACCAACTCCCATAATGTCTTCTTGACATGGAGCGACAGAGTTTGAGGTTTAGGTTTTCACATGCAAAGTGCAATCCAACGATAACTCAAAATGAGAGTGAATTTTGTAAAGAAAGTGTGACCATTTTAGAGTGAAAAGGTAAGACCATTTTAAAGTGATGTTAGATACAATGTGTATGGCAGTTTGCATGTTGATGTCTTGTAGCTTTACTAATATATCTTTTCTCTTCTGTTTGCTTCATTCTTTCAGGATGATCATCCCCCAATACCTGATAGTCTATCTCCTGACATTACGGATTTCCTACGCCAATGCTTCAAGAAGGTATATATGCCGTTTCAGGATGATTTTAGCAATTTTTATCTCTGCATATAGTCTATCCCTAAGCCATTTTAAAGTCAGTAGAAGCATAAAATTACTTCGAAGTTGATGCTAAAATTTTCCAGTCATCTCAATTGCCAACAAATGTATTCAGACAAATATCTTTTTATGTTAAAAGTTCACGTTCTTTAACTACGTTTATCAGGAGCTAGAAAGGAAGTTCGAGGACAAAACTAGAGGCATTTATAGAAAACACAATGCATCATGACTCATGAGAAGGCCAAAGTCAAGCATATTTTTGTGTTGTACTAGTGCTGCTTGTTCTTAAGGATGGGAAGTATCTTTGTTGATTCTCGAGGGGAATTTTGTAGTGCCCGACGATTGACGAGGCAGACAGGATATTAGAGGCAAACTTTGAGGAAGAAATGAATCAAATTATCAAGCTTTTACCAAAGGTATCCTCTGCTATCATGATATCATACATATGCTTGGTTTCTCCTTTTTTTCATTTTGCACCTTCAATGTTGTATTCTTGTTCACTGACAAGTTGCTCTTTGATATGCAGAGTAGAAAGACTGTTATTTTCAGCTACACTAACTAAAATTGTATGTTTCTTGCATGTGCTTCCTTAGAATGATTTTTACTTCCATTTTCTTTACACGTGTTCCTTTGCCAGAACTTGTCCATTTTTTATCATGAATTCTCTGGGCAAGAGCAAGCATTCAGTTTCTGCTAATTTGTGCGGATTTGGCTTACAATGAGAAGAAAACAAATTTGTGCACAGATAAGGTTTGGGAAATTCGCTCATAGTGAGCTTCTCCATTGATTAAAGCTTTTATAGAGAGAAAGTAAAGTTACAGTTTTCACTATTTACTAGCTGTTAATCTAACTAACTAATAAATGTTATACACGTGTATGACTACACAGTTGATAACTGATTTTCCTCGTCTTCTTAAAGGTACAGCTAATAACTTATTTTCCTTTTGGCTAGCTCACATAACTGGTTTTCTATGTTCTGTTTGCTGTGCAGGATTGGATTGTGCAGTATGATCCTCCTGATGACCCCAAGGAACTCAGGAGAGACTGATGGCGTCCTATTATGACTTGAGGAACTCAGCGAAAGAAGCTTACCGGTCTTACATATTGGCATACAACTCACACTCCATGAAAGATATCTTCAACGTCCACCACCTCAATCTATAGGAGGTTGCAGCTTCATTTGTCTTCTCTGGCCAACAGCACCAGGAGGAAAGGTAGCTTCATCGACAACAATTAAAGCTTACTTAGTTAACTTCCAACTTTTATTTTTCATGGAGCAGGTCTCAGATGTCGTTCCTATTTCATGTTGTGCAGCTGCATAGGCAGGAATGCGTTTCCTATGTATCACCAACTTCAGGTAAACTGGTTTTTTTATACTTTACAGTTTACAGATGATGTGTTGAAGTTTTGCTATGAGGCATTGATTCTATTGCTGGATACAGGATAGAACCTACTTGTGGTGAAGATATGTCTCTTATGAACAGGGGGCAACTCCTGCTCCTGCTCCTGCTCCTGCTCCATCTTTAGGTTCTCAAGCGTCCTTATAAAGAAGTTTGGATCATGATCAATGTAGCTTTTAAGTGTTTAGAATACAAGGTAATTACCATGCTTCTTTGGATTATGTTGGAATCTTTTTTGTAATTAACTTGTAGCCATGTAAATAATATTTGGATCACGAATCATATTTATGTTTATGGTATGAATGATGAATTATTGACGAGTAAAGTGCATGGAATGAATTTGGTTATTATTAAAAAATTTGGTATTTGGTTCAGGGTTGTCTATAGTGACCAAAGCATTTGCAACCAAGCTTAGCTTCCAGTTCTAGTGCTCGTTTTTCTTTAGCAACCACTATTAACGACGCTTAACAGTTGGTTGCGAAAAGTTGGTTCTGCTATAACCACGAATTATGTAAGACCCGTAGCAAGGGTTCACATAATTCCCGTAGCAAGGGTTCTATCCCTAGCTAGTTTTGCAACGAATTTATCCAAAGGTTCTAACCCATGCTATCAACATATCTCTACTAAAATTTACAGAGTTTTAGCAAGGGTTTAAACCCTTGCTACATGTACCAACAGTTCAAACCCTTGCTATAACCCTTGCATAGGACTTGCACCTAGGGTTGCTAAAAACCCTTGCTACGTGTAGCAGGGGTAGCTTTGGCAAGGGTTGATACAAGGGTTGACAAAACCCTTGCTACCTCTTGTAGCAAGGGTTAAAACCCTTGGTATAAGTAAAAATAACCCTTGCCGTAGACCATTTTTTTTGTAGTGTTCCTTTGAGACACACCCGATCAGATCGCCATTAATGCTTTTGAATGGATCTTCTGAATTGGCCTGTGATTGATATGTAACAATGGCCTGCATGTCAGTCTTTTTGTGAGAGCTAGAGAGATCGATGTACTACGCAAGTTGCCGAAACAAAATATCTGATGCAATACCCACCGGCCACCACGAAACACAACAGAAAGATTGATCCTTATCCAATCCCAGCTCAAGGATTTGCACTTTTTGCACTTTCTGGTGCACTTTTTTTTGGCAGAGATGGGTCGAAGTATACTAACTACTAGCTGGCGATGTCAATGGCGTGGGTGCCGTGCCGGCTTAGATTGGAACAGTTCATGCCAGAAGGATAGTTCTCAAAAAAACATCTTTCTTTTGAGTAAAGAGACGAGTATATATGGCTGCTTTTTAGCTCTCTCCTTCGACTCATAGTTTTCAAAGCTACCACTTGTTCAGTTTCATGCATAGACGGCCTAATTGCAGGCAGCATATATGTGAATGTTGTGCGTATAATTAAGCAGGTTCGGAAAAAAACAAGTGATTTGATTGAACAGAAACAAACGAATCCGATGATCAGGAAGATGAAGAAGAGTAATCAATCTCGATTGCTCTACAAGATCTAGAAGTTTATATATATATATATATATATATATATATATATATATATATATATATATATATATATATATATATATATATATATATATAGTAAATGTTGATTCCTTACCGTCATGGTCGTTTACAAAGTTTGAATGTGTTACATACTCGATCTATATATGTACTATCGACGAGCAAGTATCCTCTCTTTTCTCGCCCTTGTATATATCTCTTTTATTGGCGAATTGCTTACTGGGTTGTTCTATTCTCGCTCTCTTTTGGACCCAACATTGAAGTTGAATTCGGTTCTAAATTCGTTACTGTCACTCCACCAATTCCATATCTAGTTTTCGACAAAACCGTCTGTAATTAATGGTTAGGGATGTAATTGTACCCACAAAGAAAAATCGTTTGAACTAGTCAGTAATTGGCTATGTAAAATAATGGGCGTTAATAGATTTCAAAACCCCTTCTTTTCTCACTCTGCTTTGCCAAGAAGATACTCATATTCTCCAGTAACCAAACTTCCAACCCAACGCTATCAATTGCCGATGCAATCAACAACATTGCACCACCCTCCTTGGCCAGAAGCTATCATATTCGGAAGAAAGAATCGCCCACACCAAAATCTTACGTTGCCTGTGAAATCGCAAGATGCAAACTGAGGTTCATTTAGTGGATCCTCTCGCTGCCTCTGATTGCTCGAAGAAGCATATGGCCTGGCCTAGTGGAATCCGCCTTATTGACGTAGACTTTGGGGAGGGGAGATCGATGGTCGCATGTCGCGTCCTCTGGGTTCCCGGTGAAGCCAAATCCGGGACGAAATTGGGCTTACCAACTGCAATTCACTTCTAAATCAGGAGAAACGATGTGGCCGATTGGAAGTTTTGTTGGACGCAAGATTCGTGCAGATTTAGGGGTAAAAAATATATTGTTGGGATGAACGAAAGAAAGCGACTGGCAATAAAAGGAGGTTTCATCGAAAGAAAGCAACACGTCTCTCACCGTCACGCGCCTCTCCAGCTCCTCCGCCGAGGCTAAAATCGGCCGTTCAAGGTCGAAGTCCAGGTCGTCAGCATCATCGACGACCGAGATTGCTTCCGTGCATTACTGTCCTTCCGTGTCGTTTTCACGTTCAGCGATCTCCGGCGCGTCAGCCGCAGCGTTCAGCGGCTCGGCTCGGGAACCGGAGCCGGGGAAGGCTCTAACGGCCAGCAGAATCACGCTTCCCGGCGCTGCAATTAATTTTTCCTCCGGCGAAAAATAAAGTACCAATTAATGGCCCATTGGTCGGTTTCGACTATTTGGTTTTAATACATAAATTATTATGTTATTTGATGTTATTGGGTCTTTAATGATCCGATTTAAGTGATTAATGAGTCACTAAAGCGATCTTTTTATGGCGCTTTACAACCTTTAATGGTTGGTTTATATCTCAAATTATGGGATAAAACGGGTTCCGAACCGGCTCGTCCGGTGAGCATTAAAATGATCATTTAATGGCTGCACTCGTCCGTTTCGGACTGATTTGACGCTTGGTGTCGTGAATTCCCTATTTGGGTTTTATTACATCAATTATTTGATGTTATTGGGGTTTTAATGGCCTTTTGATTAAACGTTACAAGAATTTAGTGATTAACTAAAGCATTTTTTTTTTAAAGTGGGCGGAAGTTTAGCAAGCTAACTTTGGCTCTTAACCAATTAATGGCCTCATTGGTCCATTTATTTGGGTTTTAATACATCGGTTATTTTATTTGATGTTATTGGGTCCTTAATGATCCGTTACAAGTGATTAATGAGTCACTAAAGCGGTCCTTTTATGGCGCTATACAACCTTTATGGTTGGTTTATATATCAAATTATGGGATAGAAAGAATTAACTTCTGACGGTCATAATTAATTTTTGACTTTTAGAATTAATTAATTTATGGTTTTCAAAGTACCAGAGGAGTAAACTGTCTAGTTCGCTGCCCGGTTTGCTGGAGAAGACCGGAAAGTCTTGAACATCTGTTCTTCAAATGCCCCTTGGCCACAAGATTGTGGTCGCTCATGGGTCTAAATGATTTCATCTCCTCGGCCCCGACTGTGAATTTCAGTCTCTGGTGGCGACATGTTATGCTTTCTGAGCACCCCCAAACCCACATTCTCCTATACGTCTGTGTATTATGGAGGATCTGGAAGTCTAGAAATAAGGTGGTCTTTGAGCATGTCCAGCCTCATGCCCGGTCTCTCGCTCGTCAGTGCTTTTTTCCAAGTTCGCGATCTGTCTTCCTCCTTTCCTTTGGTCCCTGCTCCGCCCCAGCCTTCCCGTTCTCGCCTCTCGTCTTGGTCCCCTCCTCCTGTTGGCTTTGTGAAGATCCACTTTGATGCTGCTGTTCGTCCTTCTGGGTGCTCGTCTGGTCTTGTGGTGCGCAGTTCAGATGGGCATGTGGCTCTGGCTTTTGGGTCTCTCCATCCCGGTATTGCTGATCCCTATCTTGTGGAGCTCCTAGCAGCTAGGGACGCCATCGCCCTTGTAGTCTCCAAAGTGCTGCCTCGGGTCATCATAGAAGGAGATTCAGAGGTGGTGATTCGGCAGCTTCGTCAAGGTGCTCTCTCTGACTCCATTGGAGGTCCGGTGCTTCGGGATTTCTCCCTTCTCCTTTCTTCCGTCTCTATTTCTTTAGAGTTTAGGGCAGTTTCTCGGACTGCTAACAGTGCTGCCCATAGAGTGGCGCTGAAAGCACTGTTACTCTCCCCTTTAGAGTTTTGCGCCTTTGATTTTGTGGGTTGGCTTCTCTGATGTATTGGGTTGGGCAGGGTCGGGGTAGATTGTATAGGTTTTCTCTTGACATTTCTTGGAAAAAAAAAAAAAAAAAAGATTTCAGCAATGAGATACATGCATGAATAATAGAAACGAATTATTGCCAACGTTGAGTGGGCATAAGATCAGTATCGATTATGTGGCTAATTAATATACCTGAACAATGGAGCTCTCTTGCAAATGAAAATATCTTTAGGGAACAGAATGATGACTGATTAGACCCATTCATTTGGTTTGTTAGTATTGTGATGTGGCACATACGTATATATATTACGAATTAAACATGTAAATACGTACAACAATTGATTAATTAATTAGTCACCAAATATACATAGTCTAAGTAGGTCCATTGAATTGCTTTAATTAAATTTCCTGCTGCCAAACCGGCCAACTCGCCATATCATGTCATAAATCGGTTAAGATGAAGAGTGAAACACATGAACTGCGATATTATTTTGAGACCACCCCGCGTACTAGCAGCGTACGCTAGAGTCTTAGCTAGTCATACAAAGAAAACAACATCATCATTCAATTGTAATCCACACAATAAAAACATGGTGATGCAGATAAATATGCATCACTCACTACACATATATATATCAACCCTACACAACACAGTAGTACACATACATAATACTACTCACAGCGCGCGAGACGTGTTTGAACACTAGCTATAGATCGAAATCGATCACGACCCGACCCACAGCCGCAGCAAGCAAGCAATAAATTACATAATGAGTTTCTTCACAACCACGATCGACAGAGAGTAAAAGGGACGTCTCATATTCATATATACGGCCATACTCACTGAATCACATGCACTGGTCTCTCTCTCTCTCTCTCTCTCTCTCTCTCTAACTCCAGAAAAGAGAAGAGAAGAAAAACACAGAGCCAAAATGACAATAAAACTGCCGCTTGTCTAGTCTTTTCATCGACCACCCACCTCTCTTCCCCCTTTCACGCGCCAAACGTACGTACAGTTTCCTCATCACAGTACTACATAAAACCAACACGTCTCTCAAAACCCTATAAATACCCATTCGCCACTTTAACACAAACCGAAACCAACACACCACCACCATTTTTAACACAAACCAACTTATACTCCACCACGAGAAGAGGGAAAAAAAAGTCAAGAGCAAAGTCAACGACAATGGCGGCGAGCAGAGGGATAGTGAAAGTGGCGAGGAAGCTGCAGAAGGCGCTGGGGAAGAAGGAGGCGTTGGTGGCGTCGGACGTGAAAGAAGGGCACTTCGTGGTGCTGGCGGTGGGAGGAGTGGAGGAGGAGCCGCCGCGGAGGTTCGTCGTGCCGTTGACCTGTTTGACCCACCCGACGTTCCTGAGGCTGCTGGAGGAGGCGGCGGAGGAGTACGGGCTCGACGGCCGCGGCGGTGGTTGCGGTGCCTTGACCGTGCCCTGTCGGCCGGAGGAGATGGAGCGGATTCTGGCGGAGCAGTACTGGGAGGAAACGACGTCGTCGTCGAGTTTGAGTTCGAGTTTGGCCAGGCGGGGTAGAAATGGTGGTGGTAGGGATAGTAATTGGGGGTCTTCTTCTTGTAAGACTATGGTTCAGAGCTTCTAATCATGAATGAAGCTCTCTCCGTTTTGATTAGTTAATTAATTAATTATGTCAAATATAATCAAGAGCAGAAGAATAATAACACAATAATACAAGAAGAGATTTACGTGGTTTCCCCAACGTTTGATTGTTGGGACTAGTTCACGGCACCAGACAAAAATATTCTTCTTCACCAGAAAACGTACAGAGATCGGCAGCCCTAATGCCCATATATATGTACAGACCATGCTAGGTTAGACAGGCAATAATCATACGAACTCCTAATTATACCACGGCTAATTACAATTTGATACTTATTCTTCTAACAAATTATCGATATTAAACAGCCACCCGCAGTGCCGCTGCTTCTGATTTTGGTCAAATGGTTGGTTTGCAAACTAGAGGATCATGATCTAAATATTATTTTAGCTTGAACAAAATTTAAGTTCGCTTGTTTAATTAGGGTTCATTAGCGCAGAGGGGGGAAACATTGTGCACCATAAAATTTGTGAATACAGATTGTATGAAAGTCACGGTAAGACATCTCACCATTTACGGATAAAAGTTAAATTTTCAAGAAATGCAACTAATTGTTTATTCAAATTCACTAAACTATGTTTAGAATTAAATATAAGCTACATGTTTAGGAATAAATCATTTTACATTTGATTGTTTGAATGAATTTTCTTTTGGTTGGTTTCGTATTGAGTAGACTAAAAGCTTTGGAAGCTTCATTTTTTTTAAGACAGATGCCAATGCATCCTAATTCGTATTTAACTAAACAACAATGAGTTTGTGTCTACATTCATGCCTTTTACAATTACAAGTAAAAAAATTGATCACAAAGTTGCTCTCTGTATTTTTTTATTTCTGAGTGATATCAATGGAGGAAAATAGTTAAACTTACAATTCTACCCAGGACCCCTAAAAGACTCTAAAGAAGCCACCCCAAAAAATCAAAAGATACGACCTCTAAACGAGACAAAAGCAGTGCTTTACGCGCCACTCTATGGGCAGCACTGTTGGCGGATCTAGGTACCGCCCTAAACTCTATACAAACAGACAAAGAGCTAAGGATCTGATGGCACTCTCGTAACACCGGACCACCAATCGAGTCTTCTATGACGCCTTGACGAACTTGTTTGATGACCACTTCGGAATCACCTTCGACTATCACGCGGGTCAAGTATCTTGAGGCTACGATGGAGATAGCATCTCTAAAGGCTAGAAGCACTGCCAGGTAAGGATTGACTATTCCTTAAAGCTGGAGACCAAACGCCAACACCACATGCCCGTCTGACCCACAGAAAACAAGCCCAGACGAACACCCGGTGGCACAAACAGCAGCATCGAAGTTGATCTTCAAAAAGTCTTCTGGCGGAGGAACCCAAGAGGTGGCAGGATGGTTTGGGAGTAGAACTGCGGGGTGGAGGAGGAAGGAGAAGATAGGAGACTTCGAGGACCTGGTTGTAGAACTGGCTGGCTAGGGAACGGACATGAGGTTGGTAAATTCGAAGGTCACTTTATTTCTAGACTTCCAGATTCTCCAAAGCACAGAGAAATTTGTGACCTCCAATCTTTATTCAAACTTCAAAGTAGTTTGCTGAGCTGGAAGCTTGCTTCAATCAAAGTGTAAAATCAATGTGAGGTAAAATTAAAGCCATAATTTGGGCCGATTTGGGACGAACTTGATGTCAAGGCTACTAAGCCTCCTTTGGGCCACATACTGAATGGGTTTGGATCATACTCGTTAGACAAGCCCAAGCCTTTTCGGCTAGACTTCTTTTCCCCGTCTGAAACTGACATTCCACAGCAGAAGAGGGGCAAGAAAGACCCTCCGAGAAACGAATCGAGCAATCGCCGATCTTTACAACCCCACCGCCGTTGCCGCGGCGATAATCGGTAACGTTCAGACCTCGAGAGAGGCAGAGAAAGAAGATTCCGACTGCTTCGCTGGATCCCGGCAACGCATTGTTGGTCGAGCAGCTTCTACTTGTTCCCCTTCTAGGTAAGTTCTTTGAGGAATTCATCTGCCAGTTTCACTTCTGCTCTTTTACTTTGCTGTTAATTCGATTGAAAAGGACTAGGATGTTCGTTGAGCTAGAACTTTCCCCCTTTACTTCAATTCCTGACGCTAGCAACACGCATATAATTTCAATGCCCAATTCTCCCGATCAACGAATCCGTTCCACTACCAATTGAGCTTTTGACTAGCATCTGTCTTGCTTGCATTTAGTCCTTTTGTACTCCCGAGCTTTAGATGTTTCCTGCCGTGTTTTTCTTTTTTGTTCAATGAATGAAGTGCTCGCACTATGCAGTTTTTTGCAAGCTTATCAACCATTTTTGTGCTCGCACAGTTGCACTAATATGGGTACAAGCTTGATTTTGGGTAGGGTGAGCTGGAACGAGTGAATGGCTTCATCTAAAGAGACCGAGATGGAACCGGTTGCTTCATCTTCGTAAGCATTCTATTCTTCTTTCTTAATTGTCCTCCGTTTCCAAATGCCATAGTCCATCAACCGCATATGGCATATCTGGTCCCCTTTCATTTTTCTTATGTTCCATTTATGCCTGAGTGAAGGGGTGAAATGGGCAATGCTTTTTAGCTCATGACCGAATTGGTTATTGGTTTTCATTTCATGCTTGTGCATTGCTACCAAAACTAGTTTATCCGTCTCCTCAAGTCCTTATTGTGATGGCCCCCTAAAAAAAGCCATTATTGTGATGGAGTTTCTTTATAGTAGTAGTATTGTTCTGTTGGCTTGCTGGAGGCTTTTCTGGCTTTCGTTCATTGTGCTGCTTTCGAAATCCTTTACAGGGCTAAGAATGTGTACAAGGATCCAGATGATGGTCGACAGCGCTTTCTTCTCGAATTGGAGTTCATGCAATGTCTTGCTAATCCAACTTACATCCATTGTAAGCTGATCGAAATTCTTGGTTTCTTATACAACTGTTCCCGTTAATGGTTCAGTTAACAGAAAAAAATCTTAAATTTTATACTCTTGGTTCAGCAAACCTCGCATGAAGCGTTGCATCTTCATAGTTATGTAAAAAAATTATGTGCAGTGTCTCTTTCCTAGATTATTGTAGTTTGTGTATCATTGGTTTCTGAACAGCAACCTTCTATACGATACTCATACTATAATTACATGGCAGGATTTGAATGTTGAGATAGTAGACATAAAAGCTGATGGAACCACTTCGAATTGTTTTGTGTTTCTTAGGTAGCTTGCTAATGGAGCTTGTTCTTGTGGTTGTCGGTTAATTCTGAACAGTTTAGCCTATTTCCTCTATACTTATAGTCATCTGCTTCTGTGAATCTTTCAGCATCTTTCAGCTAATTTTCTTGCTCTTGTCTTTGAATATTTTCAACTATCTTATTCTCATCTGGTTTTGGTTTTCTGGCAAATGTAGACTTAGCTCAGAACCGCTATTTTGAAGATGAGGCATTCATTGGTTACTTGAAATACCTTCAGTATTGGCAACGACCAGAGTACATTAAGTTCATTATGTAAGTGTATGAAGCAGGTTTCACTTCTGTATTATTAGGTGAAAGCTACATTTACCTAATTGAATGCTACAGTTGCTTCTTCTTCGTGGTTTAGACGATCATAATTCACCACCATGGCATGATTGCATTGCAGGTATCCTCACTGTTTATATTTTCTAGAACTTCTCCAAAATGTAAACTTCCGCAATGCAATGGCACACCCAGGCAACAAGGTTAATACCCTCCTTGACCTTTACCACTTAAAGCCTGCTTTTTTTCCGCCTCAACCTGATCATTTTCCTCTTCAAATGGGTACACTCCTGGATGTTGGTTAATTTACTCGTTGAAACTTGAAAACTTTGTAGGAGTTGGCGCACAGGCAGCAATTTTTCTATTGGAAAAACTATAGGAACAATCGATTGAGACACATATTGCCAAGGGCCCTTCCTGAACCTGTCACTGAGGCCACTCCTGCTGCTGCTCCCCCTCCGCCACCTCCACCTGCAGTCCCTAGCGGGCTCCCTGCTCCGCCTATGGGAATGCCACCAGCTGCTGCTCCTTCTTCCACGCACTCCCCCATGCCGTATGGCATGAACCCTGGGAGAAATGAGATGAGGAATGTGGGTATGGATCGAAGAAAGAGAAAGTAAGTGAAGCGACCCGATAACTGACATAGTTTCAGCTATTCAAAGATAGAGAACATGAACTGCATTTCTGATGAAGATACTGCTGGCGTTTGGTTCCTGCAGGAAAGACGGTTAATGTGAATGGTCCATGATCTCATGAACGCAGCGAGAAAACCACGCTGCAGCTAGATACATGCCCAAAAACTAGTTCAAAGAACGCAGCCAGTCAAGTATTATATATCTCGTTGTTCTGCAGCCCTTTCATCTCGAGAATGAACTGAAATGCATGAGGGATAGTTCGCTGCCCATAGGTTTGGTACTGTCTATTTCTAGTTCATGTTTTGATGTTATCTGGAATGTAAGAAGACCTTCCCGATCAAGCATATTTTTCCTTGAGCGATGAATTGAGATCTTCCTGTTGCCAGCAGGCAGCAGGTTACTATTTTGCTTTTGAGCTATAGCTATATGTTGCCACTTTCCCTGAACAATTCATTAAAAGCCCAAACAAGACCCAAAAAGCCTACATCAACGTCCAAACTGAATAAGTTGAACTCGGGCTTCTATTTCAAATTTGGGCCGAGTTTCCTGATGGTCTGGGCCGAGTATATCCACACAGTCTGGTTCCCCTTTTCCAATTCAATTTCGCCATTTCCCCTCCGTTTCTCTCCCTCCGGAGTCAGAACTGTTAAAATCCCTAAAATCCGATGAACTTAACTCTGCAACATTCCTTCGATCAAATGTTCATCGTTTCTCCGTCGTCTCACAGCTTCAGAGTTGAGCGAATCCTGCTTTCCGACTGTGAGGAGTTCGTCGGCGGAGGCTATCAATTGTAACTCTTATGGTACCAGGCACAGAGGTAAAGAGTCTCTCGCCGCTGTAAATTTCGTGTTCTCGTTCTTTGTTACCGTCTGTTTCTAAACCTTTCCAGTTTCGAGATTTAGGTGGGAATTGAATTGATCAGTAGTTGTTTCCAGTAGAACGCCATGAGCAGCAACACCTGCAGCTGCCAGTTTGGGAGAAATGGGAAAAGGCGCATTGAGGAAGACAGGTTAAGCCACCTTCCAGAACCCATTATTTATCACATCCTTTCGTTTCTCGACACCAAATCCGCCGTTCAGACCTCTGTGTTGTCCCGTGTGTGGAGATGCGCTTGGAAATATGTCCATGTCCTCGACTTTCGAAGTGATTCCTTCCAACTGTATTCTAGTTTCCAAAGGTATTTGGACAAGGTTCTGTCCCTCCGCTATCCCTTCAATCTCAGCAAGATGAGCTATACTGATTCCGCGGAGCAACTAGATTTTGGACTGTTTAGAAAGGTCGTCACGTATGCCTTATCTCATGATGCTTGACATTTGGTGATCGACATGGACACCAGGAATGCGGATTATGAAGAGAGTTACAGCTTCTCCGATATGTTTGGCACGATCTGCAACTGCAGCGTCGAAACTCTGAAGATACGAAGTGTCTGCATCGATGGTGGATTTGTGTCATCCAGTTTTGGAATGCTGACAAGTTTAGTTTTGGAAGAATGCCAACTGATTTTCGACAAGGGTGCGGACTTCTTTGCTTGCTGCCCCTCTCTGAAGAATTTGGTCATCAGTTATTGCATCGACCACTTTTCTGGGGAAGAGAAGGGTCTCAAGATATATGGACCCCAATTGCTCAGCCTGAACTTGGATAGTCCTGCGTGTTTCGACATCGAATTAGTTGCACCAAGGCTTCGATTCTTCGGCGTTCATAATAGCTTGTACTACCAGAAGTTCTCCAAGCTAAGCGTTCCTGCCCTTGATCATGTTGAGATCTGGGTCGATGGTTTCGACGGTATGAGGGAAGATGACAATGAATGGACAGCACAATGTTTCATCTCCTTGTTCCGAGATGTGAACAATGCAACGTCTCTGATGCTGGATTCCTACACCATCCAGGTAATCTTTGGTCGTAATCTGAGTGGTTCTTCCAGGAAATGTATGAACTTATGTTTTAAGTTGGCATCTGTTCTGTGTAGGTAATGAGTGGTGTTTCTGAGTTTCTGGAACGACAACCCTCTCCTTTTAGGAGATTGAAGTCCTTAATGGTGAAGGCTGACAGTATACCTTTCAGACTAGCCAACTGCTTTCTTAAAGGGTCTTCTTGTATGAACCCAAATGTTGAGTTTGTGCGTACATGTTACTTCATAATTTAGCAATTTTGGCGTCGTTTCTGAATTCTGATCAAGGTCCGCAAGGTTGTATTGCTTCCTTTTTATGTCATTTAGGGATATGTTGCAAGTTCATCCCGAGGATCAGTACCATTTGGTCCGTGTCGGACTTGTCTATTTTAGTGTTGTAGACACGGAAGGGATCAATGCTTTTATTCTACAAAGGCAAATTAAGCTTTTGATATCCTTCTATAGCATCGATTTTCCACGTGGATCGATGATAAGGAGTAAAAAGAAGCCCTTATGCAAATGCTAATATACATAAATTGATCTTGCTCGATCACAAGATAAATGTACAAAAATATAAAGCCAAAAAAATCCATTTTTGCTAAAAAAAAAGGTGCAAAAATTAGCATGCAAATCAAAAGAGAGAAAAATTATTATCATTGCCATTGCCAAGCAAAGGTAGAGATTTACTTGAAAGTAAAAACAAAACTTGCGAAAAGCTTTATCCCATTAATTTTTTAGACTCTCGAGTTGAGTTAATTGTGCATGATTGGTGGAGCTTGCCCAAATTGTCTTTACGAGATATGTACATCATTGATGTGGTTTAGTTCTCTAACTGCAAGAGTTGATCTTGTAAGGTACGTATGATCCACTACCTACAATCGGAATTTGAGTGTCACTGTCATCGTAGTCTAGTGAGTTGTATGATTTTGAGTTTGGTTTATTTGGAGACAAAACAAAATTTAAGTGTATTGTTATTTGATGACATAAACTATACTAAAGAGCAGATTTGTTTCATCCCTATATCGAACATCAATTCCTATCTATTGATAGGAAGATCTTCGTCAAATGCCCGACTTTGCCTTTTTTTTTTTAGGATTTTAGTCCCATAAATATAGCATATTTTACATAACTTTCATATCTTTATTGCCTTGTTTGAAATTACAAGGAAAATTATATATCATATCCAAGTTAATTGAGATTAGGTTACCACTTACCAGGCTTTACTGCATATGGGCCAGGCTTCGGAACAGATTAGGCCGAAAAGGAAATATGGGCCCATAAAGCCTTTTGGGCTCGGCTCTCTTTCCTTCCCAGGCATCCCAGCAAATTCAATTCTCAGGAAAGGAAGATCAAAACCCCTTTGCATCTCTCTCCCAAATCCTAAAACCCTAGAATTTGGATATTGATGCTCGACAAAGGGAGAGAAGTGAACCTCATTCCCTCCTCAAATTCGACCGTGCAAGTACCCCCATCATCGTCGTTGCAGATTCGCGGCGGCCGGTCGCCCGTCGTCCTCACTTGAGAATTTTCCGACTCACAGCGCCCCTCGACTAAAGCCCTGCGAATCATCATCTCATTGAGGTACGAGTTCGACGAAAATTGGAATGCCCATTGGAGAATCGCTGAAAGCCAGGACCTTTTCTGAATTCTGATTGCCCCCCTGCTCTTCAGTTTCGATTGAACTCTCAGCTAAGTAGTCTTGTTATATTCCCTTAAAAGTTTGTGATTAGAGATTCCCCTGTTTCGATAACTGTTGTGAAATGATCATCGGCGCCGAGCTAAATTTAGGTACACTATAGGTTTGGGTTTGAATCTTGCTGGCTGAATTCCTTGTTGGTTTGGTTGATCAGTGGCGGGATTCGTATGTGTCATTGAACCATGACGGTGTTGAAGAGATACGTGCTAAGGCTGTTCATATCACTAAAGTACATCACAGCCAACGTGGTAGACAGAAACAACGGGAGGATAGTAGCAACAGCGTCTACCGTCGAGCATTCACTCAAGAACACACTCGAATGCGGTCGATCTTGCAATGCCAAAGCAGCGACGGTCGTCGGAGAGGTTTTAGCCATGCGGCTGAAGGTGGAGGGGCTCGAACACGGACTTGGGAGAGGAATTCATACCAACATAAACAAAGAGATTCAGAAGAAGGGTTTCAAGAATCGTACAAAGGTCTGGGCTGTCATTAATGGTCTTAGGAACAACGGTGTTAAGCTCAATATCGATGACAATGTTAATGATGGTTCGTCCCCGCCAGATTCCTGATGGGGAGAGGAGAGTTCTCATGTATTTTTGTTTTGGTGGTGTGGTGTCCTCCTGTTCTGTTGTTTGTTCTGTTGTTCCGTTGCAGGATGCCATCAGCTAAGCAATGGTATTGGGAAAGAAGGGTGAAAACCTTTGCTGATTTAACCTTTTCCCTCCAGCCACAAAGTTGTCTCTCCATTCTTTCCAAAGCTGTAATTTCCATGTTCTGTAACTTTTACTGAGAGAAGGCTGAGGTTCTTCTGCTCTTGCAGTGTGGTGCTGCTGCACTGAAAGCCTAATGCCACCTTAAACTATGGGCTCTTTTCTGGTATTAAACCAAGAATATAATAATAATCTTTTAATTCCCCAGATTTTGGAAGTATGTTTACATGGGTTCAAGGTTGTCAATCCGCGGGCTGATCCGGACCCTGTCGAGCTAGTGGGTCAAGGGTTAATGTGTCACCCGTTTTAGCAAGGAAAGAGTCATTATATTGTACTTATCCTAATAAATTATATCAAATAATATTACACAAAATAACATGTCGTATTTAGATCCAACATATAGTGAAAATTCACACACGCTTATATAACATCAATATTCAAATGTTCAACTTAGGATTCCAAAGATTGAGTTAGACGAAAAGAAAATTCGGAAAATAGCCACATTTCACAAATCAAAGAAAAAATGGCTAAATTTGTGTAACACACTGGATCCTTCTCGGCGATTTGAGATTGAATTAGAGGAAGAAGGAAGAGAGAACACAGAGGATTGGGGAAGAAGAAGAGAAGAGGAAGAAGATGAAAGAAGAAGTTCAGAGCAGTAGGAAACAGGAAGAATAGGGAAGGAGAAGCAAATTGTTATTCTGTAATTCGTTGATCTCTTTTACAGCCACGATTCCCTTTTATAGTCTAGGACAATTACAAAAGAACACCCAAACTAAACCTTTCTGACAATTAAACCCCTGACCATTACAACTCCTCACCCCTTGAAAACAGGCTTGTCCTCAAGCCTAGTAAAACAACAAGACTAACAACAATAGCAGTAAACAATACAAAGACAGTAAACGGTTGAGGTCTGCGATGACCCATTGGCTGGAAGCTTGCAGGCTATAACAACGACAATATGAATTTAGAACTCAACAACTTCTTGCAGTAGGGAGAGCAATAGTTGTTGCTAAACTCCCTCAATCCACTCCAGAGCAACCATTCCAGCCTGCTAAACACAGCACTTCCATAGTCCTCAAGCACACGACGACAGAATTGACAACACGAAGTGCATGAGCTGCAACATGGGTTGCAATCTCCTTATATGGCTCTTTAAAATCAATCCAATGACCACGTCCACTTGATTCAATGTCGACACAGCAACAACCCACAAAAATCAACTCAATTGCATGAAAACTAACGGTCATAGTGTTGCAAGACAACCCCCAGCCACATGGTTCGTCATAGTGATGCCAATCAAACAACTTCCTCACAGGTCTGCCCTCGGAAACACAGTCTTTGTACGGTTCCTTGAAGTTAAGACAAACATCCCTTAGTCTAAGTTGATCTCTTTTACAGCCACGATTCCCTTTTATAGTCTAGGACAATTACAAAAGAACACCCAAACTAAACCTTTCTGACAATTAAACCCCTGACCATTACAATTTGACCTCAAATCCAGTACCTTATAGCGGTCGACCTGGCGGGTGCGTGCAACACTGCAACCCTTTTTTTCACACCGGGCTAGTTATAAAGTAGGTCAACCCGCGGATCGACCTGCGGATTGACAACCTTTGCTTGGGTTGAATAGGTATGAAAGGCCCATCTCCACAAACAGGTGGGCATCAATCAATTCGGGAAGAGTTGGTGGGCCTGGGGGGGCCCGTAGCAGGTGAATTGTCGCTGTTGAGGACTTTACTGGTCGAGCGGGCCTCGTGCTGGGGCGCAGAGAAGGGCCGGGTCACACCCTTGCTGCCACTGGCCTTCCGACACTTGTCGCGCCGTCATTAGTTGCAACATCAATTCCCACGTGATTTGGACGCTTTCCGTCACGTGGACTTTTGTACCTTCCCCGAACAGGAAAAGGAAGAAAAGCGAGTAGATTCTAAGATAGGAGAACAGAAGTTAATATGATATGCATGCTAATTTTGATCAAACTAGTCTAAATGTTTTAGGGTGGGTAATATTTGTTCTATAGGTGGACGGGAAGAATTTTTTTTGTATTGATTTCATTTGTACGGAATTGCTTGATTGTCGATCTATTTTTTCTTAAATTATATGTAATTTTAGTCAAATTACTTAAAATTTTATTTTTATTATATCATATTCTTAGCTATAATGAAGTTGAAAATAGCGTTCGAATCTCAATTTATCAAATTATTTCATTCTTGTTTCTTAGTTTTACTTAATGAAAAATGAATATTTTTAATGTTTCATTCTAAATTACACATCCAAATGAGTCGACCTGCCCTGACCTGACTCACGTGACAAATTAGCCAATATCCGATATGTCATTAGATAGATATGAGTATCGAGATACCGACCCAATACCCTTATTGCCATTTCTAGAAGTAGATATTATTGAGAGAGAAAAAAAAGAAGAAAGATAAATTTGCAAATACTATTGACATACTTTGTAAATACTACGTGATTGATAAAACGGTTAACAACAAGGTGAATTAAAATCGACGTAATTTAGAGCGAAATTATATTTTCGCTATCCAAATATTTTTTCGTTTCAATTTCCTGCCACGTGTGACCTGATATTTGTGTGTCTCTCTTTCTCATTTGGAAGTCGGCATCACAAGATTGTTTGTCTTATCGTATATAAAAAAAAAAAAATCTTTTAGTCTTTTTTTCATTTCCTTTACATACTACTAGAGAAGATATGCACTAGCGAGAGGGATAAAAAAAAAAAAAAAATTCCACCCACCATGAAATTCGCTCATAAAAGCAATTGACCCTTTCATGTCTGGAAAGCCAAAAGGAAGAAAGAAGAAGGGAAAAAAGAGGAGGAAATTGTTCCATCTTCATCTCCTTTTTTTTTTTTTTTTTGGATCTATCTGTCTATATAAATATCCACCCTCTCACCGTCATAGTCTTTCTCATCTTGACTTGATTTTTGCCTATAAAATTACACCATTTCTCTACTCTTTTTAGTTTCTACAGAGATACATATAATAAAACAGTTGATCAAAACTCAGCCAATATGTTGCCTTTGCCTGCATTTGTACCTGCACCTTGTTTATGATTTTCATCTTTTTTCACTTACTTGGTTTCTTCCCTCGAGTAAGAGAGATGGGATTATGATAGAGCAAGGTGCTGGTGCAATTGCAGGTGAATGCCATTTTGGCCTCCTCCTGGAGTTCTATCTGCAGATCCATTCTGCTTCTTTTTGGCTTCTGAAGCTTCAGTTTCTCTGTTTCAGTTGGTGCCATGTAGGAAGGAAGGAAGGAAGGAAAGCAGCTGCTGGGGGATGAAAAGGGTGCTGAGAACATGGCTTCTTTTGGGAGACATTAAAGGTTTTGAACTTCTTCTTTGTCTGCTCAATCCAATTGTAGAGTCTATGCTGGTTTGCTAGAAGAACTGATTACCAAGATGGGTTCTAACTTCTGTTTGGTCTTAGTGTTTCTATGCATGATTCAGTGGAGATTTGATTTGCTCCATTTATCGGATTTATCAATTGATGAGTAATACATAGCAACAGATATTGAAGGTAATATATGATATTTCTACCGGCATAAATAAATAAATAAATCATGATACGCCTAACTAAATTAGTGTTTGAACCTTTTTTTCTCTCTTCATTTTGGGTTGAAACTTAGACATCTTTCTAAGATCATATTATGTACCTGCACCATATCTAGGGTTGCCTCATAAGATATTGTTCCAGTATAAGAAAAGGACCTCCAAATGCAGAATACATCTAATATCAAGAAAACAATGGAATATATTATGAGCAACCGTCATGAGATATTGTTATATTTATAGGAAAAGGACCAAAAATTGTCAATTTTAAAAGATTTAACAATCTATCTCAAATAGCTCATCAAGTTGTCAAATAATGATATTGTTATGCATTGTGTTAATATATAATAATAAAAAACAAATATGGATGGGAATAATTGATTCCTTCAAATTAAAAGTCGTAGCTAAAACTCAGTAGCTACAACAACAACAAAAAATTGCTAGTCAAGTGTTTTTCAGAAAACCAAGCCTGAAACAATCTATCAATTAGTAGAAATGATTGACTGTTTTCTTCAAATCACGATGACTCGTAAGTCACCTATGAACATGCATACCTAAAAATTCAAATTTTATATCATTTTAACTTGTCAAACAAACAAACATTGATCATCAGTCTTCTAGATAACTGCTTTGTTATAATACTGGTTGGCTAAGTTCGCGTATAAAGTTTTGAGTTGACGGTTTGAATGTTAGAATACAACAAACCCAAAAATTGAATGGGGGAGTTAAGATGAGATGTACCCATCAAAATTTTCTGACTTATGTGACTTTGGACCATAATTGTGATTTGTGAGGCTAACTTATTCGTTGCGAATCCTTATCTTCTTTAGTATTGTCCAAAATCTATGCATAATAAGTTGTGATTTAGTATTGTTAAAAATCAGATCATTCAAACAATTGAATCTTATACAACTCTTTTAAATGATTCATCAAACAAAAGTTATCTCATGAATTTGTAATTTGAAGGAACCAATCCATATCCTTCGTCTTTTTTAGCAAAACCAATGCTTGTGTGAATGTTTAGATTTTGCCATTTAAGCCCTAACTAATAATTATCTTTGAATGTAATTATCAACAATGTCTAGACTTTTGTGGAGGAAATGACTATTGCTTTTCCTGGTGTCCAAACAACAGAATATTGTTCCATACAAATCTGGATTTACACATAAAACACCACACAGTGGAATGTCCCATTGACCTACCCAACCCTAACTTCAATTATTACAGCAGGTGTGCCTGTGGACAGACATAGATCATGAACAAGATCCAATCAACACTCATGTTTCTTTTCATCTGTAAACAATTAAAGAGTAATCGTTCTTCCTTTTGTTTCCATGTATATAAAAGTATACCCACCAACTAGAACACCAAACTAATCTGTAAAAAACAGTGTAAATGGTGAAATGTTACTGCCTGTCTTCTGAGTTCTGAACTGCCATTTGCCACTTCACTTCTCCTCCTGGTATCTACAGTGAACACAAGTGGTACTTTGACCCCTAGCTCTCATATTTTGGACCTTACTTTCTGGATGAGTTCTCTTCTGAGGATCTTCCCTGAAGCTGATTTAGGCACAGTGCTGATGAATGTCACCTTCCTCAGTCTTTTGAAAGGTGCAACCTGCAAGCAACAACATCCCAAGAACCCAAGTAAGCAAGGAGGGAAAAGCTGTGAACTTCAGTGTAAAGTCACTTGAAGTAACTGAACTCACTTGATTGGCAATGAATTTCTGAACTTCTTCTTCGGTCAGCGAACTGTTGGGAGTGCGAACCACGTAGGCAACGGGGACTTCACCGGCTTCAGCATCAGGATAACTGCATAGTTTAGAACCACAGGGATTTTCATGACACAAAGAGTGTATATCCGGCCAAACCACAGAAATGAACGTTTCCAAGATACTTACGGGATGACAACTGCGTCTAGTATCTCAGGGTGAGAAACTAGCAGTCCTTCTAACTCAGCTGGTGCAACCTGTTGATAAGGAAAAGAACCAACCATTTGAGCCAATGCAAGTTACAGGACTGTTTCATTCTGCAATGTGTTAAAACGAGCTTACCTGAAAGCCTTTGTATTTGATGAGCTCTTTGATTCTGTCCACAACATATAGCTGTCCGTTATCGTCGAAGTACCCGAGATCTCCAGTATGTACCCAACCCTTCTTGTCTATAGTCTCCTTCGTAGCCTGTGGATTGTTGAAATAACCTGTCATTTGGGTTCAAGCACTTCTGTGAGAATGAGACTCTCACACTTTCCATGGATGGATTCCGCTTAAAGTTTCTGATGAACATATACTGAAGTGAAGCCAAGAGGAGCTAATACCTTGCATCATATTGGGTCCTCGAACCCATATTTCTCCAAGCTGATTTGGAGGAAGAGGCATCACAGTATCTACACCAACAATTTTGCTCTCAATCCCTGCACCTAATGTTCCAGCTGAACCAGAATGCCTAGGCCCTACCCTTGGATTCTCCACCGAAACAATCCCACAAGTTTCTGTCATTCCATATCCCTATCCCAATTCCGCCATCAATATTGAGATATCAAGAATTAAATTCTACGTTCTGATTGCTAGAAAAGATAGAACTGATTCAAAGCTATAGCTAACCTGAAAAATTGCAACATTGGGGAGATTCCTCGAACATTCCGTCATGAGATCTTTCCCCAATGGAGCTGCTCCAGAGCTAACCTCCCTCAACGACGACAGATCATACTTCTTAACCAAGCTCTGTTTAGCCAGAGCAAGCATCACCGGCGGGACAACCCACATGTGGGTGACTCTGTACCTCTCCACAGCCTTCAACACCATTTCCAAGTCGAATTTCGCCATTGTCACCACCGCACTCCCTCGCTGCAGCTGCGCGTAAGTGATGACAGCCAATCCAAACACATGGAACATCGGCAAGAAGCAGAGGTAAACGTTGTCCGGTTCCCCTGCCACCTCCTGATCCATGGTGATCATCATCGCCGCCGCGATGAAATTCCGGTGAGTCAGAACCACACCTTTGCTTACCCCAGTCGTCCCCGAGGAATACAAAAGCGCCGCCGTATCGCTCTGCTTCACCCTAATCTCCGGGTAATCCACCGACCCACCCAGCTCCACCACCTGATGGAAGGTTCTGACTCCAACCGGGAGAGCATCTCGTTGTAGTTGCTCCGGCGACCCAAGAAAGACGGCCGGTAAGTCAAATCCCTTCACCTTCTCCCACAATTCGGGAACGGTGATGATCAGCTTCGGATTGGAGTCCTTGATCTGCTTCCCGAGCTCTGCGGTGGTGTAGAGAGGGTTCGCGGTGGTCGCGACGGCGCCGAACGAAGCGACGGCGAGGAAACAAATTGGGAACTGGTACGAATTGGGGGCGAAGATGAGGACGACGTCGTTTCTGGAGATACCCAGGTGGCGGATCCCGTTGGCGAACTTGGAGACGGTGGATTTGAGGTCGGAGAAGGTGAGGGAGAGGGAGGAATCGGCGTCGTGGAGAGCCGGCTTGTGAGAGTGTGAATTGAAGCTTCGGAAGAGGAAATCGACCAAGGAGAGGTTTGGGTCTTTGGGGAGGACGAGCGTCGGGCGGAGTGATCGGTAAATGCCGTCCCGCCCGTAGCCGGATTTCTCCATCTTTTCGGGAGACGGCGGTGGACGGCAGAAATGTATAGTGCAGTTATGATGAGATTATCGAGGAGGATGGGAAATTGTTGATTTTTCTTCGCGGGAGACAGTTAAACACGCCATCTTTAAGCACCGAAGCAGACTGAAATAGTGGAAGAAGGCTGAGCGGGCCGAACCAGAAAATGAAGGCCGCAGCCCGCAGGAGAAAGTTAAGCCCAATTTGAAATGACGAGACAGTTATCCCGCTATCACAGTCCACATCGCCAATCGCACTAGCTACTCTTATGTAAATCCATCATCGTCAAGCGTCAATGGCGGCTGCTTTGTCCATCGCCACCGCATTTTCTCGCCTTCCACTCTCTCGTCTCTGCGCGCGCCCTGCTTTACCTTGGCTATTTTCGTCGTACCCTTCTTTTTTCCGTCCCAAAGCTAAGGTTTTGACAACCAATCCACTCAAATGGCAATACCGATCTCCGTTTCCGTTAAGCTATTCACCAACTGTTCGTGTGCTTGATCGTTTTTTTAATCTTTTGCAGAATTGGAACCGATTGAGATCGTTTTCTTCGATGGCGGCCTCTGAATCGAAGGATTCTCCTGCTAGCAATCCTGGTCTGCATACTTCCCCTGATGAAGCCACTAAAGGGTACTTCATGCAGCAAACTGTAAGCTCCTGGAATCTGCCCTCTTTTCACTAAAATTTCTCCTGGTGGGGGAAATTTGATTATGGAGAACACTGGGCGAACGATTTGTGATGGGTTTTTTTTTTTTTTTGCAGATGTTTCGAATTAAGGACCCTAAAGTCAGTCTCGATTTCTACTCTCGAGTCCTGGGGATGAAGTAAGTTCCACTCTTTTTTCGTTGATGGTGTGTTGATCGTTGAACTTGAATCATATAGCTTTAGGCTTTCGATGGGTGTTACATAGTTTTCCTCCCATGTTTAAAGATGGGAACTTCATGACATGCACTGAGTGAGACTCCAAGTATTTTGTTTATGAGTTTATCCATTTGGCATCCATGGGGATTTGGTTTGGGTGCTCGAAGATGCGTGTAGCTCTTAGGTTCTTTAGATTAGGCAATTTGCTGACTTGCTTGCCACTGCATTTTCAGTTTGCTGAAGAGGCTGGATTTTCCAGAGATGAAGTTTAGCTTGTACTTCATGGGCTATGAGGTAACTAGAGAGCTCAATATGTGAAGTGAACCAGTTTCCTTAGTTCAGGGACACTTTTGTGATCCACGATTTTGTTGCAAATGTTCATCTAAGTGTTCACCATGGACTTGGCTATTTCTTTTAGGATCCTGCATGTGTTCCAAGTGATGCTGTAGAAAGAACAGTGTGGGCTTTTTCTCAGAAGGCTACTATTGAACTGACACAGTAAGAGTCTCTCATATGCATGACCTCCTCTCCTTTCTCTAGAAAGCTTCTGAATGTACACATACCCGAATCATCTCTAACAAGAGATTGCTTTTATGACAGTAATTGGGGAACTGAAAGTGATCCCGAATTCAAAGGATATCATAATGGCAATTCTGATCCCCGTGGGTTTGGTAAGTAAATGAATACACTCTGGCTACTTGACCTCTAATTCCTCTACCATACTATAGGTGGTAGCGGCATAATCTGTGAATCAGACACTAACAATTTAAATTATTGATGCTTGTACCAGAAGAATAACTTTCTGGGAGTGGCTATTATTCTATCAATCAATAATAGGAGCTTGAGTGTATAACTTCGTAGATCATAGAGCTGTTTGTAGTTTGAGGATAGTTTTTGAGGAGCAAGTGTCAAATGACATTAGAATTATTTCTGACTTCATAAAACTAGAATGTACAGGTCCTGTAGAAGTAGCATACATGTAGTCTTGAGGCAAAGCGAAGGTCTTTAGTAAGTGATGCCAATTACACTAGAATTGAGTTTCTACCATGTCATAATTAAGAGTGCTAACTGTCTGAACTATATCTTGTTAATTCAGAGGCTGGGTTTCCGATTGGTCATTAGTTCTAGGGTTACAAAGATCAGCATAGATCGGATGACTTTGTGGTAATTTGTACAAGTGTTCGATGTGTTCTGTGTATATAGATGTGTAAATGTGTAGTCGTAGATTCATCTTTCTAAATTGACATTATTGCAGTTTTGGTAATGTAATCAATCTAATCCCACATTTTGTTCTTGCCAGGCCATATTGGGATTACCGTGGATGATACTTACAAGGCATGTGAGAGGTTTGAACGCCTCGGTGTCGAATTTGTTAAGAAGCCAGACGATGGTGAGGATCCCTTTTGAAAGGATAAGACTTCCCTTACCTTTGTGTGGTTTGTTCTTGTCTTTCTTATGATACCTATAAATGGCATTATCTTTATGTTCGTCTCTTATTTGAATGCTGTAGAGCCTTAAAATATACAATTGATTACTGAGGAAGACGGTTGACACTTCCATTTTGGTTTGAAACTGGATGCACATTAGTTTTCATTGTTTTTCATTCATTATGGTATTAGAGGAGATACCTGCAGCTCTGTATATGTAACTATACCTCTCCAAGTCCAGGAAAAATGAAAGGTCTTGCATTTATTAAGGACCCTGATGGCTACTGGATTGAAATCTTTGACCTAAAGAACATGAAAAATGTAGCTGAGGTTGCTGCTTGAAGTGACGCACCCAAGCTAAGGTACCCTCCAGTATTTACTCATTCTTTTGTTGCCTAAAAATATTTCAGTTCCTGGAATAAACATTGTGCTCTCAGCCTGTCAACCATATAGCATACATCTGTGAGATATGTTGCGCTTGAAGACTTCAGATTGAACACTATCACGAACATGTACCTTTACCTCATCCTTTAACTACGCAATATATGGTTCCAGACCTTTCTTTCCTTACTCCCAGTCATTGATTATTGTTCTTAAACATTATTCACTGAAGATCAATCTTGCCACAAGATATTACCCGCTTATTTCTGCTTAGTACTCTCAACAATGGTTTTGACCAGATATTCTAGTCCTCTTGGTTATCAGTATCCCCAGCCAACTCCTAAGTTGATGTAAAATCTGCAAGCTATGGAATCTTACAATTACTAGTGAAAGGTATAAAGTAGAGTTTACTGATCAAGATTTTATCCACTTATAAAATCTACTAGACATAACTGGTTAAAATGTTCACTCCATTTTCTATAAAAGATTTAACAATAAAATATGATAAATACACTACAGCCATATCATTAATCTCTTATGTTACCTGTCGGTCATGTCAGCAATTCACATTACCATAGTTTCCAGATTATTTAGCATATATATCTGTATTTTAGCTACCTTGGTTCTACTTAGTGTTATTTCATATGATGTATTGTTTTAACGTTATTTTATTTAATGAGGACTGAATGAGCTGTTCTCTGGAATGAATGATCTGCTTGGTTTCCTTTCCTCGACAAAGACCTGAGTTCCAATTTTCTATTGCAGGGGAAGTTAGTAAGTGACATTTTCAGACATGAAAGACATTGTAACTTCAAAGACACTCGAGCAAAAGAACTCCTGTACTACAGCCAAAAGTATGGACTCAGTCAGTCATCTCCTGTCATGATGCAATTGCATGTCCTTTTCAGTTTGAGGAATGCTTTGTTCCACAATCAGAAGAAAGGAATCTCCTCCAAAAATGTGTATTGTTGCAGTAGGTGACCTATATATGTTTCCCCATGTTTCTTTTCTCCAAAATAAGAAAGAGTTGTGATTTATAGGTGCATGTTTTGTGAGGTTGGTGGACGTGGACCTGGGTCCCAAGATTGGGTTGCAATACAAATTTTCAACAGCTTGAAATTATTGTGTTTGAAGCAAATCTTCAGAGGTCTTTTTAATCTATACAACTTTTGGGAGTGCTACTGCGTTAGTTTTTTTTTTTTTTTTTTACCAAAGGCATTGCTTTTCCATTACTTGCGGTTGAAGCCAGTTGATTACAGAAGATGAGATATAACATCAAGGACTTGTACCCATTGAATGGGCAGTATATTTTTTGCTCTTGATCTGGCCACCCAATTTGCTTTCGCGTTGTCCGCCCTTTTGATGTGGGAGAGCTTGATCCAGGGGTGATCATCGAGCGCTTTCTTGATGCATCAAATCCACGCTGCTGAGGGTTCTGGTACCCTTGCACAGCACTAATGAGGGTGAGACAGTCTGATCGGACCAAGCAAGGACTGCTTCAATAGGTGAAAAACAATGCAGGGGTTCAGCTACCTCGTCACATACTTGTCCATGGGCATTCGTGACAACGACGCCATAAGCCGCCTCCTGAGATGCTTCAAAGAAAGAGCCATCACAGTGTATTTCAAACTCATGAATACTTGGCGGTGGAGTAGGATGATCTGGGGGTGGGGCTAACTGAATGGGAGGGGAAGAAGATGGTGTTCTGGCAGGGCACTTGTCCCATTGTTGTGACTCAAGCACAACCCTAGAACTGGTGGAGGGGGGCCAAGGGATCTTACCCCTGAAAATGAACTCGTTTCTCGTCTTCCACGTCTGCCACAACAGGAAGATAACCTTATGGACGAGGGCAATAGAATACCTGGTCTGAAGTGAGAAGAGCCAATCAAGGATAGGGGTGGTCAAGGGGGGCACGACCAGCGAAGGCCAGTCCTGGAACCATCCAGCTGCCGCGTGAGGGCAAGAGAATAGTCGTGTGATGGATCGATTCTGTAGCTTCCGCACAAATGAGACAAGATTTGGTCACCGAACAGCTTCGAGAGAAGAGATTTTCCTTCGTTGCCAGGGCCCCTCTAGTGCATTTCCACACAAAGAACTTCAGTTTGGGAGGCAGAGAAAGGCACCATAGCCATTTCCATCTTTCTTTGTGACACGCTAAAACACAACACCTAACAATGGCCAAGTGTAACCAATGAAAGGGATTGCAGTATAGGCAAGTTTAATTATCAACCCGGGGTCTAGATCTACTGCTTACTCCGTGATTCTCTATTATCTAGCAAACTAAGTCGAGTGATTGTTGTGAAAAGTAAAAGCAACAAGAAAGCAGTAAATTGATCGGGTTTCTAAAGCAGGCAAGAGTCACTCGGGATTGAGTCCCCCTAGCCCCTTAGTTAGGTTCAATTGCAATTCCCTGGGTTGATTTACTGTTGATTAGACTGCGGAAGATCCGACAGTAGCTTGGAATCTCTTAAGCTGACCAAGCCCTCTCAGTCTAACTACCCGGCAGACGACTAGTCTTCACCGGGATAGAAAGCTGAGGCTATGAACACAGAACTCCACTACTGGCGCCAAGAACACCAGTACAAAGCAGTAAACTGGCTAACTCTCGTATAGCCAATCCCCTACTATCGAATGAAGAGGCTCTAACAACCTAATCAGATTCTATCTATCTCAGGTTGCAGCAGAAATTGAGAAAAGCTGATCAGACTCAAATCAATTCAATAAACATGCATCATTCGATTAAAATCAAACAGTAATATCATCCCAAGTCATTACAATCAAATCCCTAACACAAGGAACTAGGGTTCTTCATACCCAAGTGAGAGAAGGGTTCTACTCCATAGAGAGAGAAGAGAAAACAAGAATCGGATTAGTCATACTCATAACGATGAGGATAATCTGCTCCGGGACGATGATTTTCACTCCTATGACGATCTCCAAGCTCGATTCGATGAAATCCAGCTCTAAGACAGCTTCTAGGATGTGTTCTTCGCACTTTCTCTCTCTAGGGCTCTGTTTTTGCTCTCAAAACACGATTCTCCCACTTCTGGCTCGGAATAGGCTCTAAAACAGGGTTTCCCGACTTGCACGGCCAGGGTGCACGGCTGTGCACATCACCATTCTGGCCGTGCACTCCAAAACGCGCCGTATCATTAAATTCGACCTTCAGCCATCGTGCACGGCCAGGATTGCACCTTGCACGGCCGTGCGTGGCCACGCACAATCCCGCACGGCCAAACTGGTCACTTGCACGGCCGTGCGTGGCCACGCACAATCCCGTGCGTGCCCACGCACAATCCCGCACGGCCAAACTGGTCACTTGCACGGCCGTGCGGGTTGTGGGTGTGCCCGTGCGACTTCCTCAGAACCTCGCCATGCGTCCGATCCTTGTCCAATCGACCTCAAACTCGCTCCCAAGCCTCCATTCACGTACTAGGACCTGAAATATCATAAACAAGCACAACCTAGCGTGAAATCGGCCTAAAACACGAGAATCAACACCTCAAACGGTGTAAGAACGGGGGTAAAAACATGTGTAAATGATGGTCTATCAAACTCCCCCACACTTAACCGTTTGCTTGTCCCCAAGCAAACCAAGTCGGACACTAGGTAAGCTTACATATTTCAATCAACCAACATTGGGGACAAGTCATAAAGGCACAAAACACGTGAATCGCACTGGTTTTCAAACATCAATACATGCACAACCTCAATAACAACCTGGACAACCACCACAAAGGACATTCGAGTGCAGCAAATCGAGTAAAGGAAGAGTCTCCCTTCTGTTCACTGGCCAACCTAGACTTGATTCAACCACTTACTCAAAACAGTCAACTCATGCATCCAACTCAAGACATCAGAATAGAGACCGAGCAATCTAGGTCCTCACCGGGGCACAAGAGCATATAGAAAATGAAAATGAATCACTCACTCTCGACCAGTGGGGTCAGGACAATTTGATGCGAAAGATGCGCATGCTATTTCTCTCAATACCTATCATCTCTTCACCATGATGGTAGCCTCTAAATGCTAGAGTTCACATATGGGGTGTCACCACTAACTAATCAGGAGGTCTTAGACACAGGTTCAAATGACTGGCTAGGGTCTTGGACATGGGGAAAAGGCCTTTTAGGTGGTGGAAGTATTCATAGCAAAAGGTTCCACATTTCCCAAACACACAATCACAGTCAAACAACCCGGTATTTTCTTTCTGCTATTCTGCATTACTCAATATCTTAAGAGCACAAGAGCGAAAGAGGCATAAACATCAGCATTTCCAAGCCAGACTGCTAAGAAACACTACTTACTGGGCATTATTCAGATTTTTAGTAGTGGCTCTCTTTTGCTTTCAATTTTTTTCTTTGTTTCATTTTTCTTTTCATTTCTTAAGAGATCCACCACTTCTGCATACATTTCAAACACCTGCCCAACTTTTAAGCACTACCTCCAACACTCACATAGACTTTAGCAGAAACAGCAGAGAATATATAAAAACCACTCTGTGGAACCTTCTAAAAGATGCAACAAGGGTGATTTTTTCCATTATAGACCAAAAGAAAGGATAACACACGGCTCAAAGGGGCTGACTAGGGGATATGACACATCAGGACAGTCAGTTTTGGGCGTGGGCTAATCCTATGCCCCCATCATCTTAGCTAGTGACAACGTGAATGCTACACATCATGGAAGAGGGATCTATCGCACAAGAAAGAAACGAGCAGGCTCAAATCTCACATGGGTACCTATATGCTCTATCTCACATTCTGATACCCTGAACTAGATGCATAAACGACTGTTAAGAACAAGTAATCAGATCAAGTCAGATAAAGTCACAGTTGGCAAGCAAACAGTTGAAAAACTGAACCCCTACATCGTTCTACTGCGCATCTCAGTCCTCATCATAGGTTGTCCTAGTCGCAAACAAGTTGTCATGCATTAATCCGAAAACCAATCAATTCCTCCATCAAAACACAGTGCCAATATGATCAAACAGCAGTACTTGGAGCCCTCAAATCGTAAGATTCGGACAGCGGACTAGGCTCCAAGCACCATCATAAATATTCCAACTGATACAAAGCATCCCCCCACACTTAAGCACGACATTGCCCTCAATGGAGTAGAGGGAAAGATAAGGGGAACGATGTTACCGGGTAAGAACACTGCTGGGGGACTGGAAGTGGACCAGTCAGCGAGGCTAGCATCAGCAAAACACACTGGGTGATAGAAACCATAGTTCCAAGTGGACAAACCGACAAAAACAAACGAAAGAAAAACAAACCTTGGTGGGGTTGCCTCCCCACAAGCGCTTCTTTTACGTCTTAGCTAGACGGTGGCTCCTAAGTTTCGGTCCACCCCAAAACCTCCTTGAAGTTGAGGTTCTCGTCGATAATGTGGAGTCTCAAGTCACAAGCAAGTGAAGTGATAGGTGATGAAGACGGCTCGTGACCTTGAGGAAGATGAAGTCTCCACTCACGAGACCTCTCCTTCGCATCTGCTCTTGTCTCATTGCCCCAAACCAGATAAGATATATTCGATTGACCACCATCGTATCCACCAAGAGGGATTGATGTTGATGTGGTCTTAGTTGGGCAAAGAGACACTGCAAATGGGTCCTTGCCAAGCAGCTCCTCGAAGTTTGGTGGAGATATCAAGTGTAACATAGGCTCGGTGCAAGCCTCTTCCACCTCAACTTCATCCTCAGCCTGGACGCCAATTGCTTCCACAACCCCCCTTCCTTCTTCAAAATGTGGTCTCTTCCCTTGGAAAAGATCAAGAACTACCTCTTCTTTACTTTCTTCCTCATCCTCCACAACTTTCCTCCTCATCCTTGCTCGCTCTTCTTCTTCTAGAACATATTGGAGAGCAAGTCGCCAAGCAATTTCTTCAATGGAATCATCTTGCATCTCCTCGCACAGGCCCAGCATGCTAGAGCATAAATGAGGAACGGTGTGATCTGCCACCAGAGGAATTTCCTGATCATGATCATTATGGGAGTTCTCTGTGATAACTTCTGTAGGCTCCTCAACGCCCCCGCTGCCCTTGTCATCCTCCGCCTCTTCTAGCGTAGTAGCAGAAAGGTGATCTTGAGCAGGATGTGAGCAAATTTGCTTCACCCACTCTGTTTGCTTCGCTGAGCACTGAACAGCCTGCTCCATGTCATGGAGCAATGAGGGATCGGAAAAGGCAAGGGCTTGGATTTGAAGATCCATCTTGGAGCATGCTCTCTCAGTGTCTCGAGCAAACTGCTCCACGAGAAGCCTTAATTGTTTGTTCGGATCTTCCAGTGAAGTGTAGCATGGCGCTGCAGAGTGGCCCGCGAAGGTCTCCATGGCTAACTCCAACTCAGATGGCCCCTCTGGTTGTGGCAGGAACTCTTCTTGAAAAGGGTATTGTTCTTGAGGTTCCCAAGGGTTTGGTTGTTCTCCATAGTAGGGGGGTTGGTACTGAAATCCGACTCCATAGTCTTCTCCTCCTTTATTGCTCCAGGAGGTCTCGGGGTAATACCACACGGATGGTGGTTGATACCCCCAATGGTTGTAGAAGCCATGAGGATCCATGTTTCAGAGCTGCACCAACAAAAACATAACACCCAAGTGAAAAGCAAGGGTGGAAAAGAAAAGAAAGTGCAATAAATAAAAAGCTAGAATAACAAATTCTCACGTTTCCCCAATAATCTAGAGGGTCCCCGGCAACGGCGCCAAAAACTTGACACGCTAAAACACAACACCTAACAATGGCCAAGTGTAACCAATGAAAGGGACTGCAGTATAGGCAAGTTTAATTATCAACCCGGGGTCTAGATCTACTGCTTACTCCGTGATTCTCTATTATCTAGCAAACTAAGTCGAGTGATTGTTGTGAAAAGTAAAAGCAACAAGAAAGCAGTAAATTGTTCGGGTTTCTAAAGCAGGGAAGAGTCACTCGGGATTGAGTCCCCCTAGCCCCTTAGTTAGGTTCAATTGCAATTCCCTGGGTTGATTTACTGTTGATTAGACTGCGGAAGATCCGACAGTAGCTTGGAATCTCTTAAGCTGACCAAGCCCTCTCAGTCTAACTACCCGGCAGACGACTAGTCTTCACCGGGATAGAAAGCTGAGGCTATGAACACAGAACTCCACTACTGGCGCCAAGAACACCAGTACAAAGCAGTAAACTGGCTAACTCTCGTATAGCCAATCCCCTACTATCGAATGAAGAGGCTCTAACAACCTAATCAGATTCTATCTATCTCAGGTTGCAGCAGAAATTGAGAAAAGCTGATCAGACTCAAATCAATTCAATAAACATGCATCATTCGATTAAAATCAAACAGTAATATCATCCCAAGTCATTACAATCAAATCCCTAACACAAGGAACTAGGGTTCTTCATACCCAAGTGAGAGAAGGGTTCTACTCCATAGAGAGAGAAGAGAAAACAAGAATCGGATTAGTCATACTCATAACGATGAGGATAATCTGCTCTGGGACGATGATTTTCACTCCTATGACGATCTCCAAGCTCGATTCGATGAAATCCAGCTCTAAGACAGCTTCTAGGATGTGTTCTTCGCACTTTCTCTCTCTAGGGCTCTGTTTTTGCTCTCAAAACACGATTCTCCCACTTCTGGCTCGGAATAGGCTCTAAAACAGGGTTTCCCGACTTGCACGGCCAGGGTGCACGGCCGTGCACATCACCATTCTGGCCGTGCACTCCAAAACGCGCCGTATCATTAAATTCGACCTTCAGCCATCGTGCACGGCCAGGATTGCACCTTGCACGGCCGTGCGTGGCCACGCACAATCCCGTGCGTGCCCACGCACAATCCCGCACGGCCAAACTGGTCACTTGCACGGCCGTGCGTGGCCACGCACAATCCCGTGCGTGCCCACGCACAATCCCGCACGGCCAAACTGGTCACTTGCACGGCCGTGCGGGTTGTGGGTGTGCCCGTGCGACTTCCTCAGAACCTCGCCATGCGTCCGATCCTTGTCCAATCGACCTCAAACTCGCTCCCAAGCCTCCATTCACGTACTAGGACCTGAAATATCATAAACAAGCACAACCTAGCGTGAAATCGGCCTAAAACACGAGAATCAACACCTCAAACGGTGTAAGAACGGGGGTAAAAACATGTGTAAATGATGGTCTATCACTTTGCTGGATGTGTCTGATGATTGGTTAACATGTTCCCGTCGGACCAAGTTGTGGAAAACGTTGTAGGCTGATTTCATAGTGAAATCGCCACTGTCCGTGAATCTCCAAGCCCAAATGTCCTCCAGTGACTCAGGGCCAATGGGGGTGGCAGCTACCTGTTTGAGGTCCAAAGGGCTCAGATAACCTGCAAGGAGGTCGAATCTCCAGGCTCTATTGATCCCATCAATCCAATGATCCACAGTGGACTCATCAGGCCAGTCAAACTCGAGCAGTGGGCCCGGTCGATCAAATCTCCACAGTGGTCCAAAACCTTTCCAGGCTGAGCTTCCAGGAGTTGGGAGAAACTCAGGGGATTCCATGGATGTTTCAAGAACCCTGGAATTCAGGAAGGGGACTGTACAAAATCCTGTTTTCAGGTTCTCAGGAAGTTTTGACAGGACATGATGGGATCCTGCTAGAAATATGCAAGCAAGAGATGGGTCAGTTTTAGGTTTGTGGCAAATAATCTTTCCAAATTTACCTCTTGATTAGAACCCAGGAAATGAACCGTTCTTCCTACAGATATGCAGCCTAGCAGGCATCAAACCGTTCTCCAGGTAGAAGCAGTTCAGGATTGGGCCAATTCTGTGGAAGTAGGAAATATGGAATGGAAAGCTAACATTGTAGAGCTGAGGCCTAAACCGATCATAAGAACCGAAGGCTACGGGCTTATTGAACCTGTCAGAGGACAGAGGTGGCAATTTGTAATCCGATTCACCAATCCAATCTATTCACTTAAATATCTAATTAATCAAATCTATCTGATCCAAATCAAATGGATGGGTGGATTCATGGGTTGATCCATGGATCTAAATGATAAATTACGATTTAGTAATTGAACTTTTTATATTTCACATTTTGATACCTAAAATTTATATTTTTAGATGAAAAATATAATTGGAAAATTATGTTTTGGTACCTAAAGCTTTTGTTATGACATTTTAGTACCTAAACTTTTCAAATTTACATAATAGTCAAAGGCTTAGATGTCATTTGGATTCATGGATCAATCCACCAATCCACTTGATCCAATTCATGAATCCACCAATCAAATTAATCCAATAATACACAAATCCAATCCATTTTACACCTCTAGCTAGAATCATTATCTTTTATGGGAGCCTAAGATTATTGGTTAGCACTCATTCATTATAACTATGAGTTGCATATTGAAGGAAAGGAAAGGAAAACAAAGGTACATTTTGTCTTTTCATTATTATTATTATTATTATTATTATTATTATTATTATTATTATTATTATTATTATTTTGAGGAACTTGTCTTTTCATTATTTGGGATGTAATGAAAAGTCACTTTTTCTTGGCTAGCATCACTTAATTATTGTCCTATCTAACCTACATTTTCATATCATGACACTCTACCAATGCCACTTGAAATAATTAACTCCCATCACATATTTCATATACATACAATACCAGATTAATTACCCATCTGCTTATTAAATAAAGTACTGGCTCATGCTTGCTTCCTCTCTCTCTAGGATGATGATAATAACTATATCTTAGAAGGCACTAGGCATGCTAAACAAGACAAAAACGATATATATATATATATTGTTATTAATCCTTAATCTCTCACATGTGTGTCACAAAGTTTTGTCAGTAAGCTAGGTAAGTACCATACCTTTGACCTTTAATTTGCACTTCACAACGAAACACATTCTTAAGGTTTCCGGATTAAATTGTATGCTCAATTAGTATGATTGTTCGTTTTGATTCAAATTTGTCCGAAATTTTGATTATAGATAACTTCTTAAAACCATCATACTAATGAAGATTAGTAAACACTTTATATACACAAATCTTTTTCTTCTGTTATATCCAACGTGATGATTATTAAATTGCTCATAACAGAGGAGAGATTCTTTGTGTTGGATTCTCGTTCTTTTTTCCAAAGTCCTTCTGCTGCATATTATCAATGCTTCTCTGTCGCCAAAAAGAGCGATTCTGAAAGTTTACAGGCCGGCATGGCACTGGGTTTTTGTGAAATTCATATGTACTCTCTCGATGGTAAGTCAAATCAAAGACAGAGAGGTTACTTACAAGTTCTAATTCCAAAGAGTAAGGTTCATAGTTGGTCAAACTGCGTTGTACATAATTTAAGGGGTATGGTTGAGAATTAATGCATCAAAGTTAGTGTTGTTAAGAGATCACTGAATTCGATTATGATTTATGACCAATCTACTAACTTGTTGTTTGTTGAAACACACAAAAATAAAAAAATGTAGCATGACATTTCTAGTTACGAGAATTATATATCGAGTGATTTAAAATACATACAGGGGCGGAGGGAGAGGGTAATAGGGTGGGTCCCCTAGCCGAGAGGAAAATGGTTAAATTAGGTATAATAGTTAATCGATACCGAAAATTAAGACCTGTATAGTTGATAATAGTTGATCAAAAAGTCTTGTGTTCGAATCTTGACGATCTCATTTATTAAACACATGGTATTCAAATTTGTGCAAACTTCAATTCCGTATAATTAAGACGATTGAACCTCACCCATCATCTCAAGTTATTGATACTATGGTTCTTGACAAAGAACACAATTCAAAGTGAATGAATAACTAAGTGAATTATAAATTGTTTTTATAAGATTCATTATTAAATTTCTATCAACAACTCAAGTTATTGGTACTAATCGGTTCTTGAAAATAACACTATTAAAAAATGAACGACTATCTAAATTATGAATAATTGTTTGATAAACTTAGAGTGATATTCTTAATAGTTTGGATTACTAATGTATTTTAATTTATCAAAAAATTCAAATGTAATATTATGTCAGGAATAATTAAAAAAATAAAAAAAAATTTATCATGCTTATTTTTTTATGTGAACCCACCCTAGATGAATTCCTGGCTACGCCCCTGGATACATATCTTGTGCTTAGGGATGGCAATGGGTCGGGTTGGGTCGGGTTTTGCCAAACCCAAACTCAAAGTCATGGGTTTATTCGTGAAAAAAACCGTAAAGTCACCTAAATTATAATTGACCTAGGGATGAAAATAAAGTCACCTAAATATTAATGAAATCTTTATAGACGTGAAGTCATGTTGATAGAAAGACCGTAAATCGTTGCATTTTCTTCTAATTTTCCGATGAAGTAATATAAACCTAGAAATTTGTTGCCACAAACAGCCGCCCGTAGTTGACAAAGAAAGCCAACAAAATGGGGGTGGAAAAAGAAGCCTAGGTTGCGTTTGGATACAAGGATTTGGATTTGGTATTTGTGATTTGGATTTTCAAATACCAAATTATGTGTTTGGATATTAATTACATTTGGTATTTGGATTTGTGTCAAATTCATGGGGTGATTTCCAAATACATGTCTAGTGTATTTTTTGTCAACTTCAAATACATTTCAACAACTAGTGATTTGAAATACCTCCTAACAAAAGAATGAACCTATTTGTAAAATATTAAAAGTTTAGGTACTATAGTGTGAGCAAAACATATAAAGGTACCAAAATGTAATTTTACCATCAAAATTTCAGGATCTTTTTGTAAAATTTTAAAAGTTTAGGTACTAAATTGTGAGAAAAAATAATTTTGGGTACCAAACTGTAATTTACCAAAATTTGTAGTAAGTGACCAGAAAATTAAAAATTGAAAATCATAAATACAAAAATACAAACAAATTACAAATGAGTATCCAAACAATGAATTTGAATTACATGTATTTCAAATGCTAATACTTCAAATACATCCATTTCAAATGCTAGTATTTCAAATACCTTTCATTTAAAATACACTTATCCAAACGCACCCCTAGAGAATCAAGGTTGAAAATACGCTACTAATTATGAGGGCTGCTAAACTCATCAATCACATAATTAGCCATCGATATGTTCCTTACTAATTACTTGTGTCACACGATATTGGGTTTTGCCTAATTTTTTTTTCCACCCAACTGCTGACAGTTGACATAAATGCACGTAAGCAAAGCAAGAGTTGTAGTTTTCAGCCGTTTTGACTGTTAATAATCATCCCAAGTTACGTCCTATATTATGCCATGCATACGTGGACTGTAAACCACATTAAGTATATAATTAAGCTCAGTATTCTAATTTAATTAGTTATAGGTTGGTTAAATTCCTATTATACCAAATACGTACCTTGTTGCACACACATTATATCCACACCACCTATAAATTACCTGCTCCCTAACAGAAAACTCGATTAATTAATTGGCTAATGTGTACGTAATTATAAGTAGTTAATTTGTTGTTGGATGATGATCCAATCGAAGCTGATTAAGGCAGCAGGGCAATTATAGTGACGTAGCTGGTCATGTGCTTAACCAATAATAACGATCATCCTTTCCTTTTATATACAGAAAAAAAATATATTAAAATTGGTTATGGTAGTTAAGTTTATATAACAGCTCATCATGAAGAAGTTTGCGTGTGAATTCTGGATATGTGTACACTCTCGTTGTAATTAACGTGTAATTATTTCTTTAATTTAATGTTGGATATGAGAGATTTTGAATTTAATATGCACTAATCATACAACTATTTTTCTTTTTTACTATCATGTTATTATGTACGTGAGAGCGGATCTATTGGTTCTGCCTTTTGATTTTCGTTGGCTACCCTATTTTCAAGATGCAACGACATTTTCCTACAATCATTTTTGACAAATCTATGTGTGCAAAACTTGAATGTTTGATGGCTTTGTAAGGACGACGAGATGGCGAATCGGACCTTTGATCTCCGTGATGGAGACGCGTGGCCTAAATACTTAATCAATAGATCTCGTGAATTTCTTCATTTACGTACATTCAATTGTATGTGATTTCAACGTATACGATTCTCCAACGTAGTGTGATCAGGACGGTTTGTTAACACTCAGTGACAACAATCTAGAGTCAACGTACGATCAAAAACAAAAAAGCTACCAAAGAGTATATATATCCAGATGAGATGGATCAAGAACCGTGGGGATTAGAGCGAATGCGTTGATTGATCGAGGGCTAGGCAATATATATATATACCGCTATGAACACAAAGCAACATCAGCCGAGACATAGTTGGACAACGCCGTCCCTCTTGCTGCGCATGGTTAGTACTGTTGATTCGTTGCACGCGAGCAACGATCAAATACATATTAGTTATGAAATTCTCATTGATTCGATTTGCAACTTCTCGATCTTGTGATCGAATCATTTTTTCTTCGAGGGTGGTTATTATTCTTTATCAACCCTGCATGTCTGCCTAACTTGAAGCTTTCATATCTTCTAGATTCTAAGTTCTCAATCACCAATTATATGTGCTGATAGGTTTCGTGTTTAATTGGTGCTTACTATGAGTTAGAACGATGAACAGTGCTCACAACGTTGACCATTTTCATATATACTATGTAGACATGATGCACAAACAGTTCCATTTTCCACGGCGATAATTAATTATAATCAATAATTTCACGATTGATTATTGTCATATAATTAACAAAAGGAATCATATCTATTTAATACGACCAAATTTGATCCCATTTTGATCTCCTCACCATCACCATCTTACAATTATTTGCCCTAATACGTATACATATACGTAGTAGTATACATACATACATGGACTAGTGTAGGTAGAGACCGTATTAATAAAGATTTAATAATACAGAATAACCAGTAGGAAAACAGAAGAGACCAAACACCAATAGTGAATTATTTGGAAGAAGAAGACTGAGATTATGGTGAACAAAAAAAACCAATCATTTGTATAATAAACTAGTTCGATTAAACAAAAAAGGGGTTTCGTTGGACACAGGCAGAAAGATCGAAGTTCCCATCTTGGAGTCAGACCTCTTCCAATTAGGGATGGCAACAAAACCCGAACCCACGGGTACCCACCCGATCCAACCCGGTCAATGCGGGTAAAACCCGTGTTGACGGGTTTTGGGCCGGGTTTGGGTTTAAACCCGCTACACTATTCATCGGGGCGGATTGGGTTTGGGTTTAGGTAAACCCGCCCCATAGGTACCCGCCCACACACATAATTATTTTCCCGGTATATTTAATATTCTAAATAATATATCTTCCTTAAATAACTAATATTCTATATGTTTGTGGAGACATGTATAATTTGTTCCTTCTAATTATTTAAAATGAAGTTGATATTATGAAGTGGAGAGTGAAGAAACTTAGTTGACGAGGAAGGAGCTTTCAATTAATCTTATTGTTTATAGATGTTTATCTTTAATTTTGAACAATTTGTATTTATCATTTGCGGTTTGCTTGTATGCTCTAGATTGGTGTTTTTTGTATGATTAATTTGTATGAGAAAATTGATGTTAAACTTTATTTTGAAAGAAACTTTTTATTGTAAACTTTTTACAATAAAAACCCACGGGTACCCATAAACCCGCGGATACCCAGCGGGTTGGGTTGGGTTTGAGTTTTTCAAACCCAACGAGTTTTACCCCGGGTTTTTTTGGTGGATAAACCCATGGGTTTGGGTTTGACAAAACCCGCCCAACCCGACCCATTGCCATCCCTACTTCCAATATATATTTTCATTCATTAATAAACAAATATTTCCCACAAGGGGAAACAATAAAAAAAATAATGAAAAATCCTTGACAAGCCAGTTGCAATGCATACAGTGAAATGACTGCCACTGCCCTTTCCCAATCCCAAATCGGTTCACCATTTTGGGAGGGTAGAGTAGGGTTTTCCACAATAAAAACCCTATTTAGAAATTATATATGGAGTGAAATTGGGTTATAGTGGGGGGGATAGGAAATCGCTGTCAGTAGTAATAATATAGTAATATGACTCAGTTTGATCTGAGGAATAAAATTTATGGCCAATAATAAACAACAGAACAGAAACGAAAACCCTATTGAATTTGCTTCATAAATCATAATGGATATGTATAAAGGCAAAACTAATATATATAGGTGCCTTCTAGACCTCAAATAATTACCAGGATTTTTGGGCATGATACTATACTCTAATCCTTATTGAGTGAACTCTAGGTCCTAATTATCTAAATAATAAACTATAAACTCTAAGATGGTGCATTCATTTTCTCCCCATATTTGAACGAATCATAACCGTCGATTATTGTTACTAATTAAATTGATCTTGGGATATAAGATTTAGAGAAATAAGACCTAGATTTTAATCTTCAAGGGTTAGAGTATAGTCTGATCATGTCCGAAAGGTCAGTCAATTCAAGGTTTGAATAGCGTTTTCATACTCAAAGTATGTGTTACCCCGGATTTCACTCTAGGTACAGTAGAACTCGCTATGTATATATATAAAAGGCACGAAACGTAATTGGGTTTTTATTGTATTGTTTTCTGCTGCTCTCTCTCTGCCAACCATGAGATGGTGTGATACAACTTTTCTGATCATCAATCTCTCTTCCATGAGAGTTGTAAAAATATTCTCTGATCCAATAGTTTGCAGCAGCAGAAGAACACACAGATCGAGCTATACATTATAAATAAATAAAAAAAGAACACAGAGTTATGTAGCTGCTTCATATAATCAATCTCTCCCCAAAAGGGAAATTGGCACAAAAGAACTTGTACAGCATTATTTGGAACAAAGGCCTGATGAAGAAAGAAAGAAAGGAACAATTAAGTCTTATCATGAGCAGAAAGGAGTTTGAATGGAAATTATTAGCTTCCTATTGAATGAATAATTGTGCCCCTCTTGATTTTTACTTACACAGTCAGAATCCAAAATCAATTCACTGACCTCAATACTGATACACATCCACCCCAAATTACATCAAATATATATTTATGTATATAGTAGTAGTACATGAAAATTGTTGTAGCTAGCTAGTAGTAATAGTACATGAGCTTCTCCTGCACAGCCTTGTTGTCATCAACAACACTACTGATGAGAAGGGTGTTATTAATGTCAGGATATTCACCACTACAATTCTTCTTCTTGTTGTTGCTGCTGCTGCTAATTATATCATCACAGCTGGTACTCGGCATTACGATGAGTTGCTTAACTTGCTCTTCAAGATTCTGATGATGATGATGATGATGAGGATCCGGCATCAATTGTGTGGTAGTTGCAACTGTTTGATACCCACCATAGCTGAGCTGCTGCCCCCCAAAACTCCCATCTGAGTTTGAACTGCAACTGGCTGCAGCTGCTTCATGAGAACCACTCCCAAACACCAACAAGTTACTGTTGTTGTTGTTGTTGTTGTTGTTGTAGTGCTTGTTGCTCAAGAAAGGGTTGTTGTTCCCATCCTCCTGAAGGGCTTGGAAAAGGGAGGAATTTGTTGTGGTGGTACCCATGAGATTGGATTGGAGTAATGGTGAGATCATGTCAAACCCACTACTGGTCAAAGATTTGATGAATGGAGAAGGAGTGGTGGTGGTGGTGGTGGTGTTATAGGACTGGAGATGGGAAGTCTGGTGATGATGGTATGAAGGGAAGTGATGAGAGTGAGAGGAAGGAGGAGGAGGAGCCATGGACATCATGAGCTTCTTCTTGAGCTTGGTGTTCCAGTAGTTCTTGATATCATTGTCAGTCCTTCCTGGTAACTGTGCTGCTATTATTGACCATCTGCAATTTATACACCAAAACATTTCATTAATATCATCATCAAGCAGTCTCCTTTGACATTAAACTTAAAAAACCCACCAAACAGAAAGGAAAGGAAAGGAAAGAAAAGGGCTTGTGTTTGAATTTCAGCTGCAGATTTTAATGTAGGTAGCAAAATTAGGTGTGTTTTTTCTTAAATTTTGAGCCAGATTCTTCAGTACTGTCCATATTTTCTCTGCCTAATTTTTACTATAAACAACTTCTGATCTCTACTCAACCTCTTAGCTTCCTTTTTTCTTCTTTTTTATCACAGACCAAACAGTGTGGACACTTAAAAAAAAAATGTAGTGTTGAAGTAACATGGTACCTGCTGCCAATGGTGGCAAAGAGGGTGCAGATGATGTTGTCTTCCTCATCAGTGAATTCACCATGCTTGATGTTTGGTCTCAGGTAGTTCAGCCATCTCAGCCTGCAGCTCTTCCCACATCTCTTCAACCCTAGCCATCACCAACAACAAACAACAACAGAAACATGAAACATCATTATGACCATAAACATAACTATTAATAATAATAATCACAATTAAGATCATTATAAGGGTTTGCTAATTGATTAATTACCAGCTTTCTGAGGGAGGGAAATCCAGTTGCCTCCAGTGCCACATTTCTCAATGTACTCCTTCAGCTTGCCATCTTCCTCAGGTGACCATGGCCCTCTCTTCACATTTGATTTGTCACAGCATGGTGCTCTTCCCATCTTTCTCTCTCTCTCTCTCTCTAAAAACCAGAATAAGAAGCTACCTAGCTAGGAGAAAGAAAGGGAGGAAGAAGGAAAGAGGAAGACAAGTTTCAACTCTCTCTCTCTCTCTCTCTCTCTCTCTCAAGATTTTCCTTTCTCTGTGTTAAAGAGGGAAGAGAGACAGCTAAAAATGAGTTTCCTTTCTCTCTCTCAGTCTTGTATATTGGTTATTATTATATACCCCATACAATAACCTAACCACACCCAGAAAAAGAAAAGAAAAGAAAGGAAGACTTCCCTTGTTGATGAGAGAGTGAAAGAAAGGTACTTTTTAACATGTATATTTTATTTGGTTTATGGACATGCACAAGTCAAAATGATTGACATGTTCAATCAACCTTCCTTCTTCTTCTTCTTCTTCTTCACAAACCCACTAAATTATCATAATAATAATTATATTAGTGTATGCATTTGTGATCATTAGTTCTTTTAAATTTCCACTTAAACTGATTTTAATTTGTACATGTATACATAAGGGGCTAGAGGGTAAGATGCTGAATGACAAGTTGACAACTTAATGTCAACAGTACACACAAGGGAAAAGAAAAAAGAAATAATATTATTATCTCACTTGTGAAAGGAAAGCAATTAAGGATGTTGATTCCCCTTTGCTTACTATTATTAATGTTTCTTAGTTTTGAAAAGTATATATAATTTCTGGCAACATGTTCACTATTTTCCGCTTGAATAATTATACCGATTTTATAAATGATACCACCATATATCTTCACATTTAGGGTTGACAAGAAAATTTGGCAAAGATAAAACTTATTTATGACCGAACAAGGAAAAACAGACTCTGAGAATTCGATCGCGTGTTACTCCATATCATATTCGTAATATAACAACTACAAGTTTTAGGAGTATCGTACACAAAGATTTTAAAGGAACACAAAGAAGAAATACGAACAAACATAATATGAAAAAAAAAGTAATGATCTATCATTAATAGAAGTTTCCAGCTCTCATTATTCAGGCCATCCCTCTCAAGAAGAAGAATACCAATATTTTGACGGTTTTGGAGTTTGACATACACACACACCAAATAAAGCCTTGCAATATTGCTCTCTTGAGTCAGTTTTCTTTCTTCAAAAAAGGGTTGGGATTAGGGCTGGATGTTCGGGTTCGGGTTTATGGGTAACCCGGAATCGGACCAAAAATTCTGGGTTTTGGGTACCCGAGAACCGAAATATCATTGTGAAAAATGGGTCTCGGTATCGCATCTGGCTATTTTTCGGGTTTTGGGTAAACCGAACCCGGACCCGAAAATAGAAGGACCCGAAGTGGAACCGAACCCCAGCCCACAAGCCAAATATTATATGGCCCAGCCCAGCCTTAAGGCCCTCGGCCCCCCCCTCACTCCTCAGCCCGACCCCGACAGCCCAACCTTCATCAGCCTTCATCAGCCTAACGCCCTAACCCTAAGCTTCATCTTCCCCTTCGACCTTCCCATTCCCAGCGGCCACTCCCCACTTCCCTCTCGCAGAGACGCAGACAAAAACCTTCCTACAATCATCCTTCACCAAATCGCCGACTATCATCCATCAACAATCAACAAATCGCCGACCAACCTTCTGTCATCCTTCAGCAAGCATGGAACGAGCAGGTGGGAGGAAGAGAGCTGCTGTAACAAGTTGTCTTCGGTGGCTTATGGGTATTCGGGTGACCGAACCATACCCGAGAACCGTGACTTTGGGTCTCGGGTACCCAAGAACCGAGTCTGGGTCGGGTCTGGTTCCTCAAACTGACATTTTTTGGGTCCGGGTACCCGCATATTTGGGTCCGGGTACTAGGACCCGAACCGATCTCCAGCCCTAGTTGGGATATGGCATCCAAAGTCTTTGGCCGCCAGTTGAAATTCAACAAGAAATTGAATTGACAGCTTATTCATGTGACATTTTCCAACCATGGACTTTATAGGTTGGCTTGTGATCATATACAAATATAATTATTTTTTTTGGTTTCCAAACCCACAATACTTTTATTTTACTAACTGGCTTCCAATTTCTTAGCTATAGATTTAAACTACAGAGTTTGAATTTAAGGCAAGAGCTAGTGTGGAAGTCATAGCACTAGGGTTTTCACACACCTTTTGATTTCATACATGTTTGACAATTGTTAATTTTTATATTATCCACTTAAAAAAACCTCATCTCCAATAAAGTCAGCTTGCACCATATCTAATATTCACTTTGGTTGTTAGAAACTCAACTTGAATCCAATGATTTTCTATCATTTGTTAATCATCACTAGTGGATTAACCTTTAAAGTTAATCTAGGACTAATTAATATTTGTGTTCGTCATCTATCCGTCCTTGATTGGGCGTTAGCTAAGTAATACTAGCCCCAGAAGGATCAGAACTGACCGACATAACGTTGATTGTGGCACATATCCATAATTTCACAATTCGTGGTTTTCTAAGATCAAGCAGATATACAATGCACTCATATTTTTTTATGAATTTTACCATTTACGGGCTTTTACGTCGTTGGATTATTCTCTAGAGGGATTTTTCGGTCATTAGTTATATCAATAACACCGCCACACCAATCCTATGTAACTAAAAACACGTGGTGGTCATCCAACGACGTTTTTTTTTTTATAATGGATGCAACGACACCCTAACTTTCATTCAAAACCAACCGGGGTACAGAAACCCTTTGACAGTCATACAATAGCGGATGCGAGAGCATCGGATCGAAAATCGGAAACAAATGACAACCATAGGTAAGGTGATGGCCCTGACTAGCAAGATAATCAGCACAAACATTACCCTCACGATACACGCGAGAGATGCGAACTACCTAAGGTCAGGATGTGAGCTCGCTGGACCGGGAGATAATGGCCGAACAATGGTGGTCATCAATGTCGGTGCGGTGTAGCAGCTGAACCGCGCACTTCGAGTCGAGTTGAAGCAGAACCCGACGTTGACCAGTATCCCAAGCCACCCGAAGACCTTCAACGGCACCTCTCAACTCAGGCTGGGTAATAGAGCATGACCCCAGCTGGTTAATAGCGAACGCTGCAAGACAGCGCCCCAAGTGATCACGGATCAAGCCACAAGCTGCTGCATGGCCTGATTCAGGGAGAACGGAGCCGTCGGAGTTGAGGCTAACCTACTCGGAGGAGGCGGCTTCCAGTTAATCTGCTCCTCCGTTCTAGTAGGCGGGCTAGGCTGATGAATGAACATGTCCTTGTCCAGAGCATTCCTTACTACAGGTAACCAATTGCTCGGACTCGCTGACTGAAGGTCTCAGGTGTGACGACTTTACCCGCAAAGACTCGATCGCTTCTGGTCCGCCAAAGGGACCAACAAGTAATGCCGAAATCAAGGCTCCTCTGTTGGTGTCGAATGTTTCCAAGAATCCAACGACGTTATTAGCACAATACATTTTTACAAATTTCATCAATTTCTTCTTCTTCTTCTTCCTTCTTCTCATCATTGGGGTTTTTCTATTTAAGTGGTGACTCCACGGCTAGGGTTTGTCGATCCCGAAAGAGAAGTAGTGTTGGTCCATTTATGGCGAGATTTTGTAATGAGACCACCGCCTTTTGTTATTATTCTAGAAATCTTCATATTTCACGTTGTGTGTGTGTGTAAATAATCACCTGCATGTGTGGCATCAAGAGATAATACAGATCAGTATAGGAGAAAGGGAGTAGACATTAATTTCTTGACAAAGCTTGAATTATGCATCTCACTACTGTAATTAAGTAGGGTCTACTAATAATAATTAACATGGCTCAGTGATTAACAGCTTAAGAAATTGTCATTACATGATAAAATTAATATTTTAATAATCTTGGAGCAAGTAATATTGGTAACAATTAATGGTTAATAATGTATATTTGTGATGGGTTGGATTGATTCCCTTGACAAAGTAATGCCGGTGTTTCCAGAAACCATGTGAATACACAGAAGATCTTACAGGGAAGGCGCTCATGATTGGTGCTCTTCAACAGAGACCATACCAACCCTAATTTAATTATAATCTAATTATTTCTCTCGTTATTCACTAATACATTTTAAAATCTTAAATCGGGTTTCACAAATTTCTTTCATATCTTAATGATGTAATATGTCATAATTGTGAGTCGGTCGTGGATTTTTTTTTTCATACCAAAGTTCGCTTGTATTATCAAAAACTTAAAGATAAAAAGTAAGCACAAAAATCGAAACTGATTAAATCAATGGATGACAAAATAAAGGTTTTCTTAGTCATCCTATGGGCTACTCTATTACTCTGCATACCTATAAGTTGCGCGCACTGATAATCTAATGGCTTGTTTGTTTGATGGATTTGGTGAAGGATTTGCATCCATCATGGACTTTGTCCAAAATCCATTGTTTGCTTCGTGCATTTAGGGAAAACAAATCCGTGGGTCCCACAAACTTTAAGGTACCAAATCCGTGGACCCCACGAACTTGAAAGTTTCACCTATTTAGGTGGGAATTGATTATGGATTTTGAAGTCCATCATTTTTTTACCAACCTACCCTTCATATTTGCTTTCTCTTCTTATATTATTGAGGGCAATAAAGGTAAATTACACAACATACATACAAATTTAATTAATCCATCATGAAATCCATCAAACAAACAATGGTGTTTATCGAATCCATAATGAACATAAAACCCTCATATATCCATGGTTTTTCAAAACCCAAGTAATATCAAAACCTTCATTTTTCAAATCCACGACGCAAACGAGCCCGAGGATTAGAAATTTTACTTCCACAAGAGGGAGAGATGACTGCCGGCCGGTGGCTTAACTCTAGAAAACGAGACCGGCCGGTAGCTAGCAATATCAAGCCAAAGATATCGTAAGTTCGACGTTAATATTCTTCTCTAATTAATTTCAACCCGTTAATGAAATGAAATGCATGCACCCGTCATTATCATTATACTATCGGTATTATTCGTTACCCAATAATCTCATTATTTATAATTAATGTATACGTACGTTATTCTACTAGTTTCCATTTTCATTCACATTTTGCACTATCCCTTTCTTCTAGTTGACTCTTTGTTGCTGCCCATCGTAGCCTCGATTCCAAACCTCGCGAAGACAGCCGCTACAAGTCATTGCTTCCCTTTTACTTTGGTAACATAGAAAAAATGAGACCAAGGTTGTTTGAGGATTGGCTTGTTCTAAAATTTTTAGATCTCCCCATTATGCAATTTTTCGATAAGATGTCGTGGACGAAAACATGATTTAGAATGTGCAAATTGGTAAAAGTAATCGGTATTAATGTGGATTGTATGCTCTCGACAAGTATTATCATAGTTTGTTTGGGGAGTTCTGTGTGATTGGCTGCAGTTGTGTGGACCCTCAGTGTTTGACTTCGCGAACGGTGATGATCTGCGTCTAATTCATTATGTCGTGATGTTTGTCTTGTCGATGCAAGATGGTTGGCAAATTAAATGGATGGAGGGTAGTTAATAGAGTTGATTATTTTTTATTCGATGAGATCTATAATTATTGAGGTACAATTCAAGTGCCACATAAATAAATAAAAAACCCCTTTTTTAGTAAAAGTATCCGCCTAGTTCCATTAGTACGATCTCATTTTGCTGCCCAAGTGAGGAAGCAGAAAGGCACTAGTCAAAGTGTCAAACAATACATTGGGCTGGGCCCTTTCGATTTTTTCGCGGACAGTAGGTTTATTGGATTTGATTAATTAAGACTGTAAGCCCAGCCCATTCAATCTCAAACAAAAATCCAACTCCAAAGCCCACCACTCTCGACAAATTCTGATACGCGGGACACCAACCACCATCATCATCAACCTCAGTCTTTTGCTTCAAGTCAATCATCATTCATAATTCTCCCCCAACCTTGTCAATCTCCAACACTCCGCCATTGTTATGTACACTGCACCATCATCTTCTTCATCTTCTTCTTCGAATTCTCCCTTTTCATCTCAACCACCACCATGCCCATCAACAAAGTCAAAGTCAAACCCACCTCCCATCTTCATCTCCTCCATCTTCTTCCCATCCTCCCAATTCTCTTCCCACTGAGTCAGTCAATCCTCCAGAAACCACCTCCCCTCCCGATCCTCCCTCTCCCCTCCGCTCCCCAGCTCCAATGGCAGCTCTCCGACATGGCCATGTTCCTCCATTTCGGGCCCAACACCTTCACCGACTCCGAATGGGGCACCGGCCACGCAGACCCATCAGTCTTCAACCCGACCCGATTCAACGCCACCCAGTGGGTCCAAGTCGCCAAAGACTCCGGCTTCAACCGCGTCATCCTCACCGCCAAGCACCACGACGGATTCTGCCTCTGGCCTTCCGCCTACACCAATTACTCCGTCAAATCCAGCCCCTGGAGGAACGGGAATGGCGATGTGGTCGGCGACCTAGCCGCCGCCGCCAGCAAGCTCGGAGTCTCTTTAGGGCTCTATCTCTCCCCCTGGGATCGCCACGAGGATTGCTACGGCAAGACCCTGGAGTACAATGAGTTCTACATGGCTCAGATGACAGAGTTGTTGACTGGGTGAGTAAGATTTTGATCCAAAAAAGGGTACATTGCTTTTGAATGAAGAAGTTGATGAATGTGTGGATGGATTGGATTGGATTTGGTTTTCAGGTATGGTGAGATTAAGGAGGTGTGGTTGGATGGGGCAAAAGGGGAAGGGGCTAAAGACATGGATTACTATTTTGATACCTGGTTTGATCTCATCCATCAGCTACAACCTGGAGCTGTGATATTCTCTGATGCTGGTCCTGATACTAGGTGGGTTGGTGATGAAGGTGGTGAAGCTGGATTCACTTGCTGGTCTCTCTTCAACAGGAGCGATGCCAGTATTGGTGGCACTGATACCAGATATTCGCAGGGTGGAGACCCGTATGGGCACGATTGGGTGCCTGCAGAATGTGATGTCTCGATCCGGCCAGGATGGTTCTGGCACCAGTCGGAGGCACCCAAGTCCGCAAGGCAGCTTCTCGACATATACTACAAATCTGCAGGCAGAAATTGTCTCCTGCTGTTGAATGTCCCTCCGAACACTTCGGGTCTCGTATCATCTGAAGATGCGAGAGTGCTTCGTGAGTTCTACGAGCTACGGAGGTCCATATTCTCGTACAACCTCGCTGCTAACTCCACTCCAAGCGCCAGCAGCACGAGGGGTGGCAGCAGCAGTTCTCGGTTTGGGGCCTCCAATGTGTTTAGTGAAGGTGTGTATACGTACTGGGCGCCTGAGGAGAATCGGTCGAATTGGACGATTCATATGGACCTTGGAGGACCGGTGTCGTTCAATGTGTTTCGAGTTCAGGAGCCGATCCAGATGGGGCAGCGGATCATTGCTTTCCATATGGAGGTGTTGAATGCAGCTGGGCAATGGAAGGTAGTTGCAAAGGGAACCACGGTTGGATATCAGCGACTGTTGCAGTTCAGAACTGTGCAAGCTGAGCAGTTGAGGTTTGTGGTGGATGGGAGCAGGGGAGATCCGCTTGTAGCTTATATTGGTGTTTATAAGGACCAGTATTTGGACAGCGGAAGTTCGCAAAGATTCTTCAATGGCACCGCCAGTCAAGTGATCCTGGAAAAAGTAGGCTGCAAACATTCTCATCTAGCTGCAGCAGTGTAACAAATGTGCTCTTCTCAATTCATAACTTGTATGTAATAAGATGATGTAACAATCTGTCTGTACAATTTATAAATGAAGGTTTCTTCTTAGTAACTTTGTACGATAATCCAAACTCCATAGAAGGGAGGTTGAATATATGTGGTCAAGATTAAGCAGAAAAGGTAAATACAAAACAAGTTAACACCTGAGCTGCTGCACAAGCCATTTGCTCCGGCATACCTTAGAACAACAAGTTGAGGTCAAAATGCAGGCATAAAATTGGCCTTCACAGATCACAGGAGAGTCCAGCATCCTTCACCAGAAACCTCTCCACAAAACTCCGTGGCGACGACAGAAGCCATTCCAACAAGTATCTCGTCTGCTCGCAACTATCATCATCTACAGCTCGTACAAGTAATCTATGTGTAACAAAGGACTGCCAAACCAAAGGCATAAACTCACGATATGAAGAATTCTGGGTAACATCATTGCTTCCACTTCTATCCCCTCCAAGTACAGTTGCCTTGGTAACCATAACAAGCATAGGATGCACCACAAGAACCTTCTTCATCTCCCTAACAACAGCTTCGACTATACTATCAAGTGAAATGCCTCTTCTCCCATTACAACCCGGCAAAGATTTTGCAGCAGAAGAAACTGCCCTGTCCATCCAATGAAACGCCCCAATGTTGTCAATCATCAAACAATGAACTCCACTACCCTCCTCAACTTCTTCTTCTACCACCCTCTCAACAAGCTGATGATGCAATGTCTTGAGAGCGCTGAGAAACTCCAAACTGCTGTAACAACGAACGTATAGGAATCTCTTCATGCACAGTGAATGCAGTTCTTCACCATCATCAAACAGTAATCCACTACCTGCTTCAGTAATTCGCAGTTTCAGCAAGTGGGATAACCGCAGCACATCGAATTTACAGTCCAAGTCGATGTACACGACCAGGCGGTCCAATCCGCCATAGTCGACTCCTTTCCACTGACCTGGGAGGATGCAGTCGATTGCGGCGTGGATTAGGATGTGGGTTTTGGCAGAAGGGGAAGGCCCAGTTATCTCGACCACGTTGCCGGCGCGGAGAGGGAGCCGGTGGAGAGGTGGACGGAATTGGAAAGGCGGGGACTTGGTAAGAACCCTAGAGAGCATTTCTTTGGCTGTCTCGTCGGTTTCGATCCAAGCTCTGGCTGCCATCTTGTAGCTAGCATTGGAGCTGAGCCCCGCCGATTTCAGCTCAACCAGGTCAAGTGGGGAGAAATTGGTTGAACTCTTCGTTGAGGTGACATCGAGTAGAGCTAGAAGCGACTGTTCATTCGTTCTTGACGCAGTAAAAAATGGGATGAACTTCCGTCGGAGAAATAAGGAGGGTAAAAAAACATTTCCTGGAAAGAGGGGAATGACCGAATGAATTTCGAGAAGAGAGAGACAAAGAGAACGAAGATTTTGGGAAGCCAAATGGGTAACAGCTTTTATCGGCGTCAAATGAGTTTTACCCAAGTTTGAGCTTGGTTCGTTAATAAACGAGTTGAGCTCAGTAAATGAGCTAAGTTGAGTCGAGTTCGAGTTAGTTTGTTTAGTAAAATCTTGACTCGTATTTGATATATTTATTTTGTATGTCATACAAGATACATTTGATTAATGTCAAGAATAAAATAATAATAATAAAAGTTAAGTGTTATCAAGAATAAAATATTAACTAATCTCATTTTATACTTTGTGGTATCAACCTATTTAGTTAATAAATTTTAACTAGTGAAATTATGTTATTTCATAGTATCGAAGCAATCTATTATATATAATTTCTTTTTAAAATTAAATAAGACATATTTGCTCACATAAATCTCGTGTTAAACTTTATATAGGGTGAGATATATAATTTAACAATCCTATAAATTATCAAATCAAATACATATTGATCAACTCGCACATAAATCGGTAATCGAGTTGGCTCTCTAGCTACAATGTTGAGAGTTGAGACATCTTATGAGCATTAAACGAGCCAACTCACGAGTTGAGCTTAACAAGCCACCGACTCGAGCTCCGCGAGCTGCAGATGGCTAAGCTCAAGCTCAGCAAATTAGTAAACGAGTCAAGTTTCGAATGAGTTTTTCTCGAGTCGACCGTCGAGCCGCTCGCGAGCAAGCAGCCCTAACGGTAGAGTTAATAATTTCTACATGGCACCAATTTGCACATATTTAACATATTGATTAATTTTATTGATTTATAATATCGTAATCTCAATTCATCTCCTTATTTACTAAATTGGTCAAGTCACTGTACAGTATCCACTCAACATAAATAAACTTAGAAAATTTATAAATTCCACCATATCCTTTTGTTCTTGATGTAAATACTACTAACAATCACTGGAAGGTCAAATTGATCCTACTATCAAGAATGGGAAGGTCGAATTGGTCTTTACCAGTGCTGTCAAAGCCGAACCGAGTCGGCCGGCCGGACCGCAAAGCCGCCACCCGGCCGTAAAACCGGCTCGGATCAGCTATTTAACCGCCACGGTTTTATACAGCGGCTGGCGAGCGGCCGAAGCGGTTAACCGCTCGAGCCGCTCAAGCCGGTCGCACGGTTCGGCCGTTTGGTTTACCCTAGAAAAAAAGGCCAATCGTGGAATCGGCCGTCAACACCTCTTGTCCCGGCATCGGCGCTTCCCGACGGCATCGCCATCCCCAGTCGCCATCGCATCGTCATCGCCAGTCCTTGTTGTAGCAAGCAGCTCCCCGCTCCCGGCGCTTCCATCCCGTCGCCACCGTTGCAAGCAGCTCCCCGCTAAGTTGCCCTGTCTCACCAGAGGCTTGGATTGAATCCGAGCCATTTCGCGGATTAAGACGAGGAAGAGCATTTACGGGTTAAGAAAGGATGAGGAAGAATTGAATGTGGTGATGGATTTTTTAGGAATTGCAGAAGGATATAGAGGCTGAAAAATGAAAATAGGTGCGGCGGTGGGAGAGGAGGAAGGAGAGAGGGAGGGGGGATGGGGAAGCAGAAGGAAGGAGAGTGATGGGTGGGGAAGCGGCGCTGTCGCTTAGGATTAGGTTAGGGTTTTTTTTAGTTGCTGTATATATATGTTGTGTAGAATTATTAAATGGTACCTGTAATTATCATTTTTACTCATTAAGCCATTGAATTATTACTTTATGTGTGTTCTACTATGATATTATATTGTTTATAATGTACCGGTTCTCAAACGGTTTTTAAACGGTCTAACGTCGGCTGGACCACTAATGACCGAGCCGTTCACGTTACCGGGTCATACTCCTGCTCGACTTTGACAGCATTGGTCTTTACTATAGAGAATCATATACGGTACAACTAACAAATTTGTGAAACCGTACCATTCCAAATATTAAATTGAAAAAGTTAGTGATAAAATATTTTTGTATATCACTGCTTTCACAGCCTTCTCAATGCTCAACTATTGGAAGTTCAAGGAACATAAATCCTTACTAGATTCATGACATTAGTGCTACCTGATAAATGGTCATGTTGCTACGAGAATCATTTTCTTCCAACATTCTGTATCACAGTGAATCTACCATGCATCTAAGTTCTAACTACCGAGACAGATAGCAGTAGGTACAAAGTTGTTAGAAACCGGCGGGTTGGGCCGGTTGGGTGAGGGAGTGGCAGTTTTGTTATTTTCATTATTCAGCTTTTGTATTTAAAAGGGAGAAACACTATTCTGCAGAGTTAGTCAATTATCAATAATAACAATCAAATCCCTAAGTCCCAATTCTCTCTCTCTCTTGTTCTTCCCCAATTCTTCTCAAATCCCTAATTTCTTCTCTTCTCAATCCCTAATTCCCTTGTGGAACTTCTTTGTTTCTAACATCTGGTATCAGAGCCCCGTTCCGATCTGTGAGTTCTTCTTAACTCCATCAGGGACAGCTTCGAAACCAGGGAATCGGCAATGGAAAAATCAGAACTGTCATGGGCTCAGAGGCGTGAGAGGCTGTGGCAGATCGCGGATTATTGGAGGAAGGAGGCAGCCGAGTTCGGCCAGGCTGACCGAGGCGCGGTGGGGGGCGCGCGACAGGAGGCGGCGCGCGAGAGGGTCGCGGCCGAGGCGGAAGGCGGCGCGCGGCTGGGCGCGGCGTGCGAGGCGGCAGGCGGCGCGCGGCTGGGCGCGGCGGGCGCGGCGGTCGAGAAGGGCGCGGGGCGGAGCCCGGCCGGCGGGGCTGGCGGGGAGGCGCCGAGGCGCGCGAGGCCTGCGGCGGAGGGTGAGGCCGACGGCGGCTGCGCCGAGGAAGGCCGGGTCGCGGGCGAGGAAGGAGGGGGAACGGCGGCGATTTCCCTACATTCTGTAGCTGGGATTTCGTCACCCGGGACCCTGAGATTCCGAGCAAGAGTGGCCGGGCAGCAGGGTCTTGTTCTCGTTGATAGCGGGGCCTCGTTGAATTTCATCGGGGAAGACTTTGCTAAGACTTTGCAGGTGACCGCGAGCCCGACGAGACCGGTGGTGGTTCGGGTTGCCAACGGGGCGCCGTTGCAGTGTGTCGAGGTGTACAGGGACTTGGCATTGGAGATTCAAGGCTTGGAGGTTGTCACTGACCTCTATGTACTGCCTTTGCGAGGGTTTGACATTATCCTCGGTATACCTTGGCTGCAGAGCCTAGGACCGATTACCAGCGATTGGCGAAGGCTGACGATGTGCTTCAAGTGGAGGGATAAGGAGTGGAGTCTGAAAGGCTTGACCACCGCCATTGGGCCGATCGAGATGGAGGAGTGCGCGAAGGGGGAGGACACCGAGCTCGCTGTCCTATGCTGGCCCCTATCTGCAGCAGGGAAGCCGGAGGTGGATGGAGAGATGCAGGAGCTGTTAGACCGGTACCCCGAGTTGTTCAGGGCGCCGACCACTCTTCCGCCTCATAGGCAGGTGGATCATCAGATTTGTCTGAAGGAGGGAGTGGAAGCAGTGAATGTGAGGCCATACCGTTATGGGCACTCGCAGAAGGGGGAGATCGAGAAACAGGTAGAGGAGATGCTTGCGACCGGACTGATCCGGCCTAGCACCAGTCCTTTTTCTTCGCCGGTGTTGCTGGTTAAGAAGAAGGATGGGACGTGGAGATTCTGCACAGACTACCGGGCTCTCAACAAGGCGACCGTGAAGGATCGGTTTCCGATCCCGACAGTGGATGACATGTTAGATGAACTGCATGGGTCGAGCTATTTCACTAAGCTCGACTTGAGAGCCGGTTACCATCAGATCAGGATGCAGGAAGAGGACGTGCCCAAAACAGCATTCCGCACTCATAATGGCCACTATGAGTATTTGGTCATGCCATTTGGGCTATGCAATGCTCCTTCGACGTTTCAGGCTGCCATGAACGACATTTTTCGGCCTCTCCTGAGACGGTATGTCTTGGTATTTTTTGATGATATCCTGGTTTATAGTCCTACTTGGGAGGACCATTTGAGACATTTGCAGGAGGTGTTTGAGATTCTTCGGAGGCACCAGTACTATGTCAAGGCCTCCAAGTGTGAGTTTGGGGCGCAGAAGGTGGATTACCTGGGGCACGTGGTGACACCTCAGGGCGTACAGGTGGACCAGGCCAAGATTCGAGCCATGGTGGACTGGCCAGTGCCCACCAACGTGACCGAGTTGCGTGGCTTCCTGGGATTGACCGGGTACTACCGGAAGTTTGTGCAGGGGTACAGTATGATCGCTAGACCTCTGACGGACTTGCTGAAGAAGGGAGGGTTCGGCTGGTCACCGCAGGCAGAGGAGGCGTTCCAGAAGCTGAAGCAGGCGATGACCACAACCCCCACCTTGGCCATGCCAGATTTCTCGAAGACGTTCGTGATTGAGGCCGATGCGTCTGGCCGCGGTATTGGAGCAGTGTTGTCTCAGGATCGACATCCCATTGCTTTCATGAGCAAGACACTACCTCCTTCGAAGGAGGCCTGGTCGACATACCAGAAGGAGATGCAGGCTATCATCACAGCAGTACAGATGTGGAGACCATATTTGCTGGGCCAGAAGTTTCACATCTATACAGATCATCAGAGTCTGAAGCATCTCCTAGAGCAGCGGGTGTCGACGCCGGACCAGCATAAGTGGATTTCGAAGCTACTGGGGTATGACTACGAGATTCATTACAGACCGGGACCCACCAATGTGGGGGCCGACGGCCTATCCAGGCGCCCGGGTGGGGAGATCCTCACGGCAGTGACCGGGCCGGTGCCGGAGTTTTGGGATGAGCTTCGTGCATCGTTGGAGACCAGTTCCTATTTGCAGAGTTGCCGGGACATTGCTGTGAGCGACGAGCCGGGTCGCTACCAGTTCAGACAGGGGCTGGTCCTTTGCAAGGGCCGGGTGGTCCTTCCGCCGGGGTCAAACCTGGTCACGACAGTGCTGATGGAGTTCCATGACTCGCCGTTAGGGGGTCATTCGGGCGTGGAGCGGACCCTGCGGCGGATTCGGGCCCATTTCTACTGGCCTCGCATGGCGGATGACGTGAAGAGCTATGTAGCGTCCTGTGACACCTGTCAGCGGGTGAAGTTATCTCACCTCAGACCCGCCGGGTTGTTACAGCCGCTACCGGTGCCGGAGCGGGTTTGGGAGGACATCAGCATGGACTTTATAGTGGGACTTCCCCCCTCCGGTGGCAAGACGGTGTTGTTCGTGGTGGTGGACCGCCTGACGAAGTATGCTCACTTCATGCCTTTGGCTCACCCGTACACGGCAAAGGCAGTGGCTGAGCAGTTTGTATCAGGAGTTGTGCGGCATCACGGGTTTCCTCGATCTATTGTGAGTGATCGGGATTCAGTCTTCTTGAGTCACTTCTGGCAGGAGGTCTTTGCTATGGCCAAGACGGCACTGAAGATGAGTTCGGCCTATCACCCGCAGACGGATGGCCAGACGGAGATCGTGAACAAACATCTGGAGCAGTATCTCAGGTGTTTTGCCCACCAGCAGCCCAAGAGCTGGTTGGCCATGATTCCGTGGGCTGAGTTGTGGTATAACACCACCTATCACAGGGCTATTCGGATGACTCCCTTCGAGGCTCTATACGGGCGAGCTCCGCCGTCCCTGGTTCGATACCGGGTGGGTGACAGTTCTGTGGATGCCGTGGACAGATGGTTAGGGGCGAGGGATGAGGCACTTGAGCAGCTGCGGAGTACGTTGGCGGCCGCCAATAACAGGATGAAGCAGTTGGAGGATGCCGGTAGGCGGGAGGAGGAGTTCGAGGTGGGCGACTGGGTGCTGCTGAGACTGCATCCCTATCGGCAGGCCTCGGTCTTCAGGCGCGCCTACCAGAAGCTGGCGGCTCGTTATTTCGGGCCCTATGAGATTCTGCAGAAGGTCAACCCAGTGGCCTATCGTTTGCAGCTGCCGGCAGAGTCTCGCATTCATCCTACCTTCCATGTTTCATTGTTGAAACGTTACAGGGGGGCAGCAGACAGAGTTGAGACGACAGCTCCGCCAGTCAGTGCAGATGGTGATCTTGAGTTGGAGCCGCTGAAGGTGCTCGAGACCAGGTGGGTGAAGAAGAAGGGTCGACTGGTGGAGGAGAGCTTAGTGCTTTGGAGGCATTTGGAGCCGGAGGACGCGACTTGGGAGGAGTCGGGTGAATTGCAGCAGAAGTTTCCGTACTTTGACCTTGAGGACAAGGTCAGGCTTGAAGAGGGGGAGGATGTTAGAAACCGGCGGGTTGGGCCGGTTGGGTGAGGGAGTGGCAGTTTTGTTATTTTCATTATTCAGCTTTTGTATTTAAAAGGGAGAAACACTATTCTGCAGAGTTAGTCAATTATCAATAATAACAATCAAATCCCTAAGTCCCAATTCTCTCTCTCTCTTGTTCTTCCCCAATTCTTCTCAAATCCCTAATTTCTTCTCTTCTCAATCCCTAATTCCCTTGTGGAACTTCTTTGTTTCTAACAAAAGTACTACAGGTGTGTGAGAATTTCAAGTTATCTTGACATCACGAAGAAGCCTAGCAGCCATTGAGCCAATCCTCCTCGCTTCCCAATCGGTGATCCCCTCTGCCTCTGGCGACTTCACTGCTTGCTGTTCATGATCAGTAATCTCAATAGAAGGATCTCGAACATTACCAACTGCAGAATCATTACTAGCTTGAGATTCCTCCTCTTCCTCTTCCACTACTTCTGATCCTGGTTCCAGATCAGTTTGCTGGTTGTCTATCATGGCTCTTATACTGCCACCATTATGCTTGAACTCCATAATATAGAGCTCAATACTAGGATGTTGGTACTTGTGATGCATCTGCTTATAGAGAGAGGAGTTAGAGTTGTTCCCAGAAACAGCAGAAGGATGTAGGAAGACATTGAATCATGTAGTGTACCTTAGATTTCGGCACCGTTTTCACCTGGAAATTGCTTTTCCACATGGCAAGCATTTTCTCATGGACATTTGTTGAACGGATCTCATACCCCAACTGCCGACAATTGTTAAGCCAGAGGGGAAGCAAATATCAGAACTATGGATGTTTATGCATGAGGGGGAGGGGGGATATCATGCAAAAACCTACCAAGATTGTGGTTTTAGGGCTCGACAAAGCCAAAATGGTCTGCAGTAAGGGCTCCAACAGATGCTCCTTGTACACCTTCAGAAATGTGGACTTTTCAGTTTAGTTCCTATTTTAGAGAAGGGAATAAATCACAAACTAGGACAACCCAACCAACTAAGACAACCGTCAAGAAACTTACAACATCAGTTCCAATAATGAAGTCAAATGGTGGCTCAACAGCTCTAATATGTTCCTCATTTCCCCAATCTAATTCAGCAACACTGATTGATCCCAAGGAACCTACAAGTATCACAATGTTTCAATGGACATAAAATTATGCGTTCTTGTATAATCATGCAGGTTGCGCCTATCCAGCTGATAACAGTCCACAGCAGTCTAGACACGCACCTGAACTTTGATCCGATTGTACAATCCTCTGAGTGTTACGTTCAACATTTCGCATAAGCAGTGGCAAAACCTCGACCTGGTCTGTTGATACTACATCACATCCTAGAAGTGCCATCCCTGGAAAACAGTTGTTTGCATCAGGATAGTACAACAGATGGGGATAGGAAGAATATCAACAGCAAAGCTTTTCTCCACTACATGGACCGGACAAAGAAACCCAAGGCTTATTGTTGGATATGAAAAACTTCCTTCCTAAATATAAATTATATGGATACATAAGACTACAAACTCACCGAACCCAGCTACTCCACAACCAGCTCCAAGTTCAATAGCACGTTTTCCTTTAAGCTTGGATTGGCAGAACCTTCCCCTCCTACAGTTCTTCTCCTGGGGAAAAAAATGGATGTTCAAGGACCACAAGAGATGCTGGTAAGTGCTGAGTATGTCCTAAAAAGGGATCCTCTTATACCAAAATATCCATGACAGAGAAGGCGAGAACCAATCATTTCTCATTCAGCAGATTTTTTACATAAGTTTTGCATGGGCAGTAGTATTTCCCATGTTGAAACAAATGAGATGTCTATAGCTATGTCATCCCAACCCTGGGACAGGTTGAAGAATCACAATGACAGATGACATAATGTTTTGGGGAACTCATAGAAAAGTACAGTTCAAGCCTCAACACAATCCTAAATTTCACTCACAACAGAAATAATCTTGAAATAGTTGTCCTGGGTAACGAAAGTTTTGCTTCTATAAAGCTGCTGCAACTTGATTAAAATCTTGGAGCAACTAGCTATACAAACTGTAAGATGGGACGTAACGTTATCCATTTTCGATTCAATGAATAAAGCAAAGGCTTACCAAATATTTGACAAGCACCATAGATGCATCCCAAACTGTGGTTCCCAGATGCTTGGAATTTGGATCCTACACATGGGCAGACAACAAGGTCCATTACAGCCAAATAGTAAAGGTTTCCCACTGCAATAATTACAAATACCCCAATGATTATAAAACAGAACGAAACCTTCATAAGGCATTCTTAAAAGAAAAGAAAATTCGCACACAAACACAATCTCTTCCAAATGTTTAGCAAACGAAACTATCTCAGCAGTAACAATCAAACATTACGAAGCTACACCTGAGAAAACTGCAGTTGATGGCCCAAAGCTTCAAGCATAACTGCGCATGTACTCGGGGAGTTCAGCCTGTTACAGCAGCATAAATATTCTACTTCAGTATAATCAAACAAAAATGCAACACTTATTGCACGCAACAGAAAACCCTACTTGAAACTAGACCAAAAGATGCGAAATACCTGTCACCCTCCATTGATTACTTCTCCAGGAATCCCCACCTGCTTGACAATGACCTCTAACTTTCAATAAGAACGTAGAAGACTCTGCTACATATGTAAAGCGTTAACTGATCAACCTTTTCTCACCTTCTGAGCTGCCCAATTCGTATCAGCTTGTTCCAGTGCTGGAATCGATTCAAACTAGTTTTACAAATCAAACACTTCCCAAGCAGAAATTGGTGGAGAGTGATAAGGGAGAGTAACACTCGGAACAGACTACCCACTTTGTGTTTCTGTTTAGTAGTTTGTTTCCTGACTTCTAGCAACCTCTGCGTAGGCTGCGTAGGATTAGCTGTTCTGTTATTTGTACTGCTGTATATATATCTATATTGAATAAGAGAAAACTCAGATCTCCTGAGAACATTTACATGGTATCAGAGCTTCCATAGCCTAACAGCTCCTCTGATCCTTTCTTCCTTTTTCTTCGACTTCTTTTCCTGTCTCCACTCCCAATTTTCCTTTCTTCTCACCGCATCAACATTTCTTTTCTCTGTTCTTCTTCTTTGTCGCTTCACCATGTCGACAACTTCCAGCTCCACTTCTTCTGTTGCAGCAGCTTCATCCTCTTCCTCTTTTCCCATCTCGTTACCTTCCAACCCCCAATTGTCCGTGAAATTGTCACCCACCAATTACTTCTTATGGCGAGCGCAGCTTCAGCCTCTTCTTCGCTGCTACAATCTTGTCGGTCACATTGATGGCTCCCTCCCTGCTCCGCCTGAGATGGTGGCTGATCAGCCGAATCCGGCCTATCGCGAGTGGTATGGGCATGATCAGCTGATCCTTATGTGGATTAATCTTTCCTTGACTGAGGCAGTCATGCCACATATTGTCAATAAGCACACTGCCAAGGATGCCTGGGACACGCTCGCCTCTGTTTATGCTGATGGCTCCCCTGTCATTATCGGTCAGCTTCGTCGGGATCTTCGTCATCTCCGTCGTGGGAACGACTCTGCTCACGACTACCTACAGAGGGCCAAGACGATATTTGATAAGATGGTGGCTCTCGGTGATCCCATCAAGGAGTCAGAACTGGTTACATATGTGATTGACGGTCTTGATGAAGATTACCGCCCCTTCACGCGGAATCTGGAGGCTCGGTTGGAGCCTATCTCATTTGCTAATCTCAGCAGTCTGTTGCTGAGTGAAGAGCTGCAGCTTCGCCGGTTTCAGAGTGCTCCTGCCGGCGGAGTCAATCCCCAGGTCTTCTTCTCCGGCCGAGGTCGCGGCGCTGGTCGTGTTCCTCGCGGCAGAGGTGCGAGGTTCGGTGGCCGCCCATCTTCTCCGGGCCGTGGTTATTTCCATTCTTTTGCAGGTCCCAGGCCCACTCATGGTCATGGAGGTTTTCGGCCCGTCTCCCCTGGTGTACTCGGCGCTGGGCCTCTCGGCCCATCCACTGTGACATGCCACAATTGTGGAGGCAGGGGGCACATTAAGCCCAATTGCCCTAGTCCCTTGTACCAGTCCCAGCCCATTTATCCCTCTGGCCCAGCATCCCATTTAGCCCAATCCTCTCATCCAGTCCCTCAATCTCAGCAATGGCTTCTCGATTCTGGCGCGAACCATCATCTTACTTCTGATCTTGACAACCTGGTTCATCATTCTGAGTATACTGGCACTGATCAAGTCACATTTGGTAATGGTAAACGACTCCCCATTTCTCACTCTGGTTATTCTCATGCCACTGTTTCTGATAAAAATTATGTCCTCACTGATATTCTTCGTGTTCAAAATGCGCCTCATAATCTTCTTTCTGTGAGTTCCTTAACTCGATCTAACCCGATCTCTATTGAATTCTTTGATTCCTATTTTGTTATCAAGGACCGCCGCACGAAGGCTGAGCTCTATCGGGGATCTGCGACTGATGGCCTCTATTCTCTGCCCCTCCATATTCAAAGTCGCGCAGCTCCTCGTGTTTTCACTGCCTCTCTCGATCTATGGCATCAACGCTTGGGTCATGCAAATCTTCGTGCTGTTAAAAATCTTTTGTCTTCCAATTCAATAAAATATCATGATACTTCTGTTTCTCTATGTCATGGTTGCTCTGTTAGTAAAATTCATAAGCTTCCTTTTCCGTCTTCTCAATATCGTGCCACTGCTCCTTTAGAACTTATTTGTAGTGATCTTTGGGGCCCTGCGCCACTTCTATCTTATGATCATCAATCTTATTATATTCTCTTTTATGATCACTATAGTAAGTTTAGCTGGGTGTATTTTGTGCGATACAAATCTCAACTTCTCAGTGTGTTTATTCAGTTTCGCCAAATGGTCGAAAAATTCTTTGGTCTTCCCATTAAAATTTTTCAATCTGATTGGGGTGGTGAATATCAAGCGCTAACTTCTTATCTTTCAACAAATGGCATTATTCATCGTTCTTCTTGTCCATATACTCCCGAACAGAATGGTTGTGCCGAGCGCAAACATCGTCATATAGTTAACAATGGACTTGCCATGTTGCATCAAGCCCAGGTTCCTCTCAAATATTGGTCTCTCGCTTTTGAAACCGCCTGCTATCTTATCAATCGTACTCCAACTCCGCTTCTTAACAATTCTTCTCCTTTCACTACCTTGTTTCATCATCCTCCTGATCTCCTCAATCTTCGTGTTTTTGGTTGTCTCTGCTATCCTTGGCTTCGTCCACAAAATTCTCATAAACTTCAACCTCGTTCTACTCCTTGTGTTTTCTTGGGGTATAGTCGTTTACACAAAGGTTATCGGTGTCTTGATCGTTCAACTGGTCGTATTTATGTCAGTCGCCATGTTTTATTTGATGAATCCACGTTTCCCTTTAAAGATCGACCCATTGGCCCATCCGAACCCCTTGACTCTTCTTCCTTTTTACCCGACCCATTAATTCTCCCTAACCCTCCTCTCTTTTCTGCCCCAACCCAGCCCACTCCCACCATAAGCCCATTGCCGCCCACTGATTCTATCACCCAACATCCTCTTAACCCTCCTCCACCCGCCTCCCCACCATCCCCCATCGTCCTTCCCCCTGTTGGGCCGCAGCCCATTTCCTCCACTCAGCCCGCTGCTTCCCTCCCACCTGTTTCCCAGCCCACCGCTGCCCAACGATCTCCTCGGCCTCTCCTCCAGTATCACCGCCGCCCTCACCCTGCTCTTCCTTCCTCGCCACCGCTTCTTCAATACCATCGCCGAACAACTACCTCTCATCGCCCTTCACCTTCAAATCGTCCATCCTCTAGCCTCACCTCCCGCCCACCCTTTACTACATCTCCCCGCCTTATCCCACCTGCTCCGCCCTCTCCTCCACGGCGTATGGTCACTCGAACTCAGACAGGAAAACTAAAGCCTCGACATTATCTCGCCGAAACCTCCTCTGGGATTCCTACCACTGCTGCTCAAGCCCTCAAATCACCTATCTGGCGTGCTGCGATGACTACAGAGTTTGATGCTCTGGTTCGTAACCACACTTGGGATCTCGTTCCAGCTCCACCCAACATCAATCTGCTCACCAACCGTTGGGTTTTTGCTGAGAAAACTCATTCAGATGGGTCCATTGAACGACAGAAAGCGCGCCTCGTCGCCCGGGGATTTCAGCAGATTCCCGGCTATGATTTTGATCAGACCTTTAGCCCGGTATTAAAACCGGCCACTTTGCGGCTTATCCTGGGAATCGCTGTGTCTCACTCCTGGCCCCTTCATCAGATCGACATCTCCAACGCCTTCTTACATGGCACCTTACAGGAAGAGGTATATATGCAGCAGCCTGTCGGCTTCATCGATCCCGAGCACCCTGATTATGTGTGTCGACTGCGTAAGTCGATTTATGGACTACGGCAGGCTCCTCGGGTCTGGTTCTCGTGCTTGTCAGCAGCTCTCAGTGAGTTTGGTTTCGTTGCCTCCAAGACTGATCCATCATTATTTATTTATCGCACTCCTTCTGCTCTTCTCTATATGTTGGTCTATGTCGACGACATCGTCATCACAGGCACGGATTCAGCCACAATTCAGCGTCTTATGGTACATCTTAAAGCCAAATTTGCCTTGCGTGATTTGGGGCGTCTCTCTTATTTTCTTGGATTAGAGGTACATTACACAGATGCTGGTCTTATTCTTAATCAAAGGAAGTACATACTCGAGCTCCTCCAACGATCCGGCATGTCGCAATCAAAGCCAATCACCACTCCCTGCACTGCTGATCAGCTGCTTCAGAGTGCCTCTGATTCATCTCCGGCGTTTCATGAACCAGGATTGTACAGGAGTATTGTTGGCGGTCTTCAGTATTTGAGCTTCACCCGTCCTGATATTTCCTTTGCTGTCAACCATGTGTCTCAATTCCAGCAGAATCCGACAGATGCACATTGGGTTGCAGTAAAAAGAATTCTCCGTTACTTACAAGGGACTAGCTCTCAAGGGCTGCTCTTTCAAAAATCTTCTCAGCCGCAGCTCCATGGGTATTCAGATGCGTCTTTCGCGTCCTGTCCTCGTGATCGTAAGTCCATCTCTGGCTTTGCAGTCTTCTATGGTCAGAATCTGGTCTCTTGGTCGACCCGGAAACAGAAGGCGGTTGCGCGATCGTCAACCGAGTGTGAATATCGGGCGCTTGCCACGCTTGCCTCTGAGGTGATTTGGTTGCAGGCTCTTCTCACTGAGCTAGGCCAGTCTACGTCTACTGCACCGGTTCTTTGGTGTGATAATCTTGGGGCGACTTACCTTGCCCACAATCCAGTCTTTCACACTCGGTCGAAGCATTTAGAGATCGAGTTTCATTTTGTTCGTGATCGGGTCAACAAACAGCAACTGCAAGTCCGTTATCTCCCTGCCACTGATCAACTCGCCGATGTACTCACGAAACCGCTGTCTCGTCAACCATTTCGTTCCTTCTGCTCCAAGTTCCACCTCACCGAGGTTCCACTTGCGGGGGCGTGATAAGGGAGAGTAACACTCGGAACAGACTACCCACTTTGTGTTTCTGTTTAGTAGTTTGTTTCCTGACTTCTAGCAACCTCTGCGTAGGCTGCGTAGGATTAGCTGTTCTGTTATTTGTACTGCTGTATATATATCTATATTGAATAAGAGAAAACTCAGATCTCCTGAGAACATTTACAGAGAGCTCGATATCCAACGTCGCAAAGACGAAAGCAATCGAAACCCTCCCTGCCCCTGGCTTTTCTGATACTCGTACAAAAACCCTTCTCTAATTTGGCAGTCTTTTTCCTTCGTCTTCCTGGGACGTGACGTGACTACTGTTCTTAAGTCGAGCTACTTGAATTCCATGGTGTTTCAGTAGACAGTAGGTTCACTGTTTTAGAGCTGAAACCCAAAACTTGGTCTGGTCCAACTCGGGTTAAGATTGATGGGCTCGGAGCCCACTAAAGGGACCTTTGGGCCTCAGCCCAATCTTAATGGTGGCGAGGGGATTGTCCATTGTATAATCATCACAGTGCTATGGATTGAGAAACACGTTTCAGAACCGACTGTATTTCTTTCTGCGCATTTCTCCTCTCCGCCATTTATGTACACCTTCCAGTCTCCTCTCTTCTTCTTCTTCTTCTTCATTCCCACTAGCTTCCGCCCAGGGTGGCTCAATTGGCCGGCGATACATCATGAGACAGTCGTCGGCATCCACCGACAGCATGGTCGCCGCCCCCGGCGCCGGCCACCGCGAGGCCGAATCGCTCTTCCGATCCAAGCCCATCGCCGAAATCCGTAATGCGGAGGCGACAACCAGGAAGCAGATCCAGGACAAGAAGGAAGAGCTCCGCCTCCTCGTCGGGAATCGGTACAGGGACCTAATCGACTCGGCCGACTCAATCGTTCTCATGAAGTCCTCCTGCCACTCCATCTCTTCCAACATTGCTTCAATTCACTCCCACATCCGTTCTCTCTCCCCTTCTTCTACCTCCGCCGATTCCCAAACCCTCAAATTCACAACCCCTAATCCGGCCCGCCTCCGAACCTACGGAATCGCCTGCCGGGTCAAGTACCTGGTCGACACTCCGGAGAACATCTGGGGATGCCTCGACGAGTCCATGTTCCTCGAAGCGGCGGGAAGATACATCCGTGCTAAGCACGTCCATTCCCAGCTCCTCGATGGCGGTTTGGAGCGGGATCACACCAAGATACTGTCTAATTTCCCTCTCCTGCAGCACCAGTGGCAGATCGTGGAGAGCTTTAAAGCCCAGATTTCGCAGCGGAGCCGGGAGAGGCTGCTGGATCAAGGGCTTGGCATTGGGGCTTATGCCGATGCTTTGTCGGCAGTTGCCGTTATCGATGAATTGGATCCTCAACAGGTACTTTCTCTGTTTCTAGACACTAGAAAGACTTGGGTTTCTCAGAAGTTGGCCACTTATGGAGGGAATGTTGGTGAGAACAGTGCTGGTACTGGTGAGCTTGTTGTGTCTGTGTTTTGTGAAGTGTTGAAGATTATCCAGATCACTGTAGGACAAGCTGGGGAGATGTTTCTGCAGGTTTTGAATGATAGGCCCATGTTCTACAAAGTGATTCTTGGATCTCCTCCTGCCTCACAATTGTTTGGCGGGATCCCCAGTCCCGATTCTGAGGTGAGAATGTGGAAACTTTTCAGGGAAAAACTTGAGTCCACAATGGTAACACTTGATAAGCAGTATGTTGCCGAGACTTGCTTGACTTGGTTGAGGTTATGCGGCCGAGATACTGTGAGTGAGATCAATGGTAAATACTTGATTGATGCTATTACTTCTGGCGGAGAGCTCATTTCGGCTGAGAAGTTAATTAGAGAGACGATGGATAGCAAGCAGGTATTGGAAGGAAGTTTGGAGTGGCTTAAGAGTGTGTTTGGATCCGAAATTGAGTTACCTTGGAGTAGAATCCGAGAACTTGTTCTTGAAGATGATTCTGATCTGTGGGATGAGGTGTTTGAGGATGCTTTTGTTCAGAGGATGAAAGTTGTCATCGAATCTGGATTTGAGGATCTGGTGAGAGATATTGATTTGGAGGGCTCCCTTCATGCTGTTGGAGGTGACCCTGCTGAGTGTATTGATTTCCAAGCATACTTGAACAGACCATCAACTGGGGGAGGAGTCTGGTTCATTGAATCTAATAATACGAAGAAGCCTGGTGTAGCTTCTGGTTATAAAGTATCACTTGAAGGGAATGATTCTGGGAGTTGTCTCAATGCGTACTTTGGCCCAGAGGTTGGCAGTATCAGGGATGCAATTGATAAACGTTGTCAAGTTGTACTTGAGGATGTTCTGAGTTTCTTAGAATCTCCCAGGGCAGCTCCCAGATTAAAGGAACTGGTTCCTTTTCTACAAGATAAGTGCTATGCCTGCATGTCTGCCATACTTGCAGAACTCAAGAGAGAGCTTGACAATCTGTATTCTGCAATGGGAAATGTCGGTCAGTCTATGCCTGCTGCCTTAGTGGTTGAGAGATCTATATTTCTTGGGAGACTTTTATTTGCAATCCAGAACCACTCGAAGAACTTCCCACTGATACTGGGGCCTCCAAGGTTGTGGTTCAAAGGTACTTCATCAGGTTTTGAGAAAGCTCCATCTGCTTTGAGGCAATATAGGATCACGGCTTCTGATTCTCTTGATAGTCCTGGCCAGCAGTCGCCTGCTGGATCTAGGAAACAGAACCCCTCTGCCACTGCCGTTCTTAGTGGAACTAATGAGGCTGGGAGCCATAAACTTGAAGAACTGGGTGAAATGATCAGAGATCTTTGCATTAGAGCTTATGGCTTGTGGATATCATGGCTATCTGATGAGCTTTCTTCTATTCTTGCTCATGATCTTGGGAAAGATGATGGATTGTCAGCAACAACCGCCTTGAGGGTAAGTGGTGTCCCTGTTTTGTTTTCTGTGTTTCTTGCGCTCGTCATTCATATTTGATAACTTTGAAGAACCTGAAACACAATTTATATGGAAAGTTGAAGAATACCGTGCTTATTGGAATTCTAGATTTTAATTTTATTTGAGATCCTTTGTAAGTTGAAGTTGCTGATTCTGCATGCTAGTGGAATATGTCTATGTGCCTGAATACTTGATTGGAGCTCTCATTTTCCCCCCTCCATATTGCATGTTGATATGCGTAGTGGTTTGTCCTGCAAGCATATATTTGACCGATTATTAAGAATATGATTGTAGGTGGTAGCGTTTTCCCTCTCTTATTCATGATAAAGTCGAACTTATAGTTAATGGAGAAGTGGGGGTGATGAAGTGCAGTCATGTATACCATAAATAAATCATTGAGCTTTTCTTTTTTCCTGTATGTTTGGCCAGGGTTGGGATGAAACAGTAGTTAAGCAAGAGCACTCTGATGATAGCTCATCCGAATTGAAGATTTCACTTCCTTACATGCCTTCTCTCTATGTCATCTCATTTCTGTTTCGTGCGTGTGAAGAGGTTCATAGAATTGGAGGCCATGTACTTGACAAAGCAATCCTCCAAAATTTTGCCTCCAGGTTGTTGGAAAAGGTAAATATTATTTCTTTCGGGTGCTTCTATCTCATTTGAGCTATCATCTTCCTTTACTCTCTGTTTTTTGTATACCTCTTAAATTCTCTTTTTATTCTGGCTTTCATATCCAGATCCTTTTGCTGCTCATATCTTAAAATCTATTGGGACTGTGGTTTCATGTCAGATATTTATATATCTCTAAGTGCGTTTTCCCAAGTAGTGACATGACAGAAAATAGTGTCAGGTGGATCAACTACATGCTGTTTTTTTAGCTTCGAGTGGCCAGCCTTTGTCTCTAATTCAGTCTTGGTTGCTGTGATTTTTCTGGAATTGTGGATGCTTTACTTAAATTTCAGTATGTGATTAGCTAGGAGGGTTAGTGAAGGCTGTCCCTTGTTAGTGGATAAACAAATTCCTGATATAATATGCCAACCATTTCCATGCAGGTTTCTGAAATATACGAGCACTTCCTTTCTTCAAGGGATTCTCAAGGATCCCCAGTCTCAGAGAAAGGTGTACTACAGATTCTGTTGGACCTGAGATTTGCAGCTGATGTTCTTTCTGGAGCTGATTCCAACACTGCTAAGGAGTTACCTAGAATTCCCAAAGTGAAGGTTTCCTACAGAAAGAAGCAGGATCAGAGCCAGACGAAGGCAGTCTTTAGAGAACGGATTAATGTACTAATCCGATCTTTCTCACAAAGATTGGATCCAATTGACTGGCAAACGTAAGGTTTCTGGTTGACCTGTACAAATTGGTATAAGAACTCTGTCAGGAAAAAATGTGGAAGTTAGTAACTTGCTTAATGCTCTGTTAGTTCTCTAGGGGGTTTGTGATTGAAGCGTAGTTGAATATTTTCATGTTTTATAACCAATTTCATTTTATGTAGGTATGAGCCATACCTTTGGGAGAATGCAAGACAATCATACCTGCGACATGCCATTCTCTTTGGATTCTTTGTGCAACTAAATCGCATGTACACGGATACTGTGCACAAGCTACCTACTAATCCTGAATCAAATATCATGCAATGCTCTACGGTTCCTCGCTTCAAATACTTGCCAATCAGGTACCTTTCTGTTTGTTGCAGCAAATTCTAATTGCGGAAACATTTGTGTTCTGGAGTAAGGGCAGCTTGTCTATTATTATCAAGTGTGGTCTAAATTTGGGCTTCTTCACTCTATTTCACAGTGCACCTGCATTGTCTTCCCGAGGGACTACAAAGTCATCCTTCCCAGCATCCATAGAAGATGCATCTTCCAGGAATTTGTGGACAGCTTATGGCAACAGAGAACTTCCTTCCAAGATTAATTTTGATGACAGTTCAAGTTTCAGTGTAGCAGCACCAATTTTTAAGTCTTTCATGCAGGTATAGCATCTTTATCGCACTCTTTCAGACCTCCCTCACCTATTGGTTGCAACTTCATTTTCTAACTAGGTTGTGGTATAACTGAGCTGCCCTGTTGTAATATCTAGGTTGGGAGCAGGTTTGGCGAAAGCACCATGAAGTTGGGTTCCATGTTGACAGATGGACAAGTGGGTATGTTCAAAGACAGATCAGCTGCTGCCATGTCAACATTCGGCGATATTTTACCTGCCCAAGCGGCAGGTCTTCTGTCATCATTTACCACTGCCAGATCTGATTGATGACCTAATTCACCTGTCTGCACAAAGATGATTCGGTTGGTAAGAGATGGTAGTCACCTTAACTGAAAGCTTTGCCCAGTTTCTTAGGCAGAGAATCAAACAGTTTTTCAGACTGATTGCTGGAACTTGACTGAAGAGTGCTAATCTTTCATGAAGTGAGACAAGGCAGTGCTGGTTCGTTGACAATGCGCATTTCCTGTCACCTGTGTTATACTCTCAAATAGATGTAAACTACCAGCAGTTTACCGTACACCCGAATTGTGGAAAAACGAAGATTTGCTGTGTTCTCCCGGCATTGCAGTGGACCATCAATGGCATTTCCGGTGTGTAAATGAAACTGGTCAGCTTCACAGAGATAGAAATGGCATCTGCTATTCTATTCTTTCTTCAATCCCGAAGTTCGTACTTCGTAGTGAGTATTTGAAGGTTTCTTCTGCATGGCCGTTTTGATCAGGAGGCTAGAAGAGAGCAAGCTGCTTTTGCCCCCCAAGATTCTTGCTCCTTTATTTACAGGGTTTCTGTTGTTGTAAATAACAATATGTAGCCTCCAGGAAGAACTACTATCCTATAGCAAATGGGGTTAGGCGCTTGTTAATGTCAGATTTTTAGGCACTTCTTTTTTCCGTTTAACAATTTGATTGTTTCGGATAAATGGTCCTCAGCCATTGATATAAGTGGGAACAAGGTCACTGATGATCAATTTTTAACTCTAAAATCTCTTGGACTGAGAAATAAGCAATTTCCTAACCTTGAAGAAAGGCAACCGCCATTGTTCCATTGAGGATTGGATTTCAGCAGGCGTCAAAACCTTGAAGGAACTGTACAATTCCAGACCAGGTTTGAATTAGGTCCAACTCTAAACCCTGCAATTAGACTCTGGTAGAGCATTAACATGGTGCAGCATATGCCAAAGAATCAATGGCAACATCTTATTGCATCATATAGTTACAAATTACACAAACAAGCCAATTGCTCAATGCTTTTAGCCCTGTATTAAGAATCATAGTACTATGTTATTTACGAATTAGATCTTCCCCTGCATCCATCCTTGTATCATCTGCAGCGCAGCCTTGGGCTGATCCATGGGCACCATATGACCTGCATTGTACACCTTGAGGAAAGCCAACGGTCCATAGCTCTTCAGCTCCCCTGATTTTGCATTTCCCGCCACAAACGGTACGATCGAAGCCCCCTGGAACTTTGCCTGTCCGGACCATTTCATGGCGTTAACCCAGTTCAAGTTCCCCATCCAGTTGCATATCAGGTCATACTCTCCGGCGTAGATCAGCACCTTGATCCCGTTCTCCAGCAGGTTCGGGATACCGGTTTCGTAGTCGACCATCCAGTCTCCCATCATCGCATTGTGGACCGCACTGCTGCAGGACACGAAGTCGACGTCCTTCACTCCCAGCGCGGATTTCACTCTGTCGTCGCTCAGGAACTGCTCCATTCGAGAGAAGTCGTAACAGAGCGAGCCCTCGCATTGCTTTCGGACGTCGTAGTACTGCAAAGTTACACCATTTAATGTAAGTTGGTTGTGTAACTAGAAGTCCGAAATTTCGTAACGAGAGAGCACAGAGATTTCTCACATTTATCGAACCGGCAGTTTCCATTATGGAATTGAAGATTTCCTGACAAGTGGAGAAAGCTTCTGTGCAAGCATCTTCACCTCCAAAATCTGCAATTACTGGTTGTTAGATTTAATGCTACATCTTTCCAAGGACAGGGGGGGGGGGGGAAGCTTTAGGATACTGGTCCTTCTGAAGCTTCTTACCGCAAGCTGAAATGGCGGATTGGCAAGGTGGAACGAGGTTGCTGGTGATCGAATCGTGATCCGACTTTGAGATGAGTTTTGCAGCAAGAGCATAATCTGGGTAGGCTTTGTATTGGATTTCAGGATCAGTCAAGCCATTGCCAATTGCAAATCCCTGAGAAGAAAATAACAAGGAAACAAATTCCTGAGCTCCCACAGGATAAATTTTTGTTCATAGCCATGGACGAATGAGATGAGGACTGAGTACCTTCAAGTTGACATGGATTCCTTCGTTGTCGCTGTTTCCTTTGTGAATCCTGGAAGCCAGAGCAGGTATGTAATGGCCGGCGTACGATTCTCCTGTGATGTAAAAGTCATTTTTCACATATCCGGAATGTCCTTTGAAAAATTCCTGGAAACCCACCAATTACAGAAACAGAAATGTCAATTTGCGAATGAACCAAAAGAACAGAGTGAAAAAACAGAGGAGGAAGAGAGGGACAGAACCTGGAGGAAGCTATACAGATCATTGCTGACGTCAGTTTCGTTGCGTCGGATGTCACTATCGTCGGTCGTGTAGCTGAATCCTGTCCCCGTCGGCTGATCAACGTACAATATGTTTGCTGCCTGAGCAGAAAAAGGATTGATTTCAGAGATTCAAAACAGGGGAATCACTTAAAAAGTTAAGAACAAGGATGCCATTAATGAAGTTACCTGGTCCCAACCATGATCATTCCATTGCAGAGACATGTCGTCTCTAATCTGGAACGGACCGTTCTCGTAGAACAACGCGAGCTCGCTGGCGCACCCCGGTCCGCCCGTCAGCCAGATCACCACGGGGGCATTGCTCTTGTTCACCCTCGACTCGAAGAAGAAATAGAACATCCTGAAAAAGAAAATCTCCAGTGTTCAATATTCGAGCATCTGAGTCTACTCGAACCAGAAACATAAACTAGTATAGTGTTTGATTAGACCAACTTGGCGGCTTTGGTGGTGGGAAGTGAATAGTGACCAGCGTAGTGACCAAACTGTTGTATGGAAGGGCCATTTCCGCCGCCGGTGACATTCAAACTGAACTGCTTCTCGGTGATTCCCGGAGCATTTTTCGCTGCAAACCGGTCGTTCAGGACGAGGTTGGCTTCGTGCTTCGGGAACAAGTTGAGCGACCGGATCAGTCTTTCAGCTTGTCCATTCACGGAGTGAGTGTTAGAATCCGGTCCGATCTCGTTCCGGTGGGAGGCAGGGTATCTCAGGGCAGCTGAGAAGGAACAAGAGAACAGAAGCAGAGTGAAGGATAGGAAATGGAAAGCCTCCATTGTTGGGTTTTTTACTTGAGATGGAATGAAATGAATTGATATGGTTTCTGGGGTTTTTCCAAGGTTTATATATAGGTTCCAATTTGAGACACTTGCACGTTTAGAATTCAAGTCCAATGAACATGTTTGAACAGAGTTTCATCAGCTTCTTAAGGTGAAAAAAAAACTAAATTAAAAATGGCATCTTTCTCAAGGCCAAATCAGTAGCCAATGGACTTTTTTTCGAGATTCGGAAGCCGAATTTTGAACCATGTGTTCAGATTCTTTCATTGGATCATACTCTAGAATACTAATTCAGTCAGTAATGAGTAATGAGTAATGTGCCATGTCGGCTGGGAGCCCATAATCCGAATCCTGTTAGGATTTGGAATCAAGTCTACTGCTGCTAGCTAGGTTGTGAGGGAATAAAGCTGTGTTCAGGAATAAGTGGCCATCACGGCATGTTTTCAGATTGGTTCTGTTCAGAAATTTCTCTATAACTGAAATATTGGAGAATCTTGGTTTGACTCTGTTTTTAACAAGACCAGATCCCGAAAGATCTATGCCACAAACCACCAAGATTATGGGCAGGCTTTAGGTAGCTGGTCTTACCGCAAAGTTCAACTCACATTGAAAAGAAAGCATCCCGTCTGAAAGACTAATCGCATCAACATAGACTGATAGGAGAAAGTGAATTAGGTGAACTGCAAAAGTAGGGTTGGTCTGAAGAACTAGGTTTAAAGCAACCTGATGAATCAAGACGTTCTTGGTCGGTTCGTCGATTTAAGAATCTTCGTTTTAATCGTTTTTTCCTTGGTAGACTTGATGTTAAACTTTGTAATTTAGTTATTGATTGGTCGTTTTGGATTTGTTAGTTTAGTCAGTGGTTGGACCATGTTGATGGCAAGTGAGACTATAATCTAGAAAGGACTATTTTTTGTCAGTCCATCAGCTCAAAAATTAACGTTTTAATCGTTTTCCTTGGATAGTTTGATGTTCAACTTAGTTAATTTTGTTATCGTTTGGTCGTCTTGGATTTGTTAGCTTAATCAATTGTGGAGCTACGTTGATGACAGGTGAGACTACAGCCTCTCTCAACTCCCAAAATCATGCAAAATTACATATAAATTTTTTATAAATTTGAAAATATAGTAGTTGTTAGGGGTGGGCATTGGGTGGGTCGGGTGGATTTTGACCATAAAATGCACTCACCCGCGCTTAAGCGGATTGATAATTTTTAACCCACCACCCACCCACATTTAGTCTCGGGTTGGGTCGGGCGGATGGTGGATGATGCGGGTGGGTTTGTGGGTTAACCCACATCACAACGTATATAATATAAAGGAGTCAACTTGACATGATAATAGGTGAAGAGAATCATCGAGGGAAACAAGAAGTTGAAATAGGGCGAAAAATGTCGAATTAGTTCTTAAATTGGATAGAAATTCTATTATGAAAGAGTTTTCTACAGATTGAGACGATTATTAGGTGCAAGGAACTAAGGAAAATAATTCCACAAAGGAAAGAGCGGTGATCTAGGCACAAGAATTAGAGGAAAAAGTAAAGGGAAGAAGAGGGGATCTCTATTTGGAAGGTTGGCTTTGAGGTTCAAACTCCAGGAGCAGTCCGAGTTTATATCTAACGTCTCCACTCTCCTCTCTCTAGCGCCAACGACTTTGATTTTTTTGTTGTTGGGTTGAGCGGGTCACCCGCACACTCACCCACAACCCACCCACCACCCGGCGGATGGCTCCCAGCGCAACCCGTCACCCACCCACAGACCCACCCACTTAACGAAATTCGGGTCAAATGCGGGTGGGTCGGCCCAAACCCGCGGATGATCCGCCCGCATGCCCAGCCCTAGTAGTTGTTAAGGATTTAGTCCTCCTCGTCAGTTCGAAATCTCACAATATAGATTTTTAGCCCCTCCCATTTAGACTAATGGCTCCGCAATGGAGCTTAATCGTCCGTTTTTTGAATAATTAAGGGTGTGGATTACGGGAGTGGCTCAGCCGAGGTTTAGAAGCTAAAAGGCCAAAGATACTTCAGTAACTGCACAGTTTGTATATCTATTAGTTTCGATGTAAGTTCGCGACATCTTTTCTAAGTCACTAACCAATCATAACATTTGTATGTTTCGAACAATCAGTTCCAAGTACGTTATCCATCAACATCCAAGAATATTTTTAGACTTTGCATAACTTCGTCAAGTTTGAGCCCCGAGTTTCACTTCCCCCTCTAACCCTAGTGACTTCAATTCTTCGTAGGAGCAAATGTTTGAGCCTACCAAACTCTTTAACGAAATATGAAAATGGAATATTCACTTATGACAGAAAACAATCTCGTCTATATCTTAAATCATGTTCATAATTCACCTCAATTTCATAAGATGAAAAATATCAACATGTACCACTAAAAATTCACAATTCCAAATCCTCAATCCCCAACCATTTCTTCATATCTATATATATTATCAACAATCCCCAATTCTTCCTCAACTCAAACAAGAGAAATCCCTCGTTTAGTACTCCCAGTCGTCATCAACGCAAGCTTCCCCTGCATCCACCCTTCCAACATCTGCAGCGCGGCCTTGGGCTGGTCCATGGGCACCATGTGGCCCGCATTGTACACCTTCAAGAACGCCAGCGGCCCATAGCTCTTCATCTCCCCTGCCTTCGCCCCGCCGCCGCCGGCCACAAACGGCACGGTGGCCGCCGCCTGGAACTTCCCCTGTCCCGACCACTTCATCCCGTTGACCCAGTTCGAGTTCCCCAGCCAGTTGCAGATCAAGTCGTACTCACCGGCGTAGATCAGCACCTTGATCCCGCTCTCCAGCAGCGCCGGGATCACGGTCTCGTAGTCGATCATCCAGTCTCCGGCCATCGCGTCGTAGACCTGACTGCTGCAGGAGACGTAGTCGATGTCCTGCACTCCCAGCGCCGATTTCACCGAGTCGTCGCTCAGGAAGTTTTCCATGAGTGAGAAGTCGTAGCAGAGGCTTCCCTCGCATTGTTTCCTGATGTCGTAGTACTGGAATTGGAAATCGAAATTAGTGTCAGAGGTCGGAGTTGAGGCAGAACAGTTAAATTGCTTAATGGGGATTTTTTTTGACTGCTTACGTTTATGCCGCCGGCGACGTTGAGAATGGACTGGAAGATTTGATTGCAGGTGGGAAGTGCGTCCTCGCAGGAATTGTGGTTCTTGGCGCAGGCAGCGATGGCGGATTCGCAAGGCGGGACGAGGTCGCTGACGATGGAGTCGTGATCGGACTTGGAGATTAGTTTTGTTGCGAGAGCGTAGTCAGGGTAGGCTCTGTATTGGAATGCAGGGTCGGTGAGGCCATTTCCGATTGCGAATCCCTGTTTCAAGAAAACAGAGCATTTTCGTGAGGACCCATTTGATCAACAGAATAAATATATGGATTGGATTGGGAAATTTAGTCAAATTGTTGGGTTGGTGATTAGTTAATAGTTACCTTCATGTTAATGTGGATTCCTTCATTGTTTTTGTTTCCTTTGAAGACTCTTGAAGCCAGAGCAGGGATGTAATGTCCGGCGTACGATTCTCCGGTGATGTAGAAGTCGTTGCTCGCGTATTTGGGGTGTCCTTTGAAGAATTCCTGAAGGAAGTTGTACAGATCGTTGCTCACGCCTACTTCGTTGCTTCGAATGTCACTGTTGTCGGTCGTGTAGCTGAATCCCGTTCCAGTGGGCTGGTCTACGAACAATATGTTCGACGCCTGTAAAAGAAACGAAACCATAACGTAAAATTTACGATAAGCGAGAAAAAAAATTTAAAAAAAAATCATTAAAGACAAGTAGAGTAGATGATTGGTTTACCGTATCCCAACCATAATCATTCCACCGCAGAGACAAATCGTCGTTAAGTTTGAACGGACCGTTCTCATAAAACAACGCCAACTCGCTACCGCAACCCGGCCCGCCGGTGAGCCAAATCACCACCGGAGCATCGGTCTTGTTCACCCTTGACTCGAAGAAGAAGTAGAACATCCTAAGGAGAGAGAGAGAGAGAAAAATTCCAAAACGTGGTCAGAAAGGTTAGATTGGAGAGTTGGTGTACCAATCCGAACATTTTCCTGCCTGCCCAATTGGTGTTTTGTTTGGTTGGTTGGTGTTAAAAGTTAAGAACTCACTTGGCGCCTTTGGTGCTGGGAAGCGAATAGTATCCGGCATAATGACCAAACTGCTCGATCGACGGCCCCTGCCCGCCGCCGCCGGCGGCGGCGCCGGTGACGTTGAAGCTGAATTTCCTCTCGCTGATCCTCGGCTCGTCTCGAGCCGAATCGTCGTTCAACACGACGTTGGCTTCGTGCTTGGGGAACAAATTCAGGGACCTGATCATCATCTCCGCCTGCCCTTTTGCCGTCAATTTTGCAGAGTCGAATTTCAGGTTGGTAGGTGACGGTTGGTATCTCAGGGCGGCGGCGAATGAACAGGAGAAGAGAAGAACCAGAGTCAGGGAAAAACAGAGAGATGCAGGGGAACTCGAAGAAGAAGAAGAAGCCATTGTTGCTTTTTGGTGGTGGGATGGGAAATTGATATGGGTTATGGTGGAGAAAGCTTTGGATATATATAGTTTGGAAATGGACCTCGCCATGACAATTGGCATCTATTTCGTTTGTTTTTCTTGGCGTTTTTGTTTCTTGAGAGAGGAGAGGGGTCCAGTCAAATGGAGAAGCAAGCTGTATCAAACTTGTCCTCCTTGAAATATATTTCATTTTTCTACCTTAATTGTTTGTTTTGGAATTCATACCAATAAGAAAAAGACTATGGATTTTCACAATCGTGACATTTGTGGCACGAACTCTTACGTAATGACATTTGTTGCAGGGTGATTGTGTTTTTGAATCTGGTAACGTCTGTAGTGTTTCGTGTGCTATTTGATCGTTGTAATTCGTGTTAGGAGATATGCGCTTTTAGGTAGAATTTGAAAGTTTTGTAAAATCTAACGGTCAACTAGGCGTCGGGTATTGTCAAATATATAAAGTTCATGACGACAAACGTCCTTTCGAAAAATTTACGATTGACAAATGTTATTGTTGATAAATTCAGGATGTTTGCGGGCATTAGCCCTATTTCTTCCCTTTCCCTTATATTATACTTCCTTAAATGAGAATAGAATGGAAAGAATCTGAATTAATGTTTGGCCAAATTGGTGCTCAAATTCAAGGTATTAACCATTTATTTATGCACTATGTATTTTGCACGCAATTCCCTAATAATTCATTAAATGACACAATTAGAAATTTTGCGTCCAAATCCATGGTAATTTAGAATAATAAAAACAAATTAATAACGTTGGGGGGAGAAGAAGATCCCAAGTTCTTGCTTCTTGTGGCTGGATTCTGAGTATCTAATATACGAAGAGTCAATTTTTTTTTGCCTAACACCCATGGGGTGAATTGGCACATACTAGGTAGCCGTTAAATGTATCCTTCACCAAAATGTTGCTACATTGGGTAATCACAACTTTTTTTTTCATGTAGAGAGATTTCAAGTACAAATGATTATCATGATCCTCGATTTAAGATGATCAGATATGCACAATGACTTTTAATAACAAGTCGTATTCTCCGCAATGACGATCATGAGATTTTAATTAAGAATTGGTTAGTTTCAATATCGATGTCATCTCCATAAGTTCACACTCGTTCAATTATTTGAAATGAGTGAGTGATGAAACTACTCTTTTACACAGGGGACACCAAAATCGCTTGAAACCTAGTATGGGTAGAATTACGAATAAAACTTATAGCACAATTTGGCGCTCTGCCTATCTACTAAGATCCAAATCTCTCCCCAAAAAAAAAAATACTCATGATATTCACCAAAAACTCGTAGCAAATTTTTGATCCCTACCTATCCACTTCTTCCTATTGAGTAAAACCTTTACATCTTGGATTACTTTGGGGGAAAGGTCCGAACAGAATTGCAATTCAAGTTAGTTTCCCCCATTGTTATTATTCCAGTTCTCTTTGCATCTTGCTTTACTATAAAGATAACACTTAACAGCATTTTCATTTCTAGATATTTTGTGCCAATTTTCCCCCTGTCTTTTTAGGAGGATTTTCAGGGAAAGAGATGATGATCTTGCGTGCAAGATATCCGATATATGAAAGGGTTCTGTTTGGTTTCCTTCCCCATTTTCTTCTGGTTTTTGTTCTTTCCATGGTGGACCATTTTTTGTATTCATTATTCGACAAAAAAGAATGGTCTTTCACTCAAAGTGAGAAAAGGGTTTTCATAAACGAAAACAAACAAACTGATGGCTTCCAAAATCCCACTCCATTGCAACTGTAACGAGGTCCAATCTAAGCCCCTGTAATCACTCCGGGGGAGGAAAAAAACAGAGCATGCCGTATATTGGATTTATCTGCCGTCGACCGTCGTCATGCCGGGACCAGAGGATGGAAATTAGCGTGTGTCAGTTGCAACTTGTGTTTATTGTTAAACCCAAATCCGGGGTCCAAGTCCGACTGGAGATTAATTGATGATCCCACTGGAATTAACGTGGACGCCATGCAATAACAGACCATTCATTTGCTCGGCCAGACAGCAATGGCTTGGCTTGGCTTGTGAGGAAACGCTAGTGTCGAAATCACGACAATGGACAAAACTACATGATTAATGGTTTATCGAGATATAACCATCCTCCATAAATTGTGTTTATACACCAAATTTCCTAATTTAATTTCATTGCCAAATCTGCAATCTAGCTGATTTATCAGTTCAGCCCACATGTGCAACTTGGAATGCCATGCATCTATGTCAACTCTGCATAGAAAACAGTTGCTTTGCATATGCGATTTCCATATGTTTAGGCAGATTACACAAAGGAGTTACTTTGTACAAGTGATTTTCATATGCTTAGGCAGATTACGAAAAGGGATATCTATTATATGGGTATTGAATAATGAATGCAATGTGAGAGATATAGGCTAGATTACGTACTTGGAGCCATCGGCTACCATAATGTTCAGGATTTACCTTGAATTCGACGAATGATCCTTGTTTTGAGGTCAAAGTGTGTTCATGTATCCACTTCGACAGTCGAGGCACAGATAAAAACACAGGACGATCAAATTGGCAGAAATGCAGCCTTCGGATGAACCGTGAACAGGGATCTCGAGTGCCACAAAAGGCAGGGCATTGCAGATTTGCAGGGCAGGAAAGATATTAACTACTTCCTTCTTTGTACATATGAGGTGTGAAGCAGTCGGATAACGATATCAGGTCATCCGCGGTACAGATGGCGGCCAATCTAGTTACCGGCTGCTTTTTTCAGAATTTCCTCATTGAGACGACGAGCATTTAAAAAGCAACTGATGATTACTCAAGACCTAACTTTGGCAAGTCGAGCCCTGATCTCTTCTAGTTCTTCCTCGTCATCACCACCCTCAGCAATGGCTTCTTCCTAAAACAGCAAAACATGTTTTTCCTTTGTTATTACATCACTGGATTAAAAAGCAAGACTAAGATACTTACCTTCACTATCTTGGTGTTATATTAGTTTGAGCACGTACCTCAGCTGCTCTAGCAGTTTGAGCTGGTTGCTTTACTCTCTCCTTTCTGACTGCCTGCGGCAATTCAGCTGCAGTCTCACCAGCTATAGCAGTCAACACCTTGTCCACTTCTTCCTCGATCTCCTCCTCCATATCTTCTGTGTCCAGAGCATTGTCCACAGCTTCATTCACAAACTCTTCAATCACTCCAGCCTGACACATCACAGCCCAAAAAAAGGTCAGAATATGTCGATGATTATCAAGGATGGCAACTGCACGGAAAGTAATAAACTTGAGACCAGTTACATTATTATAAAAACATAATAAAGAATACTCCCTGAAACTTAAAAGAAATGTAACATGCAGATAGAACTTGAAAGTCTTGTGAAGAAAAGAAAGAGGTAAAGAAGGCAAAGTAGAACCTTGGTCATTTCTTTGCTGAACTCTTGCATAGTAACAGCAACTTCTGGAGCTTTCATCAGGTTATTGACAAGTTTCATAACCTCGGCACTCTTTGATAGATGCCCCACAGTGCGTGCAATTGCTGCAGGATCAACAAGGAAGAAAACAGATTGAGAACGCATCCACAAAGCAAAGTAGTGCAATGCCACTGAAGTAAGATAAGTATACATACCCACACTTTCTCCAAGGTGCATTGATATGGAATTCATTTGTGCCTTATTCTCATGAAGACGGTTCACTGTTTGCCTAGATCTCACAAGCTCCTTAGCAAGCGCCTAATGATGTATTAGAAAACACGATTAGTCATCACAACAAAGGACCATAGGGAGCTTATCATGTATACTGATCCCTCAGGTGCTCAAAAAAAAAATGTCGTGTTACTCATGCAAGAGAAGCACTGTAATCGATCAGCAAGAATTCAGCTGCAACACACAACATTCCTTCCAGCCATAAAAGATCAACTACCTTAGTTTGCTTATTTGGTTTTCCACGATCCATATGACCAGAAAATGATTCCATAAACAGATAGACGTAAACCACTTTCACAGTCAGCATCCTAACGACCTACATTAATGTCTCTCCACATAAGCAAAGCATCCCCATTGTTCACAAAACGCCACTGATCAGGGCCAAACTTCATGAATCCACCCAAATCGAATAATTCACAGAGCTAAAAGATCACAGTAGAGGCAATCACTCTATAGAAAAGTACCTTAGCAGAGCCCATGTCGTTTCTCTTGGCTGCTTCTTTGATTGCTTTCTGTACATTCTTCTCTTCTCTCTGAATATCTACAAAAAAGTTCAACCCGAATCCCAAAATCAAAATCCATCGAAGTCCATAGGGTTAATAAAAGCACAACGATCACCAGCCCAGCAATCCAATCTAAAAATACCTCTGATTTGACGCTCAATGTTACGGCTCTCTTGACGGAGCCTCCGCTGCCAATCCCTCAACTGCTGCTGTGGATTGGCCTTGGGCTTTATCAAGTTCATTACTTTCTCCATCTTCGGAGATTCTTCCGACTTGGGTGGCTATGATCCGATGCTGAAAATTGCCGATCAAACGGAAGACTTTCGCCAACAAATGCGAAGCTCAACTGTCTATCCGCTTTACAACGATGGAAAAATCCATGGCGTCTCGAAAGCCCTGACTCTCTGGAGGAAGACAAATGAAATTATGAAGTGGGAACCGGGAATAATTTCTGGGAGAGGGATTGGGCGAATCTTAGGGTTCAGGCAGCCGTTGGTGGTGGAAATCGTTGTGGCGGAAGGAGGAGGACGAAGCCACCGGGAAGAATATTATTCGATCCAGAAAAAGTTGAAATGAAACCACGCGTAAATAATCGCGGGTAAGGCCGACTGGACGAGAATATCCGAGAGGCCACAAACTATTACGACGCCGTTTAACTCACGTCCGTTTGTCGCAGGCTAGGCCCAATGTGTATGTTAGAGGCCTAGTTCAAATCTGTATGAAAGCCCAATATAGATAGCCGGGTATTTGATGGGCTAATGTTGCTTCGAGCCCATTTCCTGCACCACTGAAATAGCTGAAGCCCCAATTGGAAGGGCGGGGAGAGTTTGTGGAGGAGGAGAAGAATGAGTGTCGAAGTTAAGAGTGATTTAGTCAAAAGGTGAGAGGGAAATGTGCAGTGTTAAAGCTCTAATAAGTGTTTAATGAATTTGATTAACTGTCTCTGAGTCAACTAATTTTGCTATTAGCTAGGGTGGATATGGGGTGGGCATGGTAGTGATGTTGGGATAGTATTCTCTCCTTCGAAATGCTTCGATACTAACATCGATCATACTTCATACTTCGGTAGAGCGACCATCCTTGTATTTTACCTATTAGTGTGACGTCTATATAACACAAAGATTATGAAAAACTGAAAAATCGTAACAGAGGTTGTGCCAAAAAAATTAGTGGTAAGGTATTTTGTACTAAAAACATGGAAAAAGGACATTGTATATTTCGTCATGATCAGTATGAATTATTAGGGCTAATGATCTTCCATTTCCATTATATTTCAAGGGATCCCATGCACAGTGCCAAAACTGTCGGTAACAAGGGCAAAGACACACGTTTATTTGTAGCACTATACTCATCATCAATGACAAAAATTGCTTGTAATATTATTATCGTAAACGGCATTCTTGATTATTGATTCATGTTGACTAAATCGTGTATCAATACTTTAATCGACTCGAGTTGTTGGGAAAGGATTTGTATGAGTTTTAACCATTAGTGTGATGTATCGGATCTATCGTCGACATTGCATTCGCGCTTTACTTTATCTTCAGCTCCTTCGAACTAAATTGCATGTAATTAAGTACGATATATACCCTATGGTCTCATATATATACATATCATGATATCAACTCAATAATCCTGCGTGGTTAAGGGCAATCATAGAAGATTTGGATAGAACTCGCAAGTCGCACTCGACATATCAATTGGTTGGTTATGATAATCAAATTAACCCTTCTAAATTTTATTAAAAAAAAGTTAGAGAGTTATCTTGATCAGCAGCATAAAATTCAGGCGATTGAATGAGCTATACGTGGTGATATCGTTACCCTTTATCATAATTATTATATAATAAATTACTTGGGTAATTAATTAGGCAGCTTAATGATTCCATGCTGAGTCCACAGAGAGGCAAAGTGGAAAAACAAAGAAGAGACATCTATAAACTATAAGCACGACACCCGCAGGAGCTAACTAGGTGGCCAAGACCTCATCTACCTGCTGAGACAAAAAACTACCCAGGCAGTTGAACTGATGATATATGGATATATATTGTTTACCTCGAAATGTGTTCTTTTTCTTCTTTCTGCAACTGCAACTGCAACTGTCTGGTCTGGTCCCATCTCGCCACCTTTCAGGGATTCACCATATCGTTAGTGAATTTCTCGTCAAAATTTTGGTGTGGTGGATGAGAGAATGAGAGAGAGTTGGTCCTGAGTTTTTCGGTGTTTTAAGTCTATGCTACAATTGGTGTTGGACATAGTACATTTCGAGTTACGAACCGACAACTTGAGCGTATTGGATATTTGGATTGTTGGAGGAGTCATTGATACGTCAAATTTTGGTTAGTTTTCTTTACATGGTGATCATTTGTCAATGTGGTGATTTGTATTAGAAGTGACCCGTATAATTAGAAATGCGAGAGCAATAACAGGAGTACCTAATATGAACATTTCTTGGCAACTAGCTTCATACAAAGAGGTCATATATATAGAAGTACTAATATTTTTTCCCTTGGAAAGTTGATCATTCACTATGTACGTTTTCATAATCCCAATCGCCGAACATCCCTTTGCATATTTCCCAGTTTTACGAAACTAGGTTGATCGGAAACGCACTGCATGCATGTCCTTCTTGAGTAGGATGAACTCCTTTACGACCACACTTCTAATAGTCGAGTACCATACGTAAATCGTTTAAAACCCACTAACTTACACCACTACTTAAGCCAGATTGACTCCTCCTTTTGTAATTTACCTCAAACATGATAATAATTAGTTGAGTACGTTACCACTTCCATATTTTCTGACTTCAAACCATACCGGCAATCCAACCACATAACTACTCACATGAAGATGTTTACTTATCCAAGTGGACAAACCACATTGATCCCAAATAGGGAAAAATGCAGTTGCAAGTATAGATATAGATCATCGATGCACACACGAAAGTACACCAACCCACTCCTACTATACAAGTGGAACCAACCAACAAAACCTTCTTTTGCCTTTCAACTTTTGTCTTCATCCCTAACTTCCCCACACACACTCTGAAATTTAACCAACTTATCTATCAACTCACAACTTCTGTCACAGAAGAGAGAGAGGGAGAGTGAGAGAGGAGAGAGAGAGCCAGAGAGGTCCCATTTCTAGCACCTCTCCACTCTTATTTATAGCAACCATATTTCCCTCACAAAATTTGAGCACCCTTCCTTCAGTTTCTTCTCTTATCTTCACTTTTTATCATCAACAATGGCTGCTGCTACTGCTCTTTCTTTAGCTCTGCTCTTTCTACCACTGGTAATTCTCAGTAACCCTTCTTCAACCGTTAATGCTCAACAAAACCCACCTAGCCCTGGCTACTTCCCTAGCTACAGAGCACAATCCGTTGATTTCAACCAAAAGTACAGAACCCTTTGGGGTCCTCAGCACCAGAGACTTGACCAGGACGCATTGACGATTTGGCTCGATCGTTCCACAGGTAAAATTGGATTTCACTTTTGTCACACTCTCTGGCTTGAAAGTTTTGTTTATAAAGTTTGCTTCTTTTCCCCTGTTTTGACGAAACAGGAAGTGGGTTCAAGTCAGTTGAGTCATACAGATCGGGCTACTTCGGTGCTTCAATGAAGCTTCAGCCCGGCTACACCGCCGGCGTCATTACTTGTTTCTATGTAAGCCACATAATCCAGAAAAAAACAGAGCATAATAATGAAAAACAGAGTACTCTGTTTCTATTGTAGACCTATGGTAACAAAAAAAAATTGATTTCTCTACAGTTGTCGAACAATGAGGCGCATCCAGGTCAGCACGACGAGATCGACATCGAGTTCTTGGGTACGATTCCTGGGGAGCAGTACACGTTGCAGACGAATGTGTACATAAGGGGAAGTGGGGATAGGAACATCATAGGCAGGGAGATGCAATTCCATCTCTGGTTCGACCCTACTCAGGATTTCCACAATTACGCTGTCCTTTGGGACCCAAGTGAAATTATGTCAGTCAATCGTCTCCTTCCTCTCCCTCTTCATAAAACGACATTAATTTACTAGATTGATTAATGTTTTGTGTCATGGGTTGATTCATTAATCATATGATGTAGCCATGGCCACTAATTACATTTTTTTCTTTCCCGGGTGGCTAGATTTTTCGTGGATGATGTGCCAATCAGGAGGTATCCACGGAAGAGCGACGCGACGTTCCCAGAGAGACCAATGTGGGTGTACGGCTCGATCTGGGACGCCTCGAACTGGGCCACGGACCATGGCAGGTATCGAGCCGATTACAACTTCCAACCTTTCGTCGGCAGGTACAAGGGGTTCAAGATCGGAGGCTGCACCGTCGACGCGAGTCCCGAATGTCGGGCGACGTCCGGATCGCCGAGGGGGTTCGGGGGGTTGAGCCCACAACAGGAGAGAGCCATGGTCTGGGTGCAGAACAACCACATGGTATACGACTACTGTTCCGACCCGCAGAGGGATCGCACCCACACACCTGAGTGTTAGTGCAAGCCAGTACTACATCGGCGAATTAAATTGTCGGAAAGTTTAATAACGACAAAGCCGTAACTGTGAAATATATACCCATAAAATTTGGGGATTGAAGTGTGTGCATTTGGATAGCGAAGAATTGGGAGCCATATAGAGGGTTATTTGGGATGTGGTGAGGATGGTCCTCAAAGTTAACTACTTTTGCAAAGAGTAGTTGAGCATCCAAGCCCTAAGTGTCTCCTAACTTATTTGGTTTGTTGTTGTTGTTTGTTGTTGTTCAGGGGGAATATTGGACAATCAAGTTAATATGTCAATAATTTTGATGTGTGTTTTGTAATATTGTCCTTGTGTTGTCATTGCTAATGATGCAATAATAATGATGAACACGTCCACATAAAATTTGGAGGGATTTTGTATGAAGAACATGTGGATGCTCTGACAAAAGGATATGGGAAAAGGGAGGTGGTGGTGGGGATAGGAAATGGGTGTTTGGATTGAGATTGGTTTTGGCCCATGAACTTTATGAAATGGATTTAAAGATAGAAAGAGATTGGTTCCTATTCATTTCAATGTGGTTTTGGGGGTGTTTCTCCTTTTTGTCACCCATATGTTAATAATTCACAGTAGGAGAGGACTTGATTAGTGAAATGTAGTTTATGTTGGACGGTGAAAGAGAAAATGGGATAGATTTATAATGAGAATGAGGTTACATTTATGATGAATGAAAGGAGGAGCCATAATTGCTTATTCTTATTTGGTCCATTGATTTTTTTTGGAGTTATGTTGAGATCTTTCTATGTTATGGTTGTTGTTGTTCTTGTCAATCATTTCCATCTAGCTCGCATAGAACGGTAACAGATCATAGAAGCGTGTTAGTATAATGAAACAAAATAGGACTGTAATAGTAACGACGGAAAACATACGCACTTTGCGAGGGGATGGACCGCGCATGTGATCGAATATATGGCTAAAAAAGGTTGGTTGCAAGAAGTTCTTTGATAGGACGTGATGACTGGCAAGGGCCACACCCTGACGATAATTTCCTGTGTAAAAAGAAGTTAAATCATATGAAAAAAACATCAAAGTGAGTAATGAACAAGTACACATTTTATGTCGACCATGTATAAAGAAAAAGTAAGTAGAAGATGGAAAGAAGAAAAAAATGACGCCGACTTAGTATGGTTTCTCCGACGATCGGGACTAGCTATCCTCCTGAGAAAGGAAAAAGTTCCCAAGATATAAGTTACATTGTGCTAATGTACAGTCGAAAATGGTCAAACCTTTTGAACATTCTCATCGTTTCTTTGCCATAAATGGTCTTCTTCCCATACCTAGCAAGCAAAGCAACTCCTTATTAGATTGTCTTCACCTGGCCAGGTTATGGACCATAGTACTTTGTCTGTCTGTGTCGCCTGATATCTTATGATCACATGTGTGACTGAATCGTATAATGGATTTTTCCCCTGGACCACTTTCCCTCACTCTCTCTTTTGGCACAGACAAAAAAGAATTTCGTATAATCGTGGACATAGTTAGTAAATACTCCGTTTAATACACGTATATGTACCCGTACGTACTTTATCCGTTTAAAACTTCCGTATCCGTATTATTGTCAAGCCGTTTCATTTTCCCCGTTCATTTCATGGTTCCCGTACTAAACACGTATAAAACCCGTATAACACGTTTATTATCCGTATTTTACGAATTAAATTGTTAACTTTACTATTATTTATATATTTATTTATTTTTAAAATGATTAATTTTATATATTTATGACTATTAACGTACTATTAAACGTAATTTTAGCTTAAAGATGAAGTATAATGCCCGTACGTATCTTTTACGTAATTTTCCCGTACTGTATTTTACTAACTATGATCGTGGCCCGTGGGTCATACTCATACAAAGTAGCCTTTTCAGTATAAACGTGGGTCATGCTCATACTAAGCTAAGCCCGGCCCATCAACTTTCAGCCCATCTGGTTGATCTGGATTGTGCTGAGCGAATTCCATAAGAAGGCAGTAATATAGGACACCCACTTCGACAATATGGACTGGCCCATGAGTACTTAACAATTGGATTGCCATAAGGTGTGAGTACGGCCCATGAATCACGGTTTAATTTGGAGTCGTGTTTGTCCGGTAATGAGTTCCACCCACTAAAAGAAGCGTTTGATGAAATATATAACAACTGAGTTGACAATCCAACAAGCAACCGACCTTAGCTCAGTTGGTAGAGCGGAGGACTGTAGTGGTTAAATCTGCCAGTTAATCCTTAGGTCACTGGTTCGAATCCGGTAGGTCGGAAATTCTTTTTTTTCCTCCCACGTATTTATTTCATCAGGAAAATTTGAATATACATTGCCTGTCAATATAAGCCCATTAAACTGACCATGCTGCACCATTTTTTGGTCTGGGCCGGTTTACTGCACGTTGCTCGTGGGCCTGGGCCTGGGCCTGGGCCTGGGTCTTGTCAGCTTCGTTTGCATTACCGTTGTCACTCTCGTCAGTGAGATACTAAGAGGAGAAATTAGTGACCACTTCCTATTCCGTCACCAATTCCCCGTGTCATCTATAGCGTGGATGAGATTTGCCATTTCTACTCAGTTGAGTCATAATGAGTCGGTCACATTATGAATCCATTTATGACTTGTTAGTACCATATCCCAAATCGATAGACAGTTTTCACTGTTTAAAACGGTTGAACTACTTTTTAAAAATACTTGCTTGTTAGATATTGGAGTCTTAGGGTTACTCTAATTAAGGATTGACTCGCTTTTTTTAGTCGTCGAAGCTAATGCATGCGGCTACAAGTTAGTTTGGTTAGATTGTTTATGTCACATTTCGTCGATCCAAGAGTCCAAAATCGATATATAATGTCTCCAAAAGCTATTGGAAAATGTAACCCTCATATCGTTTATCAGTATACTTGTAGAGAACGTCTGGATAGAACAATTGAGAAACGAGACACGTCAATTCGAATTATTTGCTACACTGCAAACAATTGCAATGGGCTCAAAAGTCAAAACATGACAATTCAAAATTCCCCATACCATATATCATGCTGTCAATTCGGCGTATCTAGGGCTGCAAACGAGCCAGTTCGAGTTTTCGATTACCTGGAGTTTGGCTCGTTTATAAATTTTCTAGCTCGAGCTCGGTTCGAACTCGAATTTTGATAATTCAGTTCCACCTTGGCTTGAATACAAAGAATCTAGCTCGAGCTCGACTTGGCATTGCTCGGTAAATGCTCATTACCACAGTTTGTCGAGCGTAGTACAAGCTCGGCTCCTGATGAGCTCGATATGAAATCACTTGCTGAAAAATGTGCAAATATAATAATTTAAATGAGGAAAACAACACTAGAAACAAAGAAAACCTACTAACTTCCAACACATTTGTATTAACAAAATAATGTTCATGTTCATAATAGTAATTAATCTTTCTACAAGCTCTAAACAAGCCAGCTCGCGAGCTTAGCTCAACAATCTACCAAGTCAAGCTAGCTCCCGAGCTAATCAATCTGAGCATGGTCGAGCACATGTTTGGCTCGTTTGCTAACGAATCGGCTCACGAGTTAACTTGTTAAATAACGAGTTAAGTGTCGAACGAGTTTTTCCAATTCGAATACTGCGAATTGCTTGCGAGCGGCTTGATTTAACGAGTTAAGTGTCGAACGAGTTTTTCCGATTCGAATACTGCGAGTTGCTTGCGAGCGGCTTGACTCATTTGCAACGTATCAAAGGCGGTAACGGCTGCTGCCTACTCGACGCTGAGGAGTGAGGATGCATCATTTCTGCACCAAAAGTTATCGAAAGCACCAAAAAAACCCCTCTCTTTGGCTTCTCCCAACGCACACTTTCCACCAGTTCCTTTGCAGATTTCATAATAGACCACCACAAATCCAACAGACCCTTCAATTTCTTTTTTGAATAACTGACTACTGACCATTACTCCCAGCAAAGTAAACAGGACAAATGGACAACACCACACTCTGCCCAAAATCAAACCCTTGCCAGTGCCACTCTCCATAACCTGTACTGTACACCTTCTGCATTTATGCACCAAACCAATTTATCTAACATGGTCCCTCTGTTTTTACCTTCTCTCAATTTACTTCCCCCAACACACAATCCAATCTCTAGTTCTCTCTACAAAACAATCTGTCCCCTTTCTATATTTTACCGCGCCCTCAAACAAAGTTACCGTCACACCCTCACCGGCGGGTCCAATAAACAACAGATCATCCTCCTGCCCGCTCCGGCGACCAACTCCCCAGCCGGCGAGGTCTTGAATCTAGAGCTTAGCTGTCATCATCCCATTATTGTTCTGTTCACTGTCCACGTTGGTGAAGAGCAGAGGAGAAAAGCAAGCCAGCCTGTCTACTACCAGGTGGCCTCCACGCCGAGTTAGTTGCACTGCCATCCATCCACGTCAGCCCCGCCCGCCTCATTCATTGGTCCGAAACCCTCACCGTCCGACGCGACCGGTCCAGCTTCCTCGCCAGCGTGTAAAGCACATGCCACGTGGCGTCCCCTTCTTCGATCTCCCCGTGGAAAAGCAGGGCCCTGCGGACCTCCGGGTCCCACAGGTTCCGCTGGATGGTTGACAAATTGGTCGCCGCCACGTGGCCCAGGATCTTCCCCAGATCCCCCACGTCGCTCTCCGCCACCGTGAGCGATATCTCCGGCCAGGGGACCGCCTCCGGGAAGGGGAGGCGGATCCCGTCGGCGATTATCACCGGGACGCAGCCCAGCGCCACGGACTCGACCAGCCGCGGGCTCCATGGGGCCCACCCCAGCGGGCAGAGACAGAACGTTGACCGGGCGATCTCTGATTGGTAGCCGGCGAATCTCTGCCTCTGTAGGTAGAATCTCCGGTCGCCGCTGAAATTTCGCCATATCGCCGTCCTCACCTTCCTATGAAACAGAGTAATAAATTAATTCCCCCCAAATGGGAAAGAAGCTTCCTCTCTCGAATGAATTGGATTGAAAGATCATTACTTGCTGTAAAATCGTCCGCTGACATTTTTGGGATTAACTTCCATTTTCCCCCTGAAGAACGCCCAAATGTCGCGCCGGCCGGTCACCGGCGCTTTCTCCAGCGTCCGGCTTATGCTTACCGGCGAGACGTAAGGCGGAATGACGACATTCTCCACTTCCTGACACGGATGGCGATATTTCACCCCAAATGTCTGCAATACAATCGAACGTTTCATGAACTCCGGGACTCCATCTTCAATCGCCATGTCTTCCTGAAAAAATGTGGTTTCCCTAAAAAAAATCAGAAACTTTACAATCATACATAAAAATGCTAGAGAACCCATTTGATCCTATTTATGATTTTACCAGGGTGTGGAAGCAAGAGCCGAAATCGTGAGAGGCGACGAAGACGTGATCGGCTCCCTGGGAGCGGTTCCAGAACGGGTAGCTCGAGGAAATGAGCCGAATCGCCGATGAAATAAGCGTCCTGGCGTGACCAATCGCCGGGAAGCCATTGACGGCGCTGAAATTGCAGGCGACGTAAACAGGGACGAAGAAGAAATCGGCCTCGTATGGGTCGTAAGTGCGTACGTCGTCGTCGCTAGCAATCGCCCGGTGAATGGCGACCTCGGAGGCGAACAAATGGTTGCCGCACCTCTCGTTGGCGAGCCAATCGGAATTGTACTTTGGAGGCAAATCGTAGACGAATATCTTCAAATCTTTCAACAAATGCCCCCGGCTTGTGCTGCTCTGCTTCTTCTTCGGCGGTGGCAACGACGACGAATTGGAAACAGAGGAGGAGGAAGACTCGAAGAGGGCGCGGGAAGCGACGGTGGAATGTGATTTGGAGAAGTGGGTTTTGGAGAGAGGGATAGGCTTGTGGCTAATGAAGAAAGATGTGAGGAAATAGAGGGAAAGGGAGATCCAGAGTATCCATTTGTAGAATCTGAAATAAGGATTCTTCTTCTCCATCTGCTGGGCTTGCTTCCCGTTTAGTCTCATCTTGACGTAGAACCCTCTGCTGTTGTTGCTGGGTCGTTTGAGCTCTGCCATGACTCATTTTAAAAACCAAATCTCATGCGACGACCAGGGAAGGGGAAGATTGGATGGCGGATGGGATGTAGCTTTTTCGCCTGCGGTTGGGAGGTCGTCTTTGGAGTAGGGATTAAGGGAAAATGGAAGAGGTGTTAGTTGGTACTTGGTTATTTTCACCTACTGAATCAGGGGATTGAAAAAAAAAGATCGGATCTTTGTCAAAAAGAAACAATTTTTGGATCAGATCAATTATGCCCTCCTCTCCCTCTCCCTTTCCCTTCTTCTATTTTTCATTTATCGATTCTGGAATTTGGGTTGGAGTTCCGATGCTTCGTTTGAAAGGGAAACCCAAAAGAAGAATATTAAAGAAGGGTCATAATGAGAAGGTAAATGAAGAGGGTTCTGCAGTTAGGTTGCCATGAAGAAGATGATGGAAACCTAGAGAGAGAGAGAGAGAGAGAGAGAGAGAGGAACAGAAGGTGGGTGGGTGTCAGGTTTCACATGACGACGGTGGTGGAGAGAGGTAGCAGAATGAAATTCGGCGGAGGGCGCGGTTTCTCTTATTTGGGGTTACGACGAGTCACGGACTCTCGGGGGAGGCAGAGGAAGGTAAAGGAAGGAGCGATGAATTGGAAAAACTTGACTTGACAGGGATGACCCATTTCGTGCGGTAAATTTTTGTCATTTATTGGGGAACGGGTTGGTTGTGCTCGGCGGTAAACAGTGAAATACAACGGTGCACAGACAGTACAGAAACAGTAACAAGATCGGTAAGTTTAAAATAGAATCATTCCTTTTGCGAAATAAAGAAACAAAGTCGAACCTAAAAAAATGAGGCGACAAAATCGGAGCCTGAATGACCATCAAATGAGCTGCTATGTAACCATGGAACACAAACTATCGAACCCATAAAAGTATAAATTATGGCACCCGCAAAAACAATCGGAACAACATAATCCATGCAATGAGCAAAGTCCACTATAGCCACTCGAGTTGCAGAAGCCTTCCAAAGATCCAAATGAAAACTCGAATAATCAACCCAGCGAAGCCATACCCGTTGTCCAAAGTCGCCACAACAAGTATACTACCCGTAGAAGAAAGAAAAAAAAACTTTTCCATCCTACAAATAAAAACAAAAACATATAGGTTTTGGAAGAAAGAAATCTACCCCTCAAAAAGGGTAACAACTCATCAACAGGAGGGGAGTGTGCGTGGGGGACACCCACGACTTCCTCGGGATCATCAATCATGGTTGCGATCGAGATCCCCAATATTGAGCATCGAAGACACGACGGCGATCAAAAAGCGAAGCAAGACAGAAGAAACTAACTTTCATCCGCTCCTCATGCGTGGGTGATGCCCACGACTACTGAAGCACACGAACAAAGAAACCAGAACAAGGGGAAACGGATAACATATCGGAACTACCCATGTTGGATGGTATGGTCCTTCTTGGATTGGCGAACTCATGTTGCTTAAATGGGCTAACCAAAAATTATCTACAAAGCCCATTCAAATTAAAAGCCCGTATATTTCTGTAAAGAACGAAAGACGACAAACAAAACTAAGATAAAAAGCCTATTTATTTCCCAGACGTCTCATTTTTTGCCGCTCTTCTTCTCAAACTTTTGGCGCTACAATCGTAGTCGCTACTACTAATCCAGTAAGCAACCGTTCTGCTGCGTAAAAAGCTAGGTCACCGGAAACCGGCGCCCCCTTTTGCTTTGGCGACGACGGAAGATGGATCACATGGACACGGACGGTCCTCTGGATTTCGAATTCGAAGACCCACTCCTCACTTCCGATGATAATGTAGCTAAGAGAAGGTTTTTCTCTTCCCCTTTTCTCAATCTATGTACCTGCTTGTGACTTGTGAGATTCTTCCTATTACTTGGCGACGGGGGTTCCTAACCAACCATATGAGTAGTTTCAAAGCTTTATATCACGTTATTGTGGTGTCTGAATGATCTTTGTGATGGAATGGGTGGTCATTAAGATTGCTAGGGTTCCTATTTGAAGGAACTTTTTTTTGGGGCAGAGATAGTAAGTTTATGGAGTAATTGTAGTAATAATTTGATGTGCGCTCGACTTGGGTGCATCCAAAGTTGTGGTTGTGGCCTTTGGATGGGTCTGATGTTATGGTTTTTGGTAGGACGAAAACCATTGGCCTGGATGATCTGTTGACTGATTACTTCAAGGAGCAAAGCAAAGTCATTGAGAGGCAGTCCAAGCGGGCAAAGGCTTTGAAAGACCATGATGAAAGTGGGGTCAGACAAGAAGTTATGCTAAAGAGCCTTGAAGAATGTGAATTCAAGGCATGGGATATGCTGACTGTCTGACTGATTGCGGCGGCTTATGTTGATGCTGGTCTCTTTATTGGATGTTTTGTAACTGAGCATGTGGGTTGATTGGTGCAGATAAATGAGATAGGATGCGGTGAAGAAGAATTTACGTGGGGGATGCAAGTCTTTGGAAATCAGGTCTTCTTTGGTTTGGTATATGAATGATTCAATGGATTTTCTTCTTTTGTAGTTAGTGATTTTACTTTGTTATGGGTTTGGGCTTCCGGATGACTCTGCAGAAATCTGCACCGCCCCTTGTCTTCCCGGAGCTTGGTAGTAACTCCTTGTTGCAGTCTGTCATGAACAACCAGGTCAATTCTTTGGTGAAACTCACTGTAGATGCAGGTAGTCCTTTTGCCCCCCTACATTTTAGGATTTGAGTTTTACTGAGTTCATTCAAGATTACATATAGTTTTGAACTACAATGAATTTGAGAAGAATATACAGAGGAGTTAATCTTTATGGTATGTCTTTGAATCTCTCTTTGCAGGAGAGGGTTTCTTCGAAGGATTACTTTTAAATGGCTGGTTCTCGCAGTTGGTTGGTAGGGGTGGTCGTTTGGAGAAATCAGTTGCTCAATGGATCTATCATTTAAGTCAGTCCAAATCTGCTTTCTCTACTCCTTTTGGATGTCCTTCACTATTTTGTGGTTACTTATTCTTCAGGTTATTTCAGTGTTTTATTCACAGAAAGAGGAGTTAAGGACAGCTGCTTGTAAATTTTGGTGCACTGCTGTTCAACTTGATGTGAAGGTGACTTGATATGTGTTTGTGTGATGTGTTCAATTTCAAAATATCATGTTTTGCTCTTTACAGTGTTGACGTGCCTTCACTGTTATTAATCAGGATAATAAGCAGCCCACTGGAGTTGAGTGGTTCCCAAGTTACTCTGATCTCAAAACAGCTATTGAGATATATGGATTTGTTCCACGCGTTCCGCTGCAGGGAGAGTCGCCAAGTGCTGGTAAAATCTCCCTCTTTCCACTCCTATTCATGTATGGAAAATTGCAAAATGAACTATTCTGGCCGACAAGAATAAAATATAGGTATGGCCTTTTTTTAGGTGCATATTTTTCTGTTTTCTTTTCACGAATTTCAAGTCCTGCATTAGGTTAGTAGTTATACTAGTTGCATGCGTGCCACCATTTATCAGACGAGGGGCTAGCTACAGCAATAGTTGAATCTAATGAAGCATCTGCTTTATTTCTCCACATCATTTCGATCATGGAGAACACTTCTGATTTGCTCGATTAGAGAACACTTCTATGCTTCTTATGTCGTTTAACTGATTAGGTGTTTTTAGTTGATATTGGTGCATGATATCCTTGTCATTCTCTTTTCAGTTGATATTGGTGCATCTTCAGCATAGATGTTTCGAAATGCATGATGTAATTTTTCGAAATACTTATATCTACAAGTACTGGGGTCATTATCTCAACTTCAGGACTCCAAAGCATAGCAAACTTTCTTCTAACCACATATTTTGTACTTATGATTTAGATAATGACAATAGAGGACCACCTGATAATATTCAAACGTGGATAAAGTTTACAGCTGCGTGCTGTCAAGCAAGGTATCTGACAGTTCTGAAAGCATATTATACAAGTTATTCCTACACCCATTCATATATTTGTTTTCTTTCCTATTTGTCAGTACATCAGACAGAAGAGATTTACATAGCTCAGTTAGATTTTCCTTCTGATTTAGTTTGTGCATTTGTATTTGTGTAGCAGGGGGCAAGGGTGTATGTTTTTGGCTTCTGAGGCAGAAACATTACTGGAGGTTATAGTTCTTCTGTCTCTAGACCGCAAGCTGGAAGGATTCCTGCTACTTCTGCATGACTGTGTACAGTCTGTCATCAATTACTTCACAGATGAGGAATGGCAGGCAGCATGTCAAAGTGTTGCAAGATCTCTTGCTTGCAGGTAATTGTTAGTTTAGTTGTTCCAATAAGTTGGTACAGTCGTTGTACTGTAAAGCACTTGCTTGCAGAGTAGTGGCTTCCATGAAACTTCAAGTAAAGATGATAATAGACGTTTGTTCCTCTGTCTCAATGCCATTGAGCCAAAACTTTGATCAGGGTGAATCGAGAAAAAGAAGAGGATAACAGCAAAGTTTTGCTTCCTCCGTAGAGTTGAAACACTTGACGTCTTCCAATAAATCAAGAAATGGGCTGATTTTGATTTGCAACTATGCTTGACTAAGGATCTTGAGAAGTTAGTCATTTGAAAGTGCAAACCGGAAAGGAGCATTTCTTGATATGCCTTTGGTTCTCCTAATTTTTGTGTTATGTTGTCGTTAATGCAGGGTTCCAAAGGATTTGAACTGCATAAGAGCCCTGGAATCCATACCAGGAATCAGCCCCCGTGCTAACAGCCTCAGAGCTGCAGTTTCCCATCAACTACTGCATAATTCTTTTGATAAGGTAGTAGGCAGTTGCATTATCACCTTTACTTGCAGTTTCTTGTCAAATAATCATGTCTCATTGTTGGGCAACCAAATGATTTTGTCTTCTGCTTACCACCATGCTTAACATTCACAGGCGAGCGATGAGGAGGGAATCCTTAGTTGCCTTATCGCCATTAACATGGCGGAGAGAGAATGTGATCTGTTCAAAATGTACATATACCTTAGTTTGGCGGAAAATTGGCTGCTCTCTACCACAGTTCTAGAAGACAAGCCGCTAATCTGCGAGATGTGGGGTGTTTACTTGCGTCACTGTACTTGCCAAATTAGCCATGGGGATCTGCGGCCCTATGCAGCAAAGGTTTGCATGCACTAAATTATTCTGCTGTTTCTCTTTTCATCTGCTTGGGGTTCTTTTCTGTTCAAATCGACAATTCGTCGTGCTCTGATTTCAGATTCGTGCTAAAGCCACATATCTACTTCACTCGAAAACCAAGAAATATTGATCATTATGCCAGGTATGCCCTCTGCATAGACACTAGACACCAGACAGTAATCTTGTAGGGAAAAATTGTGAGTCATCTTAGACGAAATATTTCTGAAGTTCTTTTATCATCTTTGTGATAATCTCAGTATTCCTCAAAAAGATCAAACTTATATCACTTTCCGAATCGACGAGAATGTCTGTTCTTTCTCGAATTTTTCATTGAGTGGTCGATTGATGTATATTGTGCAGGATAATTACTTTGAATACCTACATTCACAATCTTTTATAGAAGACCGTTCATCTAGACATTATAGTCAAGATTTCATAATCGAAACATCATTTGTTAACGTGCTAAATGTTGAATACTTCAACACAACCTCCGATAATTAGGTCTCCGCTCTTGCACCGGTTGCGCACCCTCGTCAGAACTTGATGGCGGCGCGGCTCCTCATCCGTCGCCGCCGCCACACTGGACGGTGGAAGTAACCAAACCCATACATCCCAAGGACCGTCGTCACGAATCCAGCCGGGTACCCGATTCCGGCCGTCATCCAAGAAAACCATACGAGTCCCTCCTCGCTCTCGATTCCGTCTCCGGGAGTCGATGCCGCCTCCTCCGGCGTCACCGGCTCGATGCAGGGCACGCGAATTTGCGTCCCGCACAGCCCACCGACATTTCTCGCGTAAGAATCCGGGTCGTTCATCCTGTCCATTTGGGGACCGTGCGGAATCCGGCCGGTGAGATTGTTGTCGCTCAGCTTCAGATTCGTCAGCTGCAGCAGTTTCCCCATCGACTCTGGAATCTCTCCGTCCAGGTCGTTGTGCGACAGATCCAAGCTCTCCAAATCCCTCATTTCGCCGAAGCTAGCCGGGATTCGACCGGTGAGCTGATTGTGAGAGAGATTGAGCACTTTCAGGCTCGTCAATCTGCCCAAGGTGCGAGGAATTTCACCGGATAATCGATTGTTGGATAGATCGAGGAAAGTGTATAATCCTAGATGCTCGTTGGGAAGACCCAGATGGAGCGTCTTCCAGAACACCTCCAACAATGGAGTGAAGCTAGTCAACATCTCCCTGTCAAAATAGCTGAAGTAACCCGAGCTGTGACTAACCATCTCCTTGATCGACGAGTCGGAAGGAGCGATTCGCATTCCGGCGAGATCTCCCAAACTCGCCGGCACTGTGCCGCTTACCCTGTTCCCGGAGAGGTCCAAGATTCGGAGACTGGTCAGGTTCGAGAACGCTTGCAACGGGATCGAGCCTTCGAGGTAATTGTTGCGAAGAACCAGAATTTGGAGGGACGACATTGTGGAGAGGGACGTCGGGATTTCACCTGAGATATTGTTGTTGTTGAGGTCGAGAAATTTGAGGGTCTCGAGATTTCTCGGCGAAATCCCGGTGAACTCGTTGTGGCTGAGCTCAAGCACTCCCAATTGGTAGCGATTACTGACATAAGCTACAGATATTTCGCCATGGAAGCTGTTGAAAGAAATGTCAATGTATGAAGGACAAGACGAGGAAGGATGTCGACAGAGGGATTGAAATGGCTCCCCTGAAAGTTGGTTCATGGACAAGTCCAGCAGTGCCAGAGTGGAGACGTTTGAGATGCATTGTGTGATCGGGCCGGTGAATTGGTTATTGGATAATACCAGGGCCATGAACCAATCTCGATCGCATCGATCGCTGTCTGGGAAATTCCCACTGAACTTGTTCTTCGACAGGTCGAGGATTCCTTGGCTTGGCCCTTCTAACCCTCGTTCCAAGAACAATTCCAGAGGCAGAGTACCTTCGAGCAAGTTATCGGAGACAACAAGATCAATGATTCCCATTTTAGCTAGCCACTTTGGGAACCCTCCGTTGATTCGATTCCTGCTCAAGTCCAAGTAAGAAATTTCGGTCTGGTTTCGTAACCAAACAGGGATTCGTCCTGAAATGCTGCAAGAAGCCAGTGACAGCTCTCCCAGCTTTGATTTGGGAACCAAAGCATCTACATTTTTCAGCGTGAGATTGTTGTTCCCCAGATACAGAGCTGCCATCTCAGGAAAATCGAACAGCCCAATTGGAATCCCACCCGATAGAAGATTGTCGTCGAGGGTGAGCGTGTATAGCTTGGTCAAGTTCTGGATCGAAAGAGGTATCCCGCCGGTTAGTCGATTGTCGCTTAGAGAAATGCTGTCGAGTCTGGACACGTTCCCAATTCCAACTGGAATCTCCCCTGACAGAAAATTCCCCCGCAAACTTAAAGACTCCAACTTCTCCAAACCCAGAAGAGCTTGTGGAATCGCACCAGTTAATCTGTTGTTACCCAGATCAAGTTCCTGCAACTTGGTCAGGTTCCCAATCTCGCCCGGGATTTCCCCAGTCAGGAAATTCCCGTTCTTGTAACTCCGCCTCACAAATGGCCCATCAATGTAGCTCCCTGTCTTCTCAACTTCACAGACGCTGAGCCTCAAGGTTTGGAGGTTCGTCAGGGAAAACAGCTGAGGAGGAATGGCGCCGCTGAAGTGATTGCTGGAGAGATCGAGGTCCTCGAGCCGGGTTAAGTTGGAGATTTCAGGCGGGATCTCGCCGTGTATGTAATTGGTAGTCAGGTCGAGTCTCATGAGCGTGGTCAAGCGGAAGAGCGGGGCCAGAATGGCGGAAGTCACGGTGGCGTTTTCGCCCAGTATCGAAGGGACGAGATAGGAGAAGTCAAGATCAGTTACCACGCGAGGTTCCACTTCGGACCAGCAACCAACGTCGGACCATCCGCAACAGCTGGTGTCGGGGTCCCATTCCAGCAGACTGTCGGCGGCGGTGGCGGAGGTGTTTGCGAGTAAGAGGGATTTGAATTCGAGGAGGGCTTCTTTCTGTTAGTGAGGACAGCCATTGGAAGGAGCTGCCGAGGTGATAAGAAGAACGACGAGGAGGAAGAAGGAGAAGGGGGCGGCCATGGTTTGAATTGCCTAGTATTACTGCCACACTGCTCGGTAGTGCTCACTTATAACAAATTCCTGCCTCCCATTTTCGTTGCTTTTGGCTAAAGTTGGAGACTTGTGAGATATGTGAATTGCGGTCGTTGTGGATTTGCCAGTCAACAGATTCCGGTTTTGCAAGTTTCTCCATTTTCCACAACTTGCTTTTTGGGAGTGCTATATACCGCTGGTGGGATGTGACGAAGAGAGTGATTGACACGTTGGGGGTAACTATCAGGAATGGTCAAACACGTCTGGAGTGGAATTCGTACAAAAGTGATCACAAAAGTTTAATTTTGTACGATTCGACCACATAATTCGATACCCGAGAAAACCAACTAACATAAATAAGGAAATATGAATTATGAGCAAAAAAAAAAAAAAAATGCAATCATAAAGCTTGAGGAGCGAGGAATCGAGCTATAGTTTGAAACTGTAAGTTAGATTTTACCCATCAGAGAGCGGACTCGGGGGGCATTTGGTTCCGAGGGACTCATTTGGCTCGTCGTTAAATCGTAATGGCTTCGCCGCCGTCATTGTAGTAATCTACCACTTAGGAAGCCAACAGAGAGCTTAGTTTAAGCTATTTTTAGTTTGAAATTATGAAGTTACTGGTTGATTTATTATTTAAATTGTCTTGGTTTCAAGAAGGATTGGACGACGATGTGGAGGCTTGATGTGTGGTAGAGGCGGCCTGCGGGAGAGGGAGAGGAGAATGGTTGGGTAGGTTTGGTTTGGATCTGACCACCGGGTTGGTTCGGGATTTCAATTGGGTTGAATTTAGTGTTTCTCTTTTTCAAAGACAACCAAAAAGAAGTACAAATGGAGCATATATACATTATTACATACGGCAGTCGGTAGCTAATCAATCCATCGACCAAAGAACTTTTCTTACCACCCAATGAACAGTTCCCGTCGCAAATACAAACGAGAAACTACCAACACGGATGCGTGAAGACGGAGGAGCCAAACAGGAAGGAATGAAGTTTCAGTCAGAGTCATATTTGCAACGACACCTTCCATCAACATCACAGTAATAATAGTAGAAAACATGGCGCTCTGAATGGCAATAATCATAGCATTTTGTGAACACGTTATCAGCGTTGCAGCTGGGGCCGGTACTCGGAAGGCTTGTATGTATGAGTAATGTTGGCCGAATCATCGTTCCCTAATTCCTACTGATCCACCGCCGCCATTGATTTGATGATGGACTCGTTTTTGACTCGCTCGGCCTTGCCATGCCCAGAAGAAAAATAAGAGATAAGACACGACACAATACCATGATGATCAAAGAAAGAACGTGCTAGGTCACTCTCCCAACTTCTCTACAAGACCCAAGTCTCAACACTAGTTTTACGAATCTCGTCGCCTACTTCAATCAGAAACCCCAAGTTGTTACAGAGCAGAGACGATCGTGTCTCCATATGACAATATGTTAATGTTTATGATGAGTTTGATGCAAGTAGGGTTGCTCTGACTTTGTGTTTATTGTTATTAACTTGAATTTATAGTATCAAAATTATGCATGCGTGCATGCTGGAATTTATGCTCTAAGAAAAAAAGAAAATTCTTCGTAAATGTTTCGATTTTTGTGTGATTGACTAAACAAACTATTTACTTTAGTACAATTTCGTGTGCATGGTCCAGATCATACTAAACCAGACCGCACAAGCGTGATCTTATCTAGTCTCAATATTCTAACATAATTCATGATGAATGTTTTCATCCCTACACTACCAGGCAATCACTAATCCAACATTTGGGGTTAGAAAAAAAAATACAATTTTCTATTTTTTGTATATATCTAAATGTACATAGCAGATTTATTATATTACAATTACTATTGAAGTTTAATTCTTGATTCATGTGACAATAAAAGTAATACATTTTTTTAATTTTCTTCAACTCGAACTCGATAACTTAGGTAACTCTTGAAATTGGACTCGAATCCCAGAATTTGGAGTCAATCCACTCGACATGTTTAAATTTCCTCCAAACAACACACATTTAACTCGTAACCGAGTTCTCTTTTCCTTCTTCTCGTTGAACCAGAATGTTGGTTTGTTGTCTCTTTGTATCTGACCGGTTAAAATGCAATAGACTCTCATTTGTCAAAACAAAAAAAAACTCGTCACAGCAATATAATGAATCTGTTGTGTACATTTAGATAGATTTCACATAAAAAGATTTATTTCAAAAAAAGAAGAAGAAAAACTCAACCTGTCGATCTTATAACCCGAGTCGCGGTTCAACCATGGGTCGGTCTACCGAGATTAGCAACCTCATAGAATAAAATATGAGGTTCGGAAGTTCAAAAACTGGTTTGGTAGGCTGGCAGTGAAGGTTCGGAAAGCCGTTCGAGATCCAATGCTAAGTGCTAACACTACCGTCCCGCTCCTTCAATCCTTCTTTCCAAATTCCAATTCCCATCTCTCTCTCTCTAGCTTTGCTCGTTCCCAGTTCCCATTTCCTTACTTAGCTCCTTCAATCGGTTAATCCCAAATCCAATCCTGCGAATCTTCCCCCCTTCCGGTCCTCAACTCGACATTCTGGCCTGAACCCTAGAAATTCGCCCCCTCTGAGCTAAACCGGCCGTCGGGATAAACCAGGTCAACAGATGGGAGGCGAAACGCTGGCGATGAGATCTCCGTTGGGAAGCACGGCGAGAAAACGGCTCGCCGACATTTCCAACCTTCCACCGCCACCCGAATTGGCTGTTCTGAAGCCGAACTCCAGCGGAGTCCACAACCCCTCCGGAGACCTATTCAATCGCCTTCTTCAGGTAACAGGGAAAGAACAAAGAGAATTCCTTCGCCTCGATTCCTTTGCTGCATCCATGGAATTGAATTAGGGTTTCTGTTCTAACCGCTCTGAACTCTTGCTACGTTTCTTCTTGCTCTGAAGTCGGAAAAGGAGAAAGCTGCACTGTTGCAACTCGTCGAGGAGAGAGAGTAAGCACCCCCTTTGTTTTGGATTTTTTGCGTCTTTGTTGTTGGGTTTTTTTGGTTGCTGAGGAGGTAGAGGGGGGTAATGAACTAATTGAGGAACTTGATTAAGCTTAGAGGACAGCAGTAGCTGTTTTCTTTCATTGCTACTGAGTTTAGTGTGTCTCCCTTCATTTTGTGATTGAAACAGTAAAATGTTGGTGTTAAGGGAAAAGGATTTCTCCGCACTGTTGCAACTCGTCGATGAGAGAGAGTAAGTATCTTTTTGTTGGGGATTTTCCGTCTCTGTTAGTTAGGCTGTTTTGTTGCTGAAGAGAGTTAAGAGGGGGTAATGAACGAATTGAGGAACTTGATAAAGCTTAGAGGACAGCTGTAGTTGTTTTCTTTTTATTGCTACTGAGTTTAGTGTGTCTCCTTCCTTCATTTTGTGATTGGAACAGTAAAATGTTGGCGTTAAGGGCAACGGAGATGCAGAATCTGCACCGTGGATACCAGACAGTGCTCCTGCAGAATCGAAGTCTTGCTCAATCCAACAGCCAAATGTCCGCTGTACGGCTTTCTCTTTACGCAGCATTCTCTTAAGTTGGTCTCATTTCCATACAACATTTTGTTCCGCCCAGTTGCTAAATCTTCCATTTCAATGGTTTCTTCAGGAGGTTAACACAGCAAGAGATCGGGTAAGTTCTGCTTCTGTGATCTCGAGGGGATGGTCTTGTAGAGTAATAGGTGATAGCTAAGATCTGCCCCGTCTCTTTTAGAGTCAACACCACTTGTCTATAGAAAGTTTCACTTGTGTGAGAGCTTCAAGAACAAAATGATCAGTTGTGCATTAGTGTTTGGACTTTCAGAACTCTGGTGTGTTTTTCTACTGCAGCTGAGGGTATTACAGCATGAAGTTGCCTGCAAGGATGCCTTGCTTAAAGCAAGAAGTTCAGAACTTGAGGTTGGTCTTTTGGTTATCTCTGCAACATGAATTTTCAGTCTTATGGATCTTTAGGCACTTCGAATGTAACGTTTATATGGTAATTGTATAGGGAAAGCCAGTTACAGAACATCAAGATGCTGTCCCCCAGGTGAGCTTTATCTTGATAGATTGTGACACATCCTACTATTTGGATTCCTCGTCATCTCATTGTGATTTGTGTGGCCTAGGTAAGGGAAGAGGTAATCGCAGAACGTTTACAGAAAGCCAACAATGGCAAGAAACCGTGTAACCGTGGCAGAGTGCGAGCCACCAGAAGTCAATGTAACGATTTTTAACATAAACTATCTCCCAAATTCTCATTCTTAATCTTCTGGTTTCCCAACATAACCTTCCAAACTACTTTGCAGCACTGGGCCCATCTACAAGTCAAGTTGAAGTAGAAAAAGAGAAGGCCGAAACCAAAAGGTTAGTTGATTTGAGTGAGCAATGAAGAGTCCTTTTCGCATTCGATCACAGCATCAGAAGACACAAACCAAATCTGCTCCAAACTGGACTTTTAGATACCTCTTCTATTTGTGTAGGCAATGCTTGAGAAGGCAGTCTGCACGTTTCAAGTCCCCAGAGAGAGAGCCACCAGCAGAGGAATTGTTTGAGATAGAAGATACTAAATCTGCAGTATCCCCGTCATCAAGGATGCAGGAAGATACTTCTGAACCAGGAAGTGAAGCTCTAGTAGATGCAGCAGCATCACATCGATCTTCGATTGGACGGCCTGTTCGAAGAGCTGCTGTTAAGGTACAGTCCTACAAAGAACCTTCACTTACACAGAAAATGCGCAGGCCAGAATGAGGATGAACGATAATGGTCTGCTGCAGAAAGAATTGGAGGGTTGTTGTAGAGTATGCTTTATTAGCTTCACAAACTAGTTTATGTGTGACATGACATTCCAACGCAAGCATTTTGTTGCGACTGATCTATGATTATAGTCTACTTGTCTGTGTTTTCAGTTTTCACCCTCTATATTCTAGGATTGGCTACTGGTATGTAAACTATGTTCATTTGTAGACTAGGTTTTGGAGTTGTAATCATTCTCATCCTTATGCTCGATGGGGAATGATGATATATTAAGAATTTGGTAGATCCTTAAAAGTAGATGGAATAGATCGTTGGTGATGTGTTGTGGAGAACATATTGTTCGAATGTTTTTTATTTTGAATAAGGTGTGCCAGAAATCTAAGTTAGGAGGCTAAAAATTCGAAATTTAAGAAATTTGTACCACGTTATTGTTCGAATGTTTTTATTTTGAATAAGGTGTGCCAGAAATCTAAAAGTTAGGAGGCCGAAAATTTGAAATTTAATAAATTTGTACCACGTTAATTGAATAAGTCTGATCCAAATCTAGCTAATTATGCTATTTTCAAAAGATTTACAAGCTCAATGTAATTTTTGCTATAACCCTTTCCCATCCCACAAAAAGGTCTGCCACAATTTCCACAATGGTTGATACTCTTGAAATACACAGGGTTGATTTGTCAGAATCCATGTATTTGTATGATCTTTTTTTTCCATTGTTGATAAAGTAGCACTTTTATTGTGTGGATAAACAAGTATAACAAAGAGTCACGTGCCGCATATAACCAAAAATGAAAATCGAACCCTATCAAAGAGAGGTACTACAAAATCGCTTATAGTTTATTGCTAATTGGACAATCCTCTTCAATAGATCACACATCTTGTGCTTGTATTTCTCCTACCTTGTTTTGGTGTGGCACAGTACGTTGAGCTGCGGTAACGATGTTTTGTGCAATGCGATGAGGAAAGGAAGCGTTGCGACTTGCGATGTGGGCTCGTGATGAAGGGCGGATAAGAATGAAAGTTAACCATACCTATAAGGAGCAAGCAAAATTACAAATGAACATCATTAATATGAGCATGCAGAATCTTTAAGTTCACAATCTCACGCCACAACCATTGAACCAAAACTTATATTAGCAACAAAAGTCATGAACCCAATTTCATATTTGATGAATTTGTTTTGTCCGTACTTCGTACAACGACGGATTACCAACTTGGGGATTCCACAGATCTTCAAAGAACACGACCATATGATTTGAGCTTGAATTGACGACTCACCTAAAAGAGGTTAGCTAGGCTAATGCTGTCATTAAACCCTAAACCTTCCCTCCAAAAGCATTGATTGGACCACATTAATCCACCTAAAACTGTAACAACATTACTATTAATAAACCTATGTAAGGTTCTTTTTTATGTTAAATGGAATCCCACACAGGATTAGTAAAAGAGAGTTGGGGATCTAACCATCTTTTCCCCACTTTTATTACTTTCTTGTCTCCAAACCGACAGATATTATACAATTTAGGACTTTGGTTTAGTGGACTTGAGCACTTTGTGTGCTAATACTTGGGATCAGGAGCTGAATTAAGCTCCATGATTAAGCAAATAGAAGTCGTTAAATGAGGTAAAAATTGATTTAACAGATGAGAATGACGTATTCGATGGAGTCAAATTTTGGTCATGTAGATGGCAACTTCACCCAGTGGTAACAAAATTAGAGTTAGGCAAGATTAATATCAATCCCAAGAAGAAACTTGGAATTAGGAGAATCATTTAGGAGGAATAGGTGCTGCGTTTAGGGGCCGTGTTTGTGAAATCGCATCGTACCGGCGATCCGGTCTGAAAAACCTCATATCGGAACTTAAATAAGGTGTACGATTTTAGCGATAGGAAGCAGTTGAACTCCGATTAAACCGCAGGTTTACACAAAATAGATTATCGCTGACTTTTCCGATACAACCTCCGGTACGATTTCAGAATCCTTTATTTAGGAGAGAAAAGTGGTGTTATATCAAATCACAATTCATCAAAAAATCATGTTATATATATATCAGCAACCAGCTAGCCTTTGCAATTAATCAATCAACATCCAGCCGTGTGCATGCATCATACAAGAGTTTATATCAAATTGATTTGATCTTTTTGCAAGTTGGGGTTTTGTGATTAGAGGGTTAAAGGATTGATTTGAGATTAGATTTTGGGAAGATCCTTTCGCTTTAAATTATTAGTAGGTATGATATCAATCATGAGGAGATGCGACAATGAAGAGAAGAGAAGAGGAGCTGCTTACGAATTTGATTGTGCATCACAAAAATTGAATCGAAGATTATCAAAGAAATGGAAAAGCCCACCATTACAAACAAAATATATATCATGGTCAATGTGAGTCAGATGGATAGTTTTATCGTAGTCATTTCGAAAACTAACCCATTGTAATTTGTAAGTTGTAACAACGAGCTCGCGTGCATCCTCTCGCATCCAACGATCAGAAATGAATTTTTGAGTTCTCTACTCTTCTCAAAGATTTCACGATACTCTTAACAATTACTTAGTAACTTTCACTTGGATTCGGAGTTAATATTTCCTCGTCACGATACTTGTAAGACCATGAAGAAGCAATAATTCCCTCTACACAAGTATGAACCCTCCAAAAAGAAATTAGTTAGTTCTTTATCGAGTTCGTTATAGCTTTAGACTAAAACTCTTGACCCAAAAGCAAGCTTCTTGCCTATGATGATATGATTTGATTCTTTACTATTTTTCTTTGATTTCTTTCAGTACTACAACACATGATTGTGTCTACGAAATTAACGAATATTAGTACACATATGGTGAACCCTTTTTATCATAGTTAATTAAAAAATTAAGTGGGGAGTTAGACAAAAGATAATCATGCACAGGAATTCTTTTATATATATATTCGCTACTTCGGTGCACTCACTTTTCTGGGTGAGTTCAATGCACCCAACTCTAAAAGTGATTATAATACATCAAATTTTAAATTTTTGTTGGTAGCATTAGTCTAATATGATGATATAATATAAGATCTCAACTAATCAATCCATTACCCTAACCCCTTAACCTTCCATTTTGAATCTCAAACCAAAATCCCAAATTGTAAACCTAAACCCTAACCCTAAATCACTAAATCCTAAATTCTTCAAATTAAAGTAAATCTGGAATGAGTTTTTTGCAAATCCATGTGTTTCTTGTTCATAATATCATAAGCTACAACTGATACCGTTTTGACATGAATTGCATGCTTTGGGATGACAATTATGAGACGAGTGCATTGAGTGCACCCAAAAAAGTGGGTGCACCGAATATGCCACTATATATATATATATATATATATATATAGGCATAAAGCTGTTGAATCGTCAGGTTTAAGAGCGGTACAATCCAGCTTACGTATACCAAAAAACTTAAAAGCTTAATTAACAATCAACACAAACAATCTTCATAGTATAATAATGCTAAACCAAAATCAGGAGGTTTTATATTTCAATGCCAAATTCTGTTAATATGCTGAGATTTAGGCAAGGGATTTTGTTTTTCCTGAGATAGAAACATATCTCATAGTTGGTCTCAATAACTCGTTTTTTCTTGGAAGAGGCTCGAGAACATATCTTATATAATTTTCTTAGATGTCCCTTCCAAAGAAAGTCAACTCATGGACTCAAATTTTTGCATAGATCCACCATATATTGTGCTTAATTAACTAAAATATTAATATTAGGGGTCGTGAAAATTCGAACACAAGATCACCACTTGGCTATAACCAAACTCTAATATCATGTCTAGATGATCTCTCAATAACTCGATTTTTTTTTATAATGGTGATAGCCTTTTATTAATTTAGACAAAGGAAAATACAACCGAACAAAGTACACGCACAGCAGGCGGATGCAGAGAGCCAAACAATCGACCTGCATGTTGGAACAAAAACGAAACATTACGGAAACATTACAGGAAAGGAGCTGAAATCCAGGCCCTGTATACAAAGTAACGAAGAAGCCGAAGTGGGATAAGCCCGAATCTAGTGCTGCTGATTCTCGTCGAGGTTGTTCAACAACCTGTTAGTAGTAGAGATGTTCCTATGCAGCCGAGCCAGCCACTGCTTAATGTTATTATCATTTGATTACAAAACCCTGTTTACTATGTTTTCCGGTTGATTCACGACAGAATCGATTGGGCAGAAATTTTCATATTGTTTGTTCCATACAACTAGATTGATGATTAAGCTAAGTATGCTCATAAGAAAGCAAGCCGTTTGCAAGAGAAGAAAAGAAGGACAAGAGTTAGTTTTGTAATTATGTGGGAGATGATCATACAAGCAAGTGTGCCGTTCAAATAATCAATTATCTTATCCACTACTCAGAAAACTAGAATTGGCCGACCGGAATATTGATTTTTACTCCGACCACAATGGAAAACCGTACTTATTAATCCAACTGCCATTTTGGGTTCACGTACTAGGTAGCATCAAACCGTTTCCTTGTCGTCGTTAATTAGTTGCGCCGGCGAATGGGAAACATATATAGTTCCTTGGTTTGCTTGCATATTAATGTTCGTGCATGCCGTTTCATAATTTGGTTATCAGTCGCAGTTATAAATTTGGGTTATCTTTATAGGTATACCCTTTTTTTTTATTTGGATACTAGACGTTTCTAATCTAACGAATAGGGGTTTGATCTAGTGGTAATATCGATAAAAAAAAAGTTTAGTGGTAATACCACTAGTCTTGAATCTGAAACATGATTAATCTTGTTGAACCTATGTATTGTTTTCCAAATTCAATTCAGCGCTTTTCTGCTAAAATCCCAATTCAAAATTAGTCAAGTTTGAATGAGTTTGTTGCTAACTCATCGGAGCAGAAAATTCATCTTAACTTTCGTGAAAGATTCAATTCATTTAAAACAGAGCTCGGAAGCGATCCATATGCATTTTAGTCTCTAGCTATCGCATCTAGAATTTTCTTTTCAGCTAATTCGCCATAATGGGAAATCATAGGATACCTTTCTTTGTTTACATGGTATTGAATGAATCGAAACAGAAGAATGAATCCACCCTAATAATCAAATGTGGAACCATTAGTCGAAAACCTAGCGACATAGTTATAAAAAAGTATTCATATGGTACCCCCTAAAATATTCCAAATCATATGGTAGGATGGTGGTAGGCTAGCCAAATAGGTAAATGTTTGGTAAAGATGATAATGTAATGATGCATGTTGTCCCAATCTTTTTGTATGTATTTAAGGATGATATATATGCCTTTCTCTATAGACCACCAACGAAAAAGAGAGAGGGGGAAAAAAACTAAAACTATTCAAAAAGAAATGCAATTTGATGGATCTCGATCAAGTCATGTGGCTTACCATCTCACATTGTAATGATTTCCTATCGATATTATGTT